TTCCTCTTAAACTCTATCCTCCAAACCACTATAAAAAGATGGCCACACACAAGGGTTGAGGTACGTCTGAAATCTCTACTGAACTCTGTAGAAAATTCGTCTCTCCAACCCTAGCCACCTCTCTCTCTCTCTCGTCTCTCTCTCTCCCTTTTACATAAGGCTCCAGCGCCTGGTTTACACCATAAACAAATCTCCATACCCTAGTTAGCTAGTGCTTTCTTACAAACTCTTGAACTAATTTAGGATCGGAGGGCCTTTGGCAACACCCCCCGGGTGTGGCCCCCCTTATTTTGTTCTACTTTGCAGAGAAAGAATCACGCGGAGAAGGAAGGCGAAATCTTTTCCAATAGAATATTCTCGTGTGGAAATTTGATCCCGCAAACATCATACTATTGTGGGAGGAGTCATTTGGTGGGTTTTTGAGTGAAATCCAATTGCTAAAACTATCAATACACCAAACCACTCTATTTCATAACGAACTTCGTACGAACCTGAATTGTCTAATTTCTTGGAACAATGATATCGGATTGAGCGCAAAACTTGGGGAACATCATAATATGGTGGGAGGAGTCCTTTGGTGGGTTTTGAGAGAAATCCAATGGCTAAAACTAGGCATACACCAACCACTCTATTTCATAACGAACTTTGTACGACCTTGAATTGTCTAATTTCATGGACCCAATGATATCGATGAGTCCAAAACTTGGGGAACATCATAATATGGTGGGAGGAGTCATTTGGTGTGTTTTGAGTGAAATCCAATGGATAAAACTATGCAATACACCAACCACTCCATTTCAGAACGAACTTCGTACGAACCTGAATCGTCCAATTTCACGGACCAATCGATATCGGATTGAGTCCAAAACTTGGGGAACATCATAATATGGTGGGAGGAGTCATTTGGTGTGTTTTGAGTGAAATCCAATGGATAACTATGCAATTACACCAACCCCTCCATTTCAGCGAACTTCGTACGAACCTGAATCGTCCAATTTCACGGACCAATCGTATCGGATTGAGTCCAAAACTTGGGGAACTCTAATTGGTGGGAGGAGTCATTTGGTGTGTTTTGAGTGAAATCCAATGGATAAAACTATGCAATACACCAACCACTCCTTTTCAGACGACTTCGTACGAACCTGAATCGTCCAATTTCACGACCAATCGATATCGGATTGAGTCCAAAACTTGGGGAACATCATAATATGGTGGGAGGAGTCATTTGGTGTGTTTTGAGTGAAATCCAATGGATAAAACTATGCAATACACCAACCACTCCATTTCAGCGAACTTCGTACGAACCTGAATCGTCCAATTTCACGGACCAATCGATATCGGATTGAGTCCAAAACTTGGGGAACATCATAATATGGTGGGAGGAGTCATTTGGTGTGTTTTGAGTGAAATCCAATGGATAAAACTATGCAATACACCAACCACTCCATTTCAGCGAACTTCGTACGAACCTGAATCGTCCAATTTCACGGACCAATCGATATCGGATTGAGTCCAAAACTTGGGGAACATCATAATATGGTGGGAGGAGTCATTTGGTGTGTTTTGAGTGAAATCCAATGGATAAAACTATGCAATACACCAACCACTCCATTTCAGCGAACTTCGTACGAACCTGAATCGTCCAATTTCACGGACCAATCGATATCGGATTGAGTCCAAAACTTGGGGAACATCATAATATGGTGGGAGGAGTCATTTGGTGTGTTTTGAGTGAAATCCAATGGATAAAACTATGCAATACACCAACCACTCCATTTCAGAGCGAACTTCGTACGAACCTGAATCGTCCAATTTCACGGACCAATCGATATCGGATTGAGTCCAAAACTTGGGGAACATCATAATATGGTGGGAGGAGTCATTTGGTGTGTTTTGAGTGAAATCCAATGGATAAAACTATGCAATACACCAACCACTCCATTTCAGAGCGAACTTCGTACGAACCTGAATCGTCCAATTTCACGGACCAATCGATATCGGATTGAGTCCAAAACTTGGGGAACATCATAATATGGTGGGAGGAGTCATTTGGTGTGTTTTGAGTGAAATCCAATGGATAAAACTATGCAATACACCAACCACTCCATTTCAGAGCGAACTTCGTACGAACCTGAATCGTCCAATTTCACGGACCAATCGATATCGGATTGAGTCCAAAACTTGGGGAACATCATAATATGGTGGGAGGAGTCATTTGGTGTGTTTTGAGTGAAATCCAATGGATAAAACTATGCAATACACCAACCACTCCATTTCAGAACGAACTTCGTACGAACCTGAATCGTCCAATTTCACGGACCAATCGATATCGGATTGAGTCCAAAACTTGGGGAACATCATAATATGGTGGGAGGAGTCATTTGGTGTGTTTTGAGTGAAATCCAATGGATAAAACTATGCAATACACCAACCACTCCATTTCATAGCGAACTTCGTACGAACCTGAATCGTCCAATTTCACGGACCAATCGATATCGGATTGAGTCCAAAACTTGGGGAACATCATAATATGGTGGGAGGAGTCATTTGGTGTGTTTTGAGTGAAATCCAATGGATAAAACTATGCAATACACCAACCACTCCATTTCAGAGCGAACTTCGTACGAACCTGAATCGTCCAATTTCACGGACCAATCGATATCGGATTGAGTCCAAAACTTGGGGAACACAAACATGGTGGGAGGAGTCATTTGGTGTGTTTTGAGTGAAATCCAATGGATACAACTATGCAATACACCACCCTCCATTTCAGAGATCACAGAGCGACTTCGTAACAACCTGAATCGTCCAAGTTTGAGGGACCACTCGATATCGGATTGAGTCCAAAACTTGGGGGACACATAACATGGTGGGTAGGAGTCATTTGGTGTGTTTTGAGTGAAATCCAATGGATAAAACTATGCAATACACCAACCACTCCATTTCAGAGCGAACTTCGTACGAACCTGAATCGTCCAATTTCACGGACCAATCGATATCGGATTGAGTCCAAAACTTGGGGAACATCATAATATGGTGGGAGGAGTCATTTGGTGTGTTTTGAGTGAAATCCAATGGATAAAACTATGCAATACACCAACCACTCCATTTCAGAACGAACTTCGTACGAACCTGAATCGTCCAATTTCACGGACCAATCGATATCGGATTGAGTCCAAAACTTGGGGAACATCATAATATGGTGGGAGGAGTCATTTGGTGTGTTTTGAGTGAAATCCAATGGATAAAACTATGCAATACACCAACCACTCCATTTCAGAACGAACTTCGTACGAACCTGAATCGTCCAATTTCACGGACCAATCGATATCGGATTGAGTCCAAAACTTGGGGAACATCATAATATGGTGGGAGGAGTCATTTGGGGTGGTGGTTTTTTGAAGTGAAATCCAATCTCTAGAAAACTATGTGTTTTGGGCAATAATCGCCTGTCCCAAACGCCAGCCCAACACTTAAGACGCCTGAATATCACAACAACCACACCGGGAAAAGGGCCCTAAAATCCCTCCTACTTTTGCAAACATAAACAGGAATCGAAGGCCCAAAAATCACTATAAGGGCCAGCCCAGGATCTGTCAAATCCTGAGATCCTTGACAGCTTCTTTGGTTTCGAACTGAAGAAAAAGAAATCAGCCCATATCTCCGAACAAACCTGGACTTATTCTGGACGGATTAAGAAACGAAGAAAGCCTCAAGGGGACCCGACCCGCTGTTTTTTTCTGCTCCTCGTGAAAAAGTCAGCAATTTCAACTAGGTTAATAAGGAGTTGGCCAAAGCCAGGCGAAAAGAAGATCTCCTCTGCATCTCCTCCTCTGCCCCGGAAGATCAAATCCGTTTTTATATATTCAGAGATATTTCTTGCTCCAAAGAAGGCAACCTTTCAAGAGATAAGTATACTACATTTTTAAGATAAGTAGGAGCGGAGTTGTTCAACTGGAATCCACACTTACAACGACAGTTGGAATTAAAGAGGGGTCGGTTTTCTTTCAAAACGGGGAAGTGATGTGCTTTAGGAACTGACTATTGAGAGTTTAATCTGCCAGATTGATAAAACCCTCTTTTTTTCCTTTGCTTTAAAAATGAAAGATCTTTTGAGAATTTTTTACGCCCATTATTAAAAAATTAGAAAACCCCCACTCCTTTCTTATAAATAAAGAGGGGTGAACAGAGCAAAGGACAATCAATCAAACAACCAAAAAAATCAACCAAAGACAAAAGCTCCAAATGATCACTTGACTTTGATAACCTTCAAACAAATTGAAGCAACCAGAAGCTCATTTAAAAATGAGATTCTCTCGTTACAAATTTGTTCACAGCAAACGCCAAACAAGTAGAGTCTGGTTTCTTTTACGAATATGAAAACCTCAACAAATTTATGGAGAGCCCTGGCCAAGCAGAATAGGCCCCACAGTGCAGTTCCAGCTCAGTAATCCTCAAGTCCAGCTACTTCTGCCCCTTTCATACTGAAGAGGCCGCATTCTGCCCTTTCAAAAAGCCTTCTAGTGCTCAAAAGATTAAAGCTCTGCCAAACTCAAACTTTGGTATCGATTTACAGCTGAAGCTTAGCAGTTGAAGGTGGGAACATTCCAATCTAGCATAGGCATACCAGTCCAGCCTAGATAAGAAGCTTCTGTCCCAGGTAGAAGGGAAGTCCAGCCTTAATTTTGTCTTTCTAGAGTTGATGATTTTTCCTTTTTTAGTTTTGTAAAAGGCCCTTCTGTCTAAAAATAGTTTACTATCTTATCATTTATTCTGGCTAGAACTACCAGTTTTGTACTGTGAAAAATTGTGAAGTCCTCACCAGTCTGAGGCAATAAAAGAACTTACTTGGGAGATATTCCTCACCCAAATTCACAATGCTTGTTTAGAAATCAGTTACTTGGGGCGCAAGTTATCTATTTTTAAGAAGTCTATTAGAATTTTTATTACTAGCAATGGCATGCTCGCACACTAAAGAAAGTTGACTTGTTGACCAGTCAATGGTTTTCAAGGCAATGGGGAACTTTACCCTTCCATCACAGGAGCAAACACAAAACGGGTCACCCATTTGGCACGCCCAGTGGGACCTCTCAGTATACATACTCCTAGAGACAGTGGGACCTCTTATACATACTCCTAGAGAAATTTTCTAAAGCATATGAATATTGGAAGTTCTAGCCAGAACCCACGCTACGCAATGGAAAGAGATCAAGCAGCGCTCCGGGAAGGACGAGAGTAAGAAGAAAGTGATGCTAGGCAATCAGCCCGTGGTAGTACAGGAAGTAGACGTTCTAGGACTGGCCCCAGGAGATTAAATCAAATATAGGAAGCTATGTTTCGACAGGAGGCCATAGCACAAAGGAGCCAGGATACTCTGAACAACATGACAACCATGATGCAATGGCAAGTCAACAGGCAGTTCAGGAAGGACCGTGAGGCTGCTATGGCTAGGATTCCAAACCCAGATGTTGTAGTCTAGCAACTAGACCTCCCTTACGGTCCTCTACCCGGATTGGCTTGGCCATATCAAGAGAACCCTCTCATCGCGTCGATAGCTAGAATACAAGGGCATGGAGAGGTCCAGTTCGGACATAGGGGAGGAGCCCTTCCCATCCAGGATCATGAGGCTCCAGTCCGCCCGAAGGCCCTGCACCAATCCAGGTCCCCAAAATTAGCTAGAACCTCCACGTATTCCACAACATGTGGCCCCATGTAATCACCCTTGGCACTTCTGCCTGAGGCACCAGCGGTGTTGCCTTACAGACCCAGAAGGATGGATCCCAATCCCTTCCCTCTGCCAGCAAGGGGTAGAAGCGCAGAGGGGGAATCAACCCCTTTGGCCACATGACAGGAATAGACCGGGGGCAAACTGGAAGAATCATCCAGATCTTGAAGAAGAGGAAGAACACAAGGAGGAAGCTCTTCCTAGGCCATACAAAATGGAGCACAGGATTGACCACGTCTAGCCAGAACAGGGGCGAAATCCACACCCTGTCAATGCTTTAAATGACATGGGGGCACTACAGAGAATGATCAGGGAGATGATGGAACCTGAGGCCAGAAAAGGAGAAAGGCCCACCGGTTTCAATGTACCAAACTTCACTTTGTTCCACGGAGAGGATCCTCATGCTTCATCAGTTGAGGCATATAGGCAGGTTCTCTGTCCATGCATAGCCATAGAAAATAACCCTCTGTTGAAACTGAGGCTTTTGGAAATTCTCTTTCTGGACAAGCTTTCACCTGGTACCTAGTCTACCAGCCACTTCTGTTTAAACAAAAAAAAAAAAAAAAAAAAAAAAAAAAAAAAAAAAAAAAAAAAAAAAAAAAAAAAAAAAAAAAAAAAAAAAAAAAAAAAAAAAAAAAAAAAAAAAAAAAAAAAAAAAAAAAAAAAAAAAAAAAAAAAAAAAAAAAAAAAAAAAAAAAAAAAAAAAAAAAAAAAAAAAAAAAAAAAAAAAAAAAAAAAAAAAAAAAAAAAAAAAAAAAAAAAAAAAAAAAAAAAAAAAAAAAAAAAAAAAAAAAAAAAAAAAAAAAAAAAAAAAAAAAAAAAAAAAAAAAAAAAAAAAAAAAAAAAAAAAAAAAAAAAAAAAAAAAAAAAAAAAAAAAAAAAAAAAAAAAAAAAAAAAAAAAAAAAAAAAAAAAAAAAAAAAAAAAAAAAAAAAAAAAAAATAAAACTATGCAATACACCAACCACTCCATTTCAGAGCGAACTTCGTACGAACCTGAATCGTCCAATTTCACGGACCAATCGATATCGGATTGAGTCCAAAACTTGGGGAACATCATAATTGGTGTGGAGGAGTCATTTGGTGTGTTTTGAGTGAAATCCAATGGATAAAACTATGCAATACACCAACCACTCCATTTCAGAGCGAACTTCGTACGAACCTGAATCGTCCAATTTCACGGACCAATCGATATCGGATTGAGTCCAAAACTTGGGGAACATCATAATATGGTGGGAGGAGTCATTTGGTGTGTTTTGAGTGAAATCCAATGGATAAAACTATGCAATACACCAACCACTCCATTTCAGCGAACTTCGTACGAACCTGAATCGTCCAATTTCACGGACCAATCGATATCGGATTGAGTCCAAAACTTGGGGAACATCATAATATGGTGGGAGGAGTCATTTGGTGTGTTTTGAGTGAAATCCAATGGATAAAACTATGCAATACACCAACCACTCCATTTCAGCGAACTTCGTACGAACCTGAATCGTCCAATTTCACGGACCAATCGATATCGGATTGAGTCCAAAACTTGGGGAACATCATAATATGGTGGGAGGAGTCATTTGGTGTGTTTTGAGTGAAATCCAATGGATAAAACTATGCAATACACCAACCACTCCATTTCAGAACGAACTTCGTACGAACCTGAATCGTCCAATTTGAGGACCAATCGATATCGGATTGAGTCCAAAACTTGGGGAACATCATAATATGGTGGGAGGAGTCATTTGGTGTGTTTTGAGTGAAATCCAATGGATAAAACTATGCAATACACCAACCACTCCATTTCAGAGCGAACTTCGTACGAACCTGAATCGTCCAATTTCACGGACCAATCGATATCGGATTGAGTCCAAAACTTGGGGAACATCATAATATGGTGGGAGGAGTCATTTGGTGTGTTTTGAGTGAAATCCAATGGATAAAACTATGCAATACACCAACCACTCCATTTCAGCGAACTTCGTACGAACCTGAATCGTCCAATTTGACGGACCAATCGATATCGGATTGAGTCCAAAACTTGGGGAACATCATAATATGGTGGGAGGAGTCATTTGGTGTGTTTTGAGTGAAATCCAATGGATAAAACTATGCAATACACCAACCACTCCATTTCAGAGCGAACTTCGTACGAACCTGAATCGTCCAATTTCACGGACCAATCGATATCGGATTGAGTCCAAAACTTGGGGAACATCATAATATGGTGGGAGGAGTCATTTGGTGTGTTTTGAGTGAAATCCAATGGATAAAACTATGCAATACACCAACCACTCCATTTCAGAGCGAACTTCGTACGAACCTGAATCGTCCAATTTCACGGACCAATCGATATCGGATTGAGTCCAAAACTTGGGGAACATCATAATATGGTGGGAGGAGTCATTTGGTGTGTTTTGAGTGAAATCCAATGGATAAAACTATGCAATACACCAACCACTCCATTTCAGAACGAACTTCGTACGAACCTGAATGTCCAATTTCACGGACCAATCGATATCGGATTGAGTCCAAAACTTGGGGAACATCATAATATGGTGGGAGGAGTCATTTGGTGTGTTTTGAGTGAAATCCAATGGATAAAACTATGCAATACACCAACCACTCCATTTCAGAGCGAACTTCGTACGAACCTGAATCGTCCAATTCACGGACCAATCGATATCGGATTGAGTCCAAAACTTGGGGAACATCATAATATGGTGGGAGGAGTCATTTGGTGTGTTTTGAGTGAAATCCAATGGATAAAACTATGCAATACACCAACCACTCCATTTCAGAACGAAATCGTACGAACCTGAATGTCCAATTTCACGGACCAATCGATATCGGATTGAGTCCAAAACTTGGGGAACATCATAATATGGTGGGAGGAGTCATTTGGTGTGTTTTGAGTGAAATCCAATGGATAAAACTATGCAATACACCAACCACTCCATTTCAGAACGAACTTCGTACGAACCTGAATCGTCCAATTTCACGGACCAATCGATATCGGATTGAGTCCAAAACTTGGGGAACATCATAATATGGTGGGAGGAGTCATTTGGTGTGTTTGAGTGAAATCCAATGGATAAAACTATGCAATACACCAACCACTCCATTTCAGAACGAACTTCGTACGAACCTGAATCGTCCAATTTCACGGACCAATCGATATCGGATTGAGTCCAAAACTTGGGGAACATCATAATATGGTGGGAGGAGTCATTTGGTGTGTTTTGAGTGAAATCCAATGGATAAAACTATGCAATACACCAACCACTCCATTTCAGAACGAACTTCGTACGAACCTGAATCGTCCAATTTCACGGACCAATCGATATCGGATTGAGTCCAAAACTTGGGGAACATCATAATATGGTGGGAGGAGTCATTTGGTGTGTTTTGAGTGAAATCCAATGGATAAAACTATGCAATACACCAACCACTCCATTTCAGAACGAACATCGTACGAACCTGAATGTCCAATTTCACGGACCAATCGATATCGGATTGAGTCCAAAACTTGGGGAACATCATAATATGGTGGGAGGAGTCATTTGGTGTGTTTGAGTGAAATCCAATGGATAAAACTATGCAATACACCAACCACTCCATTTCAGAACGAACTTCGTACGAACCTGAATCGTCCAATTTCACGGACCAATCGATATCGGATTGAGTCCAAAACTTGGGGAACATCATAATATGGTGGGAGGAGTCATTTGGTGTGTTTTGAGTGAAATCCAATGGATAAAACTATGCAATACACCAACCACTCCATTTCAGAACGAACTTCGTACGAACCTGAATCGTCCAATTTCACGGACCAATCGATATCGGATTGAGTCCAAAACTTGGGGAACATCATAATATGGTGGGAGGAGTCATTTGGTGTGTTTTGAGTGAAATCCAATGGATAAAACTATGCAATACACCAACCACTCCATTTCAGAACGAACTTCGTACGAACCTGAATCGTCCAATTTCACGGACCAATCGATATCGGATTGAGTCCAAAACTTGGGGAACATCATAATATGGTGGGAGGAGTCATTTGGTGTGTTTTGAGTGAAATCCAATGGATAAAACTATGCAATACACCAACCACTCCTTTCAGACGAACTTCGTACGAACCTGAATCGTCCAATTTGAGGACCAATCGATATCGGATTTGAGTCCAAAACTTGGGGAACATCATAATATGGTGGGAGGATTCATTTGGTGTGTTTTGAGTGAAATCCCATGGATAAAACTATGCAATACACCAACCACTCCATTTCAGAGCGAACTTCGTACGAACCTGAATCGTCCAATTTCAGGACCAATCGATATCGGATTGAGTCCAAAACTTGGGGAACATCATAATATGGTGGGAGGAGTCATTTGGTGTGTTTTGAGTGAAATCCAATGGATAAAACTATGCAATACACCAACCACTCCATTTCAGAACGAACTTCGTACGAACCTGAATCGTCCAATTTCACGGACCAATCGATATCGGATTGAGTCCAAAACTTGGGGAACATCATAATATGGTGGGAGGAGTCATTTGGTGTGTTTTGAGTGAAATCCAATGGATAAAACTATGCAATACACCAACCACTCCATTTCAGAACGAACTTCGTACGAACCTGAATCGTCCAATTTCACGGACCAATCGATATCGGATTGAGTCCAAAACTTGGGGAACATCATAATATGGTGGGAGGAGTCATTTGGTGTGTTTTGAGTGAAATCCAATATAAAACTATGCAATACACCAACCACTCCATTTCAGAACGAACTTCGTACGAACCTGAATCGTCCAATTTCGGGGACCAATCGATATCGGATTGAGTCCAAAACTGGGGGAACACCATGAACACCCCGACTCCAAATTTATCTCCTGTTGTAATTAATTTGAGTGAAATTACGAATTTACCCTTGGGATAGGGGTAATTTGGTCATTTCTTATGCGAAAGGAATTTGTGAATTCCGACTGCACCGTTGCGTAGAGCAGGACGAGATGAGTCCGTAGACACGTAGTGGGCTCGAATCGGAGTTGTAATGAGAGAGTTACGATAGAATGAAACTCCGTGGCACTATCGTAATTATTTTGAAAAGGGATTTTTTATAAAAGTCGAAAATGCCCTCAGATCTCTCTCTCTCTTCCTCCCGCGTGCTCTGTCTCTCCTCCTCGCGATAGCCGTCGCCCTCCTCCCTTGCAACTCCGGCCATCGGCCACAGATGCGGACGGGACCGGTGCCAAAAGGACCGGCTTAGCCCCGGCATCACGATCCGGCCCTCCCCGACAGCGGCTGCCTCTCCAGCCGCTGGACAAAAGTGATTTCAGGCCGGTTCTCGCTCGATTTCGCCGGCTTCGTTCGTCGTCGTTTAGCACCCATTTCCGACGATCCAGGTATGGATCTTGAACCCCTCGAGCTGTTCTTTCTGCTTGTTGTGTTAGATTTGAGAGATTTCTGCGTTTTGGAGATCGATTAAGCGATGGAAGTTTGGCCAGTTTTTGGCCTCCGATTCCGGCCCACTTCCGGTCACTTTTTGGGATAGGCCCAAGAACAAAAGTGGTTCCAAATAGGGTGTTACACCTAGGGTAGGAATTTGGGCCGGCGGTTTAGAGTTTTTTCCGGCCGCCGGAATTTGATCAAGCCACCCACGCGCTGCCGGCGGCATGTGGCGGCGCGTGGGCAGTAGGGTGGGACCACATTCAGTCTTAGAATGATCCTTTGGTCCTCACGAGCGCATAGGATTTCGCGGATCTCAATTTGGATACCGTTTGAGTCTCGAACGGATATCACGTATTGTGCATTATCCGGGTTCGCTAGGATTGGACCGTTGGATGGTCTTGAATTCATTATAGGTTAATCTGGACATCCTTAGGATCGTGTTGGATTCGACGGATCGTAAAACGGAGTCCCGGATACTCCGAAAATGCCAACCCTAAGGCTAAGATTTTAGTAACCGTTCGATCGTGCGATCGTGAGCGATCGACTGTCCGATCTGGACCAAAGTTGCAGGACGTGCATCCTTGCAGAACTATAGGAACTTCGGATCAGAATTTGGAGGTCGTGGGCCCCGCGGGCCCGTTTGACCAAGTATGGGTAGTTTGACCCTGGATTGACCGCGAGACTTTCGATGTAATTCTACCTTCCTAGGAGGGTTAGAATGACCATAGAGACAGGTCTTGATCAGTAGTTGAGTTAGGTATATATTATGGATGCAGGATTTTTATATATATATATATGTTTGTGGATATATAAAGGTATAAAAAAAGGATTGAATGTCAGTTTGCAGTGCTATACACACTACCCTGTGCACCCCTAGGATATTGATGATACTGTAAGTACCACCCTGTGCTTGTGAGGTCACACGTGTCGTAGGAGTAGCCGGCGTGTTGACAAACCCATACGTGGCCGGGTGCGTCCCGACGTATGAGGGGAGATATGTGATATTGTGATGAGGTCACACGTGTCGTAGGAGTAGCGGGAGTGTTGACAGACCCCATACGTGGCGGGTGCGTCCCGACGTATGAGGGGAGATATGAGATTGTGTTGAGGTCGCACGTGTCGTAGGAGTAGCCGGCGTGTTGACAGACCCCATATGTGGCCGGGTGCATCCCGACGTATGAGGGGAGATATGTGATATGATGATGAGTTCCCACATGTCGTAGGTTTATCCGGCGTGCGGACAGGCCCCATACGTGACTTTGGATGTTCCGGCGTATGGGGAATTTGTGAGTATTGTTGAGTTGTGATTTAGAGGAAAAAGGGTTTTAGAGAAAGAACTATGTGTGGCTTGATCCCTCAGTAAGGGTACGTAGGCAGCCTAAAGTTACTAGGTGCAGCCGCGGGTTAAACTTACTTTTGTGTGTTTTGAGTGTGGTGCGGACCTTGTCATTGGTCCTGAGATTCAGGTGAGGTCGAGAGGTGTTCGTGTTAGGAGGTTGAATCCTCGTATGTAGAGATTTGGAAAGTTAGAGGTTGTAAACTTTGCTTTCGGCATTCATAAGTGTGCTTGAACTTATTTTTTCCCTGTTTAAGGTATTCTTATTTAAGGACTTTGTTGGCAGTTCTATTTCGGAATATTTGAAGGCCGGAGGCCAATTAGATGAATTTCATGTTGTTATCTTGTGCATGCTGCCGGTTGGATTATATCAGTTGTGATTTTATGCAGGTGGAAATTTTGGGGAATGTTCAATTTACAGGGGAAACTCTGCCGAAATTTCGGCAGAAAGTCTTGCATCCTTACCTTCTTTTTTGTAAAAGGAGGGTTACAGTCTAGTGAGTGAGCCAACGTCGGGGTGATGTCAAGGTTTCCACAGGATTCGTCTCGGGTTCCGAGAAATTCGGGGCGGGTCCTGTCACACCATATATGGTGGGAGGAGTCATTTTGTGAGTTTTGACTAAAATCCAATGGATAAAACTATGCAATACACCAACCACTCCATTTCAGAACGAACTTCGTACGAACCTGAATTGTCCAATTTCACGGACCAATCGATATCGGATTGAGTCCAAAACTTGGGGAACATCATAATATGGTGGGAGGAGTCATTTGGTGTGTTTTGAGTGAAATCCAATGGATAAAACTATGCAATACACCAACCACTCCATTTCAGAACGAACTTCGTACGAACCTGAATCGTCCAATTTCACGGACCAATCGATATCGGATTGAGTCCAAAACTTGGGGAACATCATAATATGGTGGGAGGAGTCATTTGGTGTGTTTTGAGTGAAATCCAATGGATAAAACTATGCAATACACCAACCACTCCATTTCAGAACGAACTTCGTACGAACCTGAATGTCCAATTTCACGGACCAATCGATATCGGATTGAGTCCAAAACTTGGGGAACATCATAATATGGTGGGAGGAGTCATTTGGTGTGTTTTGAGTGAAATCCAATGGATAAAACTATGCAATACACCAACCACTCCATTTCAGAGCGAACTTCGTACGAACCTGAATCGTCCAATTTCACGGACCAATCGATATCGGATTGAGTCCAAAACTTGGGGAACATCATAATATGGTGGGAGGAGTCATTTGGTGTGTTTTGAGTGAAATCCAATGGATAAAACTATGCAATACACCAACCACTCCATTTCAGAGCGAACTTCGTACGAACCTGAATCGTCCAATTTCACGGACCAATCGATATCGGATTGAGTCCAAAACTTGGGGAACATCATAATATGGTGGGAGGAGTCATTTGGTGTGTTTTGAGTGAAATCCAAATGGATAAAACTATGCAATACACCAACCACTCCATTTCAGAACGAACTTCGTACGAACCTGAATGTCCAATTTCACGGACCAATCGATATCGGATTGAGTCCAAAACTTGGGGAACATCATAATATGGTGGGAGGAGTCATTTGGTGTGTTTTGAGTGAAATCCAATGGATAAAACTATGCAATACACCAACCACTCCATTTCAGAACGAACTTCGTACGAACCTGAATTGTCCAATTTCACGGACCAATCGATATCGGATTGAGTCCAAAACTTGGGGAACATCATAATATGGTGGGAGGAGTCATTTGGTGTGTTTTGAGTGAAATCCAATGGATAAAACTATGCAATACACCAACCACTCCATTTCAGAACGAACTTCGTACGAACCTGAATTGTCCAATTTCACGGACCAATCGATATCGGATTGAGTCCAAAACTTGGGGAACATCATAATATGGTGGGAGGAGTCATTTGGTGTGTTTTGAGTGAAATCCAATGGATAAAACTATGCAATACACCAACCACTCCATTTCAGAACGAACTTCGTACGAACCTGAATCGTCCAATTTCACGGACCAATCGATATCGGATTGAGTCCAAAACTTGGGGAACATCATAATATGGTGGGAGGAGTCATTTGGTGTGTTTTGAGTGAAATCCAATGGATAAAACTGTGCAATACACCAACCACTCCATTTCAGAACGAACTTCGTACGAACCTGAATCGTCCAATTTCACGGACCAATCGATATCGGATTGAGTCCAAAACTTGGGGAACATCATAATATGGTGGGAGGAGTCATTTGGTGTGTTTTGAGTGAAATCCAATGGATAAAACTATGCAATACACCAACCACTCCATTTCAGAACGAACTTCGTACGAACCTGAATTGTCCAATTTCACGGACCAATCGATATCGGATTGAGTCCAAAACTTGGGGAACATCATAATATGGTGGGAGGAGTCATTTGGTGTGTTTTGAGTGAAATCCAATGGATAAAACTATGCAATACACCAACCACTCCATTTCAGAACGAACTTCGTACGAACCTGAATCGTCCAATTTCACGGACCAATCGATATCGGATTGAGTCCAAAACTTGGGGAACATCATAATATGGTGGGAGGAGTCATTTGGTGTGTTTTGAGTGAAATCCAATGGATAAAACTATGCAATACACCAACCACTCCATTTCAGAACGAACATCGTACGAACCTGAATCGTCCAATTTCACGGACCAATCGATATCGGATTGAGTCCAAAACTTGGGGAACATCATAATATGGTGGGAGGAGTCATTTGGTGTGTTTTGAGTGAAATCCAATGGATAAAACTATGCAATACACCAACCACTCCATTTCAGAACGAACTTCGTACGAACCGAATCGTCCAATTTCACGGACCAATCGATATCGGATTGAGTCCAAAACTTGGGGAACATCATAATATGGTGGGAGGAGTCATTTGGTGTGTTTTGAGTGAAATCCAATGGATAAAACTATGCAATACACCAACCACTCCATTTCAGAACGAACTTCGTACGAACCTGAATTGTCCAATTTCACGGACCAATCGATATCGGATTTGAGTCCAAAACTTGGGGAACATCACAATATGGTGGGAGGAGTCATTTGGTGTGTTTTGAGTGAAATCCAATGGATAAAACTATGCAATACACCAACCACTCCATTTCAGAACGAACTTCGTACGAACCTGAATGTCCAATTTCACGGACCAATCGATATCGGATTGAGTCCAAAACTTGGGGAACATCATAATATGGTGGGAGGAGTCATTTGGTGTGTTTTGAGTGAAATCCAATGGATAAAACTATGCAACACACCAACCACTCCATTTCAGAACGAACTTCGTACGAACTTGAATTGTTCAATTTCATAGAACAATCGATATCGGATTGAGTCCAAAACTTGGAGAACATCATAATATGGAGGGAGGAGTCATTTGGTTAGTTTTGAGTGAAATCCAATGTGTAAAACTACGCATTACACTACTAAAATGTTAACTCGTAATTGTACGGGCCAATTTGTAATATAGCATGACAAGTACGAGGTCGTACCCACGAGGACTGAGAAGTTAAAATTAGTTATGTACTTAGATTACCGAATTCAAGAAAGTTGGAGGTTAAGTCTAAAATAGATTTTAAAGCTTGAGTGATTGTAATTGTTGAACAAATGAGGCAAAACGAAATTTCAAACAAAAGCAAAGTGAGCAAATGTAACAAATAGTGTTTTTGTGGGTTGGAAAATAGATTGGGAGACTAGGGCATTCGATTCACCATAACAATTAAATTCTGGGTTATAAGGAGTCAAGTGACAAGTCTAATTCGGATTCAAAGATTGATTCTAGCTAATGTATGATTAGGCCATGGTGTCTGGTCCTAACCTTGTGTTCCTAATTCCCTAACTTGATCATTTGTTGTCTAACCTAAATTAAGCATTAGGAACCCATTAAGCATAGAAGAACAATTTAAAGAACCAAGCATGTATCTAATCCCTGTTGTCGAATGTCCATACATACTTTTCTTATTCATAGTTCAATTCGAATTAAAGCATGGTGCCTACTCTTGATTCAAACCAAGATATCTAATATACAAGTTCTAATGATGATCAATCATCCAAACCAGCATATTAACTGATAAGCATAATGAATAAGAACATGAATCATGAATCAAACTTGAAACTAAAAACTTCAACTTATAAACCCAGAATATTCATGTTAGGTTACATCGAAGTCCTAGTTATGAATTTAGCTACTCATAATGGAAATGAAACTTAAATAGAAATGAGAAAACATAATGAATGCAATAAGAGTGCAAAAACCCATTTTTGAAGTTACTTGCGGTGTCCAAGGCTTCTCCAAGTGCTTCTCCACGTCTAATGCTGCTCCAAGAGCTTCCTCACATCTAGAGTATGGCAACTAAAGAGGTGATTTGGGATGAGTTTGGGTGAGTGGTGATGGCAGAGAAAGAGGAAATTCGTAAGGAAATGGAAGGAAGACTTGTTGGAGCTGTTTTGGTGATTTGGGACTGAATGGAGTGTTTGGGGAAGGATGGGAGTGTTAGAGGATGGCTGAGGTGAATTTTAGGCTGAATGGAGTGACTCCCCTTTGAATGAGTGTACATCTCTCTATTTATAGAGTGCAATTTCGTGCTCCCCTTTGGCTGGTGAAGCACACCCATTCCTAGCTGTTGCCAATTGCCTGAGCTGCCCATTAGTTTCCCATGCTGCTTTGTCTCCCATGTGTGGATGATTTGATGTGTAGCCCATGACTCTAGGAATGTCAGCTGCCCATCCTTCTGAGTTTCCATGCTGTCTTCTCTCCCATGTGTGGCTGATTTGATATGTATTTTGATGGGCCCAATGTCGATTTAATCAATTGATACATTGAAGAAATCCATTTTGAAGGTCAGACTCTCATCTTTCCAACCACATATTATTTGGGCCAATCCAAGTTGGGAGAAAGACGTTAAGGCCGAAATGAGTTGCTAACTCAATCTGCCCGTTTTTGCACCATTTTGCATCTTTTCTTATCCAAAGGCACCATTGCTACCTAAGGCCCAATGAACTGAATGATAAATAGAAAAGGGATTAAAAGCACAAGTTTGACTCAATAACATAACCAAAACATAAACTAGAAGGGTACAAAATGATATGCAATTGTGAACTGATCATACACCAACCACTCCATTTCAGAACGAACTTCGTACGAACCTGAATTGTCCAATTCCATGGACCAATCGATATTGGATTGAGTCCAAAACATAGGGAACATCATAATATGGTGGGAGGAGTCATTTGGCGAGTTTTGAGTGAAATCCAAATGATAAAACTGTGCAATACACCAATCACTCCACTTCAGAACGAACTTTGTACGAACTTGAATTGTTCAATTTCATGGACCAATCGATATCGGATTGGGTCCAAAACTTGGGGAACATCGTAATATGGTGGGAGGAGTTATTTGGTGGGGTTTGAGTGAAATCCAATGGATAAAACTTTGCAATACACCTACCACTCCATTTCAGAATGATCTTCATATGAACCTGAATCGTCCAATTCCATAGACAAATCGATATCAGACCAAGTCCAAAACATTTGGAACATAATAATATGGTGGGAGGAGTCATTAGGTGAGTTTTGAGTGAATTACAATGGATAAAACTATGCAATACACCACCCACTCCATTTTAGAACGAACTTCGTATGAACCTGAATTGTCCAATTCCATGGACCAATCGAGATAGGATTAAGTCCAAAACATCGGGAACATCATAATATGGTGGGAGGAGTTCAGTTGGTGAGTTTTGAGTGAAATCCAACGGATAAAACTATTTAATAAACCAACCAGTCCACTTCAGAACGAACTTCGTACGAACCTAAATTGTCCCATTTCATGGACCAATCGATATCGGATTGAGTCCAAAACTTGGGGAACATCACAATATTGCCTTTGTTGTATTTGAAATCCTGGGGGAGGTCCTTGAGATTGTTGCACATTTGAGTTATTGCTCCACTTGAAATTAGGATGATTTCTCCACCCCAGATTGTACGTGTTTGAGTAAGGATCATTATTAGGATTCCTTGCTTGAAGGGCATTTGCTTGTTCTAGCATGTGCTCTGCAAAAGATTGATCTTGAACTTCCACTTTGTTTCTTAGAGGGTCAATCACTGCCTGTTGAAGCAAAGAACACATAACATCAAGTTTTGTAGCAATCTCATTATTAGTACTTACCTCAGAGACCACAGCTTTCATAGGAGCTCCTCTTCCTTTATTGTGGCTCCATTGTTGAGAGTTAGCACTCAAGGATTCAAAGAGAGTAAAAGCCTCATCTGCTGCTTTGTTCATCAGTCCTTCTTCACTTGTTGCATTGACCATCATCCTTTCGGAATCAAGCAAACCTTCATAGAAAGATTGCATTTGCATCCAACTCTCTATGTTGTGGTGTGGGCAAGAACTTATCATCTCCTTGTACCTCTCCCAACATTCATGAAAAGCTTCTCCTTCCTTTTGTGTGAAACCAAGGATTTCCTTTCTAATCTTGTTAGTCTTTTGAGCCGGAAAGAATTTCTGCAAAAACTTATTAGAAAGCTCTTCCCAAGTATGAATTGAAGCATTAGGCAAAGAGTATAACCAAGACTTAGCCTTATCTTTTAAACTGAATGGGAATAGCCTCATCTTAGTCTGCTCATCATCAAGGCCTTGAATTTTGATCGTAGCACATATTTCAAAGAATTGCTTAATATGCATGTAAGGATCCTCAGTGGTATTACCATAATAAGTTGGAAGAAGATGAATCATACCACTTTTAAGCTCAAACCTGTCAACTGTGAGTTGAGGATAGACGATGCACGAAGGTTGATCGGTGACTTTGGGAATGGAAAAACTCACGCAGAGGTTTTCGAGGTTGGACTACAAGTGCACCACCTCCTTCAACATTATTGTTGTTGTTCGGAATCACTGCCATCTTGCTTGAACCTTCAGATTCGTAACTCTTAGATTCAGTGCTTGAAGAACTATAATTCCTCCTCAAACCAGCACATACAGCAGCGGTTCTTGGTGAAAGTGGCTCAGGTGAACTTTGCTCCTAGTCAGATTCGGACATACATACAAAGGAACTCAATTTAGTGCTTTCAATGGAGATAACAACTAAATACAAAAACTGAATACTAAAAGAAAAACCAACGAAAAGAAACAAATGAAACAAACAAAAACAAAAACAATCAAAGTAATCTAACTATAGCACCATCGTTACTGGTTCCCCGGCAACGGTGCCAAAAACTTGTTGGCTCGATTCCTAACAACTAAAATGAGTTATTAAAAATAGCAACTTTAATTCTCACAAGTGCACGAACCGTTTATAGTATAGCTTATGTAAATACGAGGTCGATCCCACGGAGAATGGTAACTTGGTTCCACGTTAAATTACTTAGAATGCTAGAAAAACATAGAACAAAGAAACTGACTAACTAGCTAAAGGCAAGGTTGAATTCAACAATCCCTCTTGCTAATTACAAAAGGTCTAGGACAGAATCCTAGCACCACACACGCACTCGAAATGGGGGGTTTTTGTTGTTGAAATGAAAAGAAGAAAGTGAAATGAAAGTGCTTGAAAGTAAACACTAGTTGCAATTAACAGATTGTGAAACAATAATTGAGATGTGTTAGAGCCTTGGAATCCACCACTAGTTTTCCTATCCAAGTTATGAATGCATAGAAATTGACTCAAGCTTTATCACAACAGATTATCGCATACAAGCCTATGGTATCTAGGTGCAGGATGCATGATTCTCCTATGGCATGTAATTGTGTATGGTATCTACACAACACGTGATCTCTAATATGCAACCTAAGAATGGTATCTACTTAGAATAAAGCATACAAGAGTCATTAAGCTCTATGAGAATACGATAATCACACAAGTCCTAGAACATGGTATCTGTCCTAGTCAACCTATGATTATTAACCCCTTGAATGATTCTTAGGCCATTCATGTGTTTCTTGTGAAAGGAGAGTAGAATTGGTGAATCTAAACCCCGTTCCCAACATGTGCTAGATGCTTAAAATCCTAGTTAGCTACTCCAAAAAAACATACATCAAGCACATAATAAACTGGTGATTAACAACTTGATAATGAAAGTAAGGAAATCAATTAACTATAAAATCATCCATAACATTGAATATTCATGACTAGGGCTTCATCCTAAGCCCTAACTAAATGGATTAGTTAGACATAATTATGAATACATAAAATAAGAAATGCATAGATAGGATAAAGAGAGGAGAAGAACTAGATGATGGCGGCAAGGAATTCCCAGGACAGCTCCAAGCTCTCTTCTCTCTTTGTGGTGAATCTGAATGTGTGTATGAGAGTAATAGATGAAGTGAAAATGTGTATTTGACTCTCCATTTCTCCTTCTTGGATGAGTGTGCAGCTCTCTATTTATAGAGTGCAATTTCGTCCTCCCCTTTGGCTGGTGAAGCACACCTCTCTTAGTTGCTCCCAACTGCCCATACTTGCCAACTGTTCCAGCTGACAAGTACATGCTTTGGTATGGTTTCTTTATGGAAAACTTGACTTTTGTTCATCCTTCTGAGTTCCTGAGCTGATTTGACTCCCATGTGTGGCTGCCCATACTTAGCACATGGCTCTAGGGATGTAGACACATTAAATGTGATGGCATCCAACATGACATTTCTGTGAACTTTGTTCAGTCTTTGACGTTCTGAGGGCTCCAGATTTATCCACTTGGGCTGAAATTTGGATATGTTATAATAGACACCCATTGGAACAACTTCTATCAAGGATGTCTCCTCATCCGACCTGTGTAAGTTGCTGAAATGAGGACTTCAAGATGACCCACGAAACTTGACTGATAAGGAGTGTGGTCCAAATTGGGTTTGTCTTTAAGCTCATATTCCTCTTATCCTAATCAGCACTTAACAAGCATGGATGGCATCAAATGTGATCTCTTGCTGTCTTAACCTACAAAACAAACAAAAAGAGGTAAGTGACTTAAAATAAAGAGAAACTAGGTAAAGTCACTAAGTAAAGAAGGCATGCAAATGTGTGAAATTATGACCTTATCAATTCTTTTCACCTACAAGGAAGGAGCAAGCTCTTTAAAATCTATATAATTCTATTATGTTCTAGAAGCCTCTAAAGGAAGAGGATGGCGTCTCTTAAGCTTAGCCTTGAGCCTCTCGTGATCTCCTAGAATCTTTTCATTGGAAATTTGCAGCTTGTCAACCCTTGTCTGCTTATCAATGGAGTATGAACTCACCAGTTTCAACAAGGCCTTATTTTCCCTTTTAAGTTTCTCAACCTCTTACTGAGACTCATGAAGCATTCTCGGAAGAGACGAATTTTTAGTGTTCAACTCCTTAATCTTGTTTGCTCTGGCACACAAACGATCAGCCATCCTAGAAACAGAAGCAACACTCTAAATGCTAAAAGCCATATTGAGTCATCAATAGCCTCTTCGTTAGACCTTCTTGTTAACAGTATTTCATCCATATGAGTAAGGAAATTCCTAGCTACTATGACAACAGTTGTATCGTTCATCATCATAGAATCATCAATCGTGCGATGACGATTTTGGGATACAAAGGATGGATGCCAGACTTTGACATCACGGGTTGTTTTGGGAGCAACATTTAAATCGAGATACTTTGGGGAAGAAGAAAAGGAAGCCATTTTAAAAGGGTTTCGAAGAAAGTCTTAGAAAAGCTAAATTTTCATAAAATGGAAGGAAGTTGAGTTGAAATGTAGATCAGGCCTTGTAGAGGCAATATCTATAGACGGAAATGTCGCAATGTTTCTAGGATCCCAATATTTTCTAGAATCCCCACATTCTTTTTTTTTTTAGATTCCAAAACTTTACGCGGCCTCTATTAATGTCTTTCGGTACTTTAGGGGCTTCAATGATTATTTTCATCAAAGCCGATCTTACTTTGTGGATTTCACGAAGTTACCTTTTCAAAAGCATCTCGAGAACCTCACAAATTTCTGTGGTTAATTTGAAATTTACCGGATCTACCTATTCCTCTAATTTGTGTATAAATATGTTACTAACGAAATCTTCTTTCCAGAATACATTCAGTTTTCTCCATATCTAGTAATGCAATATCCACTTGTTTTTCATATCAGTGAGCACTCGATGTGCTTGAAAAGCGAGACTATCTTTGATCATCCATTCAGGAAGCGAGACTATCCCTAATCACGTTTCAGCTAGATCAGGGAACTGTGAGGACGACCACATGCTCTAATCTCCTGAAGTTCTTCTAGGCTAAGAGAAATGAGAGTTTGTTGTCTGTTACCTCACTAGTTTCCTTCCTTGATTGCTTACTTACCTTGCAATCAATATTACAATTTTTTGTATCTTTTCTTTCTTTTTACAACTCTCTGCTCATATGGGATTTTTTTTCTTTAGAACGAATATCTGAAGAACAAATCCATGTAGTGAACCTAACGCTGAGGGTTATATTTTTTGACAGAGACAGAAGAATTGTGATTTTTTTCTCTTGCAGGATATAACTAGATCATTAAGCATTACATTGTATTTACTGAGCTGATATGATCTTGAATGATATTTGAGTAAAGCTCCTCCCACCTAAGGATGTAGGCAGTACTTGTGTTATTTCATGCTTGTACTCTTATTTTGATTTGTACGACATCCTTAAAGGTAACCAAATGAGGAGATAAAGCCGTTCCAGAAGAACGCCATGCAAATGACCATTCCAGAAGAATGACTTGCATTATAGATCGTTCTAGAAGAACGACTTGTATTATGACCATGCCAGAAGAATGGCTTGTATAATTCTGATATGTATTTATGAATTATTAATGCAAATTTCACTGATTGCAAGTTGAATACATAATAAACTACATAGATTAAAGTCCCATAAGAACAAAACATTGGCATAGGAGTGATCAATATAATGCACGCCCATAGCAAATGATATGCATTGAAGTCCCTGAAGGAAAATCCATTAATATCTCAATATTAATATGGTGCACGCCTAATGTGTAGCAAATTATATGGTTTAACTTTAAAGTCCCAGAAGGACAATTAATTGAAATGTATGTATTAATCTGCGGCATGCCTGCAGCATGACAGATATATGGGTTCTAAATGTTCCAACTCCCTGAATGGAGATTATCCACGCCCTACTATAAAATCACTACAAGAAAACAGGTCTTTTGTGAAGATGAGTAGTTGTCACTTAAACATGTAAATTCGTCACAGTTGACAATATGTGACGCATTTTCAGCGTCACAAGGTTCATCGCCTATACCCTGTCATAGATTGTTTGACGTGACAAATTTAAGATTCGTCACATACTAGTTCTATATGTGACGAATATTTCGTCACATATAATACCTTTGCACAAGGCATCTTTCGTCACTTATTGTATCTATCGGTGACAAGCCGTATTGGCCACATTTCACAAGCGTCAGTGGGGAGTTGTTCCTCACATATTTATGAAAATTGTGGGGAGTTGTTCCTCATATATTTATGAAAATTATGACAGTGTACGCCTCACATATAATCTGACCAGCATTCAATTTAATTAAATTCAACTCGATTACTACCATTCCCCATTATATTCTTTTCTTGTATAATATAGCAAAATAATACATCCAAGATCCCCAAAGTTTCACAAGTAAATTGAACTCAAATTTCATTCCATTACATCAAAATAATTATGTTGTTTGATATACAATAGTCTCAACTACATGTTTTTTTCTTCTCATAACTACAAAGTAATTTTTCTACAACTAAAAGTAATGTTGTCCCAAGATGAAAAAGAGTTGAACCAAATTGCAAACGATCCTCAACGACAACCAAAAAGAATGGATCTTTTTGGTTCAACTATGATAAAAAAGAAAAATGGTCATAAAAATGGATATAGAAGATATAAAAGGGCAAATTACCATTGGGGAAGAACATCAAGCTGTTTAATAGAGAGATAAAAGGCCAAATTACCATTGGGGAAGAACATCCTTATTTATGGCTGGGAAGCTACACACTACCAGAAAATATAAAACATAGTACAACATTGTTAACATTAAAGTGAGAAGACAATGTTTGATGTCTAAGAAGTGACCATGGTGAGGAAAATAGAAGGATGAAAAACAGAATCCATCAAAGGATTAAATGAGAAGGATGAAAAAATAAAAATCACACTCCTAAAAATGAAGTACATACAAAGCATAAAAAGCTACAAAAGAATCTTTCATGTGGTAATATAGGCAGAAAATATGGCCTCCATATAACAAAAAGATGTGCTTACACAACAAATTGACACAATAAATCCATTTTTCTTTCATTGACACAGAAAAAGTCATGTACAAACCATCTAGACAAATAGTTCAAATACATCTTAAACCATCTAAAAAGTTAACTCACTACAAGAAAAAAGCCTTTTAACAAGGTCTTTATGTATTGTCAATTAGTGGTCTACTTGTTCTTCCAAGGATATTGACTATGGCTAGACACAGAAATAAACAAAAGAAGAAATAATAGAAAATCAGTAAAACTATCAACCTATTATTAACCAACTAATAAGAATTCCAAAGTTTTAGATAGTTCTAAACACATAAGGACTTGAAATTGGTAAACACTAGTGGAGCCCAATTCCAACAAAAGTTAAAATCTATGCAGCCATCCAAAGTTGTTGTGATAATTCAATAATCATTTTCACAGTGCAGCAAATTTTGATAAAACCAACATTTTTTGTATGTATCAAGATTTATTCTAATACCACTTTTTATAATAAATAATTACTGAGGATCTTTTTTGTTTTCTCTTGGGTAAGATACTAAGGATCTTTTATTGTAAAAGTTAAATCAAAACAAATAGTAGGCTAAAAATCTGTTTGGAAACTTCAAGGGCTATCAGTTCTGCTATGCCAGTGTCGACCTGAAACCATTAAACAAGTGAGAATGTGAGACACAACAACAAAGTGCTAGCATAGGGGACATCAGTTAGGGTTAGAGGACATGGAAGAGCATTCCTATGGAAAATATATATAAAGAAGAGGTGCGTTTTGGAAGAGAGAACCACTAAGTCCCAAGAATTTCACGATTTTCAACTTCACCAATGACAAAGAATATACATAGAATTACCCCTTCTTTATTACTCTTCGAAAGTAATTAAAAGTATCCTCAACTAAGGGAACATACTCACCTTTCCAGCACCAAGGAATAAAAATTTGTGGTCAGCTAATGATCCCCCAACTAATAGCTGCAACAAGTCCTGCAACAATTATTTGGTAGCAACATCTTTGCAACATTACCTAAACTCTTATCAATTGGGCTATAATTGTTATGTTCTATTCTAATATCATGATTTTATAAAGGTGCGTGTTGGAGATATTAAGAAGGAAGATTGGGAGCATCACAGAGGCAAGTGCAAGAAAGGATGAGCACTGAGAGTGGAGCGGCAGCTCCAACCAAATAGCCATCTGAAAAGCCAGCAACAAAGACTGACAGCACATGGGTTGGTAGCAAATAAAGAGCCAAACAAAAGAAAAGAAAGGCAATTAACAAATGAGATGCAGTTGGTGGACGCCATACTTTAGCTTTGTCAGGTTGTAGGGAGTGTAGCAGCTAACTCAAGAGAATATTGCAGCAAAAGCAAGTAGATGAATGACCAATGCAGAGCCCACGTGAAGAAAAGCAGAAACACATGGCAGCCAACACTTGAATTTTGCAGCTGAAGTTGAAGGTCTCCAACCTCTATAAATAGAGAACAACGGCAAGTGAAGTGGGTGTGCAAATACAGAGCCTTGTGGCAAAGAGAACAAGGATAGAGAGAAGGAGTGATCTGAGAGCTATTGGGCTCTCTTGTAGTTGTTGCTCACCTCTCATAGTTCTCATTTATTTCTTATATATTTTAATTTTTGTTTTGTTTTGTTTTTATTTTTAATTATGTCTACCTAAACTCCTTGACTAAGGTTGAGGAGGAAACACCATTATGAAATAAAGTTCTAGTTTTATCTTCAATTCCCTACTATTTTTTTCTTCACTGTTTATAATTTTTCACTTCACATGATTAATATGTTAATTTTCTTTTCACCACTTTTGTCATGTATTTGTGGTAGTTAAGAATTTGTAATTATGAAGGGAGTTGGGCTAAGTTGTAATCTGCATGTAGCTACCTCAAAATCTATTCTAACATTTTCTCAATTTTTCTCATCTAAACTTAAAACAAACTGAAAATCTAATAAGGTTTTCTCATCCAAACCAGAATATGAAGAAACAAGAGTTTCTCATCCATTTTCTTTTCAAATCCTAATAAGGAGTTAACTTTAATAAACTCCTTGTCATGATTCTTTGACTATTAATTTCTCTAACAAGAAAAATAGAGAATTAATTCAAAAAATGGTGAATGCAGAGTCCAGGGCAACAACCAATTGAACATATGACAACATTATCATATATCAAATTGAATACTTGGGATATTGTTGAGACCCAAAAAATACATGGTTGGGCCCGAATAAATTATCAGCCCAAAACGACGATCCATTAGGAAAAAGCGTAAAGCAGAGTGCACCGAAACCTACCACATGCGAATTACAATGCACGTGCCACGCTAAATAAATAAATTCGCTCGGGGTTGAGATAAAATATACCGTGTTTACAGGCCCATGCAAAAATAAGCATCGCAGGATGATAAATTAAAACATGCCAAGCAATGTGCCATGCCAAGCACGAAATCATAATCGCACACCCAATGACGCCACAAGCCTAAGTGGGCCCAAGCCACTCAAAAACCGGGGCTTGCTTGAGTGGGTTGTGGTATGGACGGTGATAAATCAACATGAGACCCATTGATGGGCCGAGAAATGGAAAGTCTCGGGTTGCTTGGGAGCCTCGAGACTCAAGCCCATTTCTTAGGCCCAAACATGTGGGTAAGTACAAGAGAGAAAAGTAGCCCAAAAGCCCAAGCAAAATAACCTAACCAAGAGATAACCCAACCAAAAAAATAAGCCCAAATAAAGAGGCCCAATGTTTCACAAAAGGCCCATTTGCTTATGAAGCCATCTTGGCCCTTAGAAAAACCCAAATAGCCCACAAAAGCTTAAGCTCTTTTGAAAAACAGAGAACACGTGAAGGAGGAGGTTGGCAGACTCATCAAGCAAAGCTGCTGGGAGTAAGTTCCAAGCCAGAGACGCCCAAAGAACCAAGGAATGCTGGCCTACACCCTGTCAAAAGCACCCCTTGGACTAGCATATATTTTCACTTCCTTTCCTTCATCAGATTCAGCCAAGGCAGGGGGAAGGAAAGAAGAAAAAACGGTAACCAAGAAGGCAAGCTCTCACTACGCAGCTGCGGGAAAGGGGGACATTGAGCTCCCAAAATTTCCTGAATTCGAGCAAATAAACAGAGGCAAATTTTGCAAAGAAAGGGAAGTCAGAGAAGAGGAGGAGAAAGGAGGAAAAAGCTTAGCCAAAATAAGTAGAAGCCATTAGGGTTTCTTGAAGAATGGTGATTTCCAGCAGCTATAAATTGAGGCATCCCCTACCCAATAGAGGCAACTAAAAATTTAGGGAGCAAGCTTTCTCTCTAACTTGCAAAAATCTAACTACCTCGTGCACTGTTCATCTTCTTCTCCAATTTGTTTTTCTGGCAGCTGCCAGAAGAATTCTGTCTTTCTTTTTCCTCTTTCCCTAGTCAAACTTCCTCACAAAACACCTCATTCCTTACCTTAATACTTTCTTTTCTCATGAACCAAGCCTAACCTCTCTCTTAGTGCTAAACTTATGTTGGTTTTGCTCCCATGCCACATGCCACTCATGATGAGCTAAAAGACTATCTGAAAGCATGCCAAAATTATCTGTAAGTCACCATTATTTTGATCGGTGAAGATAGCCAAAATATCTCCTAAGGTTTTGCTACCCTTTCGAGGTATTTTGGGGCTTAATTTTCGAACCCAGGCAAAAGGGGACAGTCTCCTCAGTCCACCCTTTTACAGCAGCCCAGCCCATTAGCTGCAGGAAGAAAAAGTCCCCCACATAAATTGGCGACTTCACTGGGGATTAAGTCATCGTCTCCATCAATGCCTCCAAGGAAGAAGACCAGAAGCAACAACATGACTTCCCAGGATGGGCCAAGCCATGCTGACTCAGAGTCAAGGCAACATGCCTCTTCTAGAGTAGAAGAACGTGCAATTGAGGGAACTTTTACCCTTACAGACCTTGTTACAGCCATTCATGCTATGGGTGAGACCCAGAGGGAGATGGCAGAGATGATAAAAGAACTGAAAAATTCGGCTCTAAAGCCAAGTGAAGTGAATGAGAAGCACCCACAAGAAGAATCTGCTGCTGCCGAAAAGGAGTCTGAGCAAAAAGGACCATCTTTTGTCACTCAGGAGGACGTTGTTGCCATGCTGGAAAAGGAGCTGAGTCGAAGTTAGGAAGTATCTTCCTCAGCCGCCGTATCCATCAAGCTTACTCCAGCAACCATATCCTAAAGGCTATGAAGCACCAACCTTTGTCCTTTTTGAAGAAAGGAAGGGGAGCTCGAAGGAGCATGTCAATCGCTTCATTGATGCCTTGGGACCATATGCTAGTGATCATAATCGCTTCATTGATGCCTTGTCAATCGCTTCATTGATGCCTTTGTACGTAGGTTCCGGGACCTGGCATTGGATTGCTATGATAAGAAAGATGAGGAGGCGCTTGTTGAAATCTGCATCAGCAATATCGTGGCAGATTATAGAGTGTATTTGGAGAATATTGGCATTAGTCAATTTTCTCGGCTGCTGGAAGCTGTGAGGAAGACAAGCATGTCCGTTAAGCCACCAGGACAAAAGACTTGGAGGAATGAGAAGAAGGAAGCGCATCAGACATTAGCAATAAATGACAAGCCATCCAACAACTACAATTCACGCAAACGGAAGGATAGGGAGACGTATCCACCACTACCATGCAAAGATGAAGAATTTCATGCTATCCTTGACACGATGATTGCTGATGGCGTAATCAAACCTGTCAGACTCTACAAAATTCCTACCCGAGAGGAAAAGAATGATCCTAGGTACTGCCGTTATCATCAATTTTGTGGGGCATCCAACCACTGCATGTCAGAGTCTGAGGAGGATTTTACACGCCAAAATACATGAGGGAGTCCTTGAACTTCCCTCTAGGAAGCAAACGATTGATGAAGACCCCTTGCCAAAACGAAGGGGAAATGAGGTAGCTGTTGTCATTACATGCTCCGATGATTTGCTTGATGATGATGAATTGTGCCACCCTTGGAGGAATGACCCAAAGCCGCCGGAAGCTATATGGGAACCTTGCGGAAACATGGAGAAGGCATATTGGTGTAAATATTCGAGGCCTTCAAGTTACAACACACCATGGCCACTCGCTGATGGATGGGGTAACAACTCAGACAGCGAAATTTTTGTTTTGGACATGCCGAAAGAATGCTACTCGGGGGCTTTATCGGAGCAGCAGGAAGCAGCTGCTGTGACATTTCATAATCTCACCGAAGCTGAAACAAGTGTGATGGAACGTTATTTAAGCATGAAACAGGGGAACACAGCTTCACAGGTCCTTCAAAGAAACCCGAAGTTCAAATCACTCTTTGACCAACTTGGCTTCGGGCCTCAAGCAAGAGAAGCAGCTGCTGTAGCTCTGATGAATATCTCTGTGGAGTCTAACTCTCACTGCTTTACAACTCAGCCACAAGGGTCATTCTTGGGAAATGACAATGCTATTGTCTTCACGGACGAAGACATGGAAGTTCCATACCCGGACCATAGGAGGCCGCTTTACTTGGAGGGATGTTGAGACCCAAAAAATACATGGTTGGGCCCGAATAAATTGTCAGCCCAAAACGACGATCCATTAGGAAAAAGCGTAAAGCAGAGTGCACCGAAACCTACCACATGCGAGTTACAATGCACGTGCCACGCTAAATAAATAAATTCGCTCGGGGTTGAGATAAAATATACCGTGTTTACAGGCCCATGCAAAAATAAGCATCGCAGGACGATAAATTAAAATATGCAACATGCCATGCCGTTATCTCGCACCCAACCACGCTACAAGCTTAGGTGGGCCCAAGCCACTCAAAAACCCGGGGCTTGCTTGAGTGGGTTGTGGCATGGATGGTGATAAATCAACATGAGACCCATTGATGGACCGAGAAATGGAAAGTCTCGGGTTGCTTGGGAACCTCGAGACTCAAGCCCATTTCTTAGGCCCAAACATGTGGGTAAGCACAAGAGAGAAAAATAGCCCAAAAGCCCAAGCATAATAACCTAACCAAGGGATAACCCAACCAAAAAAATAATAATAAGCCCAACAAGCCCATTTGCTTAGAAAGCCATCTTGGCCCTTAGAAAAACCCAAAATAGCCCACAAGAGCTTAAGCTCTTTTGAAAAATAGAGGACACGTGAAGAGAGGATGGCAGACTCCTTAAGCAAAGTTGCTGGAAACAAGTCCTAAGCCAGAGGCATCCAAAGAATCGATGAGTACTATCCCGCATGCTGTCAGAAGCATCCCTTAGACCAGTATGCATCTTCACTTCCTTTCCTTCTCCAGATTTGGTTAAAAACAGAGGAAAGGAAAGAGGAAAAAACAGCAAACCAAGAGTGGAAGCTCCCACTGCACGGCTGCGGGAAAAGAGGATGTTGAGCCCCCAAATCCCCTGAATTCATGTAAATAGACAGAATCAATCTTTGCCAAGAAAGGGGAAGTCAGAGAAGAGGAGGAGAAAGGAAGAGAAAAACTTAGCCAAAAAAAGTGGAAGCCATTAGGGCTTCTTGAAAAACGATGATTTCCAGCAGCTATAAATGGAGCCTTCCCCTACCCAACAAAAAACAACCCATAACCTGCAGAGAGCAAGCTTTCTCTCTATCTTGCAAAAACTCAACAGACTCGTGCACTGTTCATCTTCTTCTCCAATTTGTTTTTTCTGGCAGCTGTCGGAAGAACCCTGCCTTTCTTTTTCCTCTTTCCCTAGTCAAATTCCTCACAAAACACCTCATTCCTTACTTAAACACTTTCTGTTCTCATAAACCAAGCCTAATTTCTCTCTTAGTGCTAAACCCATGTTGGTTTTGCTCCCATGCCACATGCCACTCCTGCTGAGCTGAAAAGACCATCTGTAAGCATGCCAACACCATCTGCAAGTCACCGTTATTCTCGTTGGTGAAGATCATCCAAAATATCTCCTAAGGTTTGCTGCCCTTTCGAGGTATTTTGGGGCTTAATTTTCGAACCTAAACAAAAAGGGGCAATCTCCTCAGTCTGCCTTTTGCAGTAGCCCAGCCTATTTGCTGCTGGAAGAAAAAAGGCCCCTACATAAATTGGCGACTTCACTGGGGATTAAGCCATTATCTTCATCAATGCCTCCAAGAAAGAAGACTAGAAGCAACAACATGACTTCCCAGGATGGGCCAAGCCATGCTGACTTAGAGTCACGACAACCTGCCTCTTCTAGATAAGAAGAACGTGCAAGTGAGGGAACTTTTACCCTCACAGATCTTGTTGCAGCCATCCGTGCTATGGGTGAGACCCAGAGGGAGATGGCAGAGATGATAAAAGAACTCAAAAATTCGGCTCCAAAGCCAAGTGAAGTGAATGAGAAGCACCCACAGGAGGAATCTGCTGCTGCCGGAAAGGAGTCTGAGCAGAAGGGACCATCTTTTGTCACTCAGGAGGACGTTGTTGCCATGCTGAAAAAGGAGCTGAGTCGAAGTCAGGAAGATTGGAAGTATCTTCCTCAGCCGCCGTATCCATCAAGCTTAGTCCAGCAGCCATATCCTAAAGGCTATGAAGCACCGACCTTTGTCCTCTTTGATGGACGAAAGGGGAGCCCGAAGGAGCATGTCAATCGCTTCATCGATGCCTTGGGACCATATGCTGGTGATCATAATCTTCGACTTAGAGAATTTTCAAAGAGTCTTACCGATCGTGCTTACACATGGTATACAACGTTGGCACCAGGATCTATTCATTCCTGGGAAAGCTTGGCAAGCAGGTTCTGTAAGAAGTATTTCCAGCAAGAAGAACGAGTCACCACCACTCAACTCAACAACACTCGCCAAAAGCATGGTGAGGATCCCGTGGACTTTGTACGTAGGTTCCGGGACCTGGCATTGGATTGCTATGATGAGAAAGATGAGGAGGCACTTGTTGAAATCTGCATCAGCAATATCGTGGCAGATTATAGAGTGTATTTGGAGAATATTGGCATTAGTCAATTTTCTCGGCTGTTGGAAGCTGTGAGAAAGACGAGCATGTCCGTCAAGCCACCAGGACAAAGGACTTGGAGGAATGAGAAGAAGGAAGCACATCAGACATTAGCAATAGATGACAAGCCATCCAACGACTACAATTCACGCAAACGGAAGGATAGAGAGACGTATCCACCACTACCATGCAAAGATGAAGAATTTCATGCTATCCTTGACACGATGATTGCTGATGGCGTAATCAAACCTGTCAGACCCTACAAAGTTCCTACTCGAGAGAAAAAGAATGATCCTAGGTACTGCCGTTATAATCAATTTGTGGGGCATCCAACCACTGCCTGTCAGAGTCTGAGGAGGATTTTACACGCCAAAATACATGAGGAAGTCCTTGAACTTCCCTCTAGGAAGCAAACGATTGATGAAGACCCCTTGCCAAAACGAAGGGGAAAGGAGGTAGCCGCTGTCATTACGTGCTCTGATGATTTGCTTGATGATGATGAATTGTGCCACCCTTGGAGGAATGACCCAAAGCCGCCAGAAGCTATATGGGAACCTTGCGGAAACATGGAAAAGGCATATTGGTGTAAATATTCGAGGCCTTCAAGTTACAACACACCATGGCCACTCGCTGATGGATGGGGTGACAACTCAGGCAGCGAAATTTTTGTTTTGGACATGCCGGAAGAACGCTACTCGGGGGTTTTATCGGAGCAGCAGGAAGCAGCTGCTGTGACATTTCATAATATCACGGAAGCTGAAACAAGTGTGATGGAACGTTATTTAAGCATGAAACAGGGGCCCACAGCTTCACAGGTCCTTCAAAGGAACCCAAAGTTCAAATCACTCTTTGACCAACTTGGCTTCGGGCCTCAAGCAAGAGAAGCAGCCGCTGTAGCTTTGATGAATATCTCTGAGGAGTCTAACTCTCAATGCTTTACAACTCAACCACAAGGGTCATTCTTGGAAAACAACAATGTTATTGTCTTCAGGGACGAAGACATGGAAGTTCCATACCCGGACCATAGGAGGCCGCTTTACTTGGAGGGACAAATCAATGATGTGTTCATAAGGAGAGCTTTGGTAGACACGGGTTCCTCTGTCAACATATTACCTCTGTCTGTGCTTACGGCAGCAGGTATCCCATTGTCCAAAATTGTTCAATCACAAACAAACATCAGTGGTTTCGGGAATAAGAGTGAAGTCATGGTCGGGCATCTACAGGTAAATTTGAAGGTTGGGCCAATTCGGTCACTTACTAAGTTCTATGTTGTGGATGTGGATGTGGCTTACCATGCTTTGCTTGGAAGGCCATGGCTCAACAAGCATAAGCTTGTGGTCTCTACCTATCATCAATGCGTAAAAGGAAGGATTGGGCTGAGGCCACTACGCATACCTGGAAACCAAGCACCGTTCAACAAAGATGAAGCTCACTACTCTGAGGCGGAATTCTACACTGAATGCACAGGTGCTGGAAGCAATCCATCCAAGGATTTCGGGACCTACCTTCCTTCGTGGACTGAAATTCGTGATTTAAGCAATGAGGAGCTCATCACCATTGTTGATCGAGAAAGAAAGAGGCACTCGGAAGTTAACAACCATGCCTATGATCATCCCCAATGCTCAAAGGTGACGCTACCCGATGGACGTATAGTGTACCGCTTATGACGGGGTTGGGGGCTTGACCGTGTCTTACGGGAAAGCCCCTAGTATGGAGGGAAAGTAATGCAAACAAATAGCTGTGGGAGTTCCAACAACAAGGCACCCATGCCTTGTGCTTTCCAAGAACCGATGGCAGAACCCAGACACATGCAAGATGGATCGGCAGCAGTAGCGGAGCAGCTGGAAACAATTGATTTGAGTGAGGATCCCTCTGCCCCAAGGCCCATTTCCATAAGTGTTCATTTAACAAGTGAGGAGAGGGCGGCCTTGGTATCTTTGCTAAAAGAATTCCGAGATGTGTTCGCTTGGAGCTATGAGGAAATGCCTGGCTTAAACCCAAGCTTAGTAAGTCATACTTTGAATATTGAGCTTGGTACAAAACCTATCGTGCAGCCAAGAAGGAATTTTCATCCTGAAGTTGAGAAGCAAATCAAGGTGGAAATTGAAAAGTTGTTAACTGCCGGATTTATTAAGCCAATCAAGCATCCTACGTGGCTAGCAAATATTGTCCCTGTGAAAAAGAAAACCGGTGTGATCAGAATATGCACGGATTATCGAGACCTCAACCGAGCTTGCCCAAAGGACGAGTTCCCGCTGCCTAACATGGATATATTAATTGATTCGACCTCGGGTCAAGGCTTGTTGTCATTCATGGATGGGTTTAGTGGTTACAATCAGATCAAGATGTCACCCAAAGATGCTAAGAAGACAGCCTTTCGAACACCATATGGGAATTTTTATTTTACGGTCATGCCATTCGGCCTCAAAAATGCTGGCGCCACCTACCAAAGAGCCATGACAGCGGTATTTCACGACATGATGGGAAAAGAAGTCGAAGATTATGTGGATGACCTTGTGGTGAAGTCCAAAACCAGAGAAGGCCATCAAGAAGTTTTAAGGAGAGTGCTGGAAAGGTGTCGGCTGTACGGTTTGAAGATGAATCCAAAGAAGTGTGCGTTCGGGGTTTCATCCGGTAAATTCTTGGGGTTTCAAGTACACCAGCGTGGCATAGACGTGGATCCTGAAAAGACTAAAGCCATAAATTCTCTTGCACCGCCTAAAAATCCAAAAGAATTGAAAAGCTTTATGGGAAGATTATCGTATATTCAGCGCTTTATCCCAGGTCTTGCTGCCACCATGAGTGCTTTTACTCCATTGCTCAAGAAAGGCAAGCCGTATGAATGGAGTAAGAAGTGCCAAGAAGCTTACAAGCAGGTGCAACAAATAATCACCAAGCTGCCCACTATGAAAGCACCTATTCCGGGGCTTCCTCTCAAGCTTTATCTTGCTGCAACAAACACGGCGGTTGGGGCCTTACTTGCTCAAGATGATCACAGCGGGGAAGAAAGTCCTATTTATTACGTAAGTAGGCAACTAAGGGGAGCTGAAGTAAGATATCCGAAGACTGAACTCTTGTGCCTTGCTCTTGTCTATGCCGCACAGCGCTTGCGGCATTACTTCCTTGCTCACAAGCTACATCTCATGGTGAAGTCCGATCCCGTAAGATATTTGCTTACAAGGCCGGTGTTATTCGGACGCCTTGCACGTTGGCTGCTACAACTGTCCGAGTTTGATATCACCTGCACCACCCCAAAAGCCATCAAAGGGCAGGCCGTGATTGACATGTTGGCTCTATTTCCCGAAGTTGAAGAATCAACAATCTCTAAGGAAGTTCTGGGGGAGTTGCCGGAAATGGTTGCTGTAGTCACAGAGGCAGAACAATGGACCCTTTACTTCGATGGGTCTTCTACATCAAAGGGTGGAGGGGCAGGTGTGGTGCTTGTCAATCCCGAGGGGCAAGCCACGACCCTCTCGTTTAAGCTAAATTTCCCATGCACAAATAATACGGCAGAGTATGAAGCTTTTATTGCAAGGATGTCTACAGCAAGGGAAATAGGTATCAAAAGAATTAAAATTATTGGGGATTCAAACTTGGTGCTGAGTCAATTACAAGGAAATTTCGCCGTAAAGGAACCAGCATTGGCACCATATCGTACAGCTGCTAAAAGGCTTGTTCGTTCTTTCAAACAGGTTGTGTTGGAACATATCCCGGGAGTCACCAATAGATATGTTGATGCGTTGGCCACTTTGGGGTCGAGGCTCTCATTTATTGAAGAACAGCCCAATATTGCAGTAATCAAGAAGGACACGCCAGTTGTTGAAGCAATGGCTCAAGAGGAGCAACTGGAAGAGGATGACTGGAGGAAGCTTGTGAAAGAAAAAATAGGCAAAGGAAGCGACATCAAAGAATTGAAGGATTGTGCGATCATCTTTGGGGAACTGTACAGACGCCTTCCGGGAGGTATTTTGACCCGCTGCATAGGGATAACAGAAGCACAGGAGAAGCTTCAAGAGGTACATGAGGTCACTTGCAATTTGGAGCCAATAATCAGCTTGTACCGGCGCCTGCAGCGCAAAGGTTATTACTGGCCAGAAATGAGGAAACAAGCAGCTGAAATACAAGCCAATTGTCCCAAGTGCACAAAGATACCCTCCACCGAGGAATCATTCACCGCCTCGTTTGCGGAGGATTGGAGGGCTCCATACTTGGCATCCTTCATCAACGGAGTCTTGCCAACCAATCCCAAGCATGCACGCAAGCTCAAAAGGACAATGAAAAGATACTTCATAGATGGGTCAACTCTTTACCGTAAGGGGTTTAATGGTGAGCCATTAAAATGCGTGGGAAAGTCAGAGGCACAACAAGTCATGCAAGAGATTCATGCTGGGGAATGTGGTGAGCACCAAGGAATGAAGAAGCTTTACCGGCAGCTGCTGAGTGTTGGGTATTATTGGCCTACAATGAAGAATGATGCATACGACTTTGTGAAGAGGTGTCACACATGTCAAGTTCATGCCAACTTAAGTCATAAGCCTCCCACGCTGCTGCAGGACATGCGCACTCCTTGGCCCTTTCATACTTGGGGGCTTGATTTGATCGGGACTATCCATCCACCATCCGACGGCTACATATGGATCCTCACAGCCACCGAATATTTCACAAAGTGGGTAGAAGCGGTCCCTTGCGGAAGGCCACAGGAGCTGCCGTTGCCAATTTCATCCGTGAAAATATTGTATGTAGATTTGGGATCCCATACAAGATTGTCACCGACAATGGCACCCCGTTTGTCAATGGGCAAGTAAGCTCGACACATAGTGGTTATGGTATCAAGCATCGTCGCTCCACGCCTTATTATCCACAAGGAAATGGTCAAGCGGAAGCCACAAACAAGACTTTATTGAGGATCCTAAGCAAAATGGTTTATGAGTATGAAGGAGGTTGGAGTGTTCACCTGCCGGATGCTTTATGGGCTTACCGCACCTCTTCAAGAAGTGCCACAGGTTTCTCGCCCTATTCACTTGTGTACGGGTCCGATGCCATTTCACCAATAGAGATTACCATCCCCACTGCCAGAATAGAAGCTGTTAACGACCTCGAATGGGATACAAAGTCATGCTCGGAATGGCACCTGCTGGACCTTGAAGCTTTGGATGAAAAAGAGCGGTAGCCGAAAAGAGGACAGCGTTGTACCACAGAACTGTAGCTCAAGCCTATAACAGGACAGTCAAGCCTCGTGCCTTCAAGCAAGGAGACCTCGTGCTAAAAGTTGTGGAACATGTGAGGAGACAAGTGTCGGCTATTATCGTCCGCAATGGGAAGGCCCGTTTGCAGTCAAAGAGGTTCACAGCAGCGGCTATTATCGCTTGGTCTCTGTTAAGGAAGGCACGCTGACAGACCCTGTCAATGGGAAGTGGCTCAAGCTCTACTACTGCTAAGTTAACTTTATGCCTAGTACTTTTGTATTTTCTCTCTGTCAAAAAAAAAACAGACTCCTTCTGTCTTATTTTCACGTTTTGAAAAGAAGACACTTTTGTATGATGCACCATTATGGTAGCAAGGGCTTTTGCAACGAGAATGAAGGAATATTTTGAAAAATATATATATTGTGTCTCCAAAAACTTTACTATTATTAACCCTTTATCAAATTTTCTCTATATATATATATATAAACATGCTACTTAGTAGTAAAACATGCCGGGCAAAGTCACTTAGATGGGGTCCCCAAGCATCATTAAGCAAAAAAAAAAAAAAAAAAAAATAAAAGCATAAGGTATGTTGCAAAGAGACATGCAATTTCGAGATGCTGGAACAACACGATACAACACCTGGAAGCTTTATAGAGCCCAAGTAGAAATCATGCACATATTGGCTCGACCCTTTGGGAAAGGTGGGAAGCTATTTTGTCAAGCTTAGAATCTAGATAAGCCATGCAAAAGAAACTTTCGAAAATTTTGCTTCTGTTAAAAAAAAAAATTCGACAGCATATACCCTGTTTTCAATGATATCCAACCTGTCAGAAAATTTCAAGCAGTCCATAAAAACAACTCTGGCCAACAAAGCAGTACATATACATATATACACAGGAAATATGCAACATGCCTCAAGCATTCGGAAATTCATACAAGCTTCAGTAGTTTAATATCAAAATTACAAAGGCATAACGACGTAGTCGTTAAGAAAAACAAAAAAAAAAAAAAAAAAAAAAAAAACAAAACAAACAAAAAAAACAAAAAAAAAAAACTACATATGCTGAAGGTTCACGCGCCCTTAAGTCACAAAGAAAGCAGGATCATGTGCCAAGCTAAATGGTTACCAAGCCAAGGATGAGCAATCTGCAAAAGATAAAAAGAAAATGTGTGTCAAAAATAGTTGCTGCTGGAATATGTAACGTGACAAAAAAAAATAAAAAATATATATAATGAATGAGCTGAGTACCTTTAGGCTATGGGGAATGTCCGAAAAGAACAAAAGAAGCCCCAGGAGATAATCTGGCCGCTACCTCCGTCACGCACTCAGCGCTGTCAATAGAAATACCCTTAGCAAGAAGGAGGGCATGCATCTACCGGCGCTGGTTCTCCAATTCCTGTTGTTTACTTCATCAGAATCATGCGATAATTGCATACTACGAATGGCACGTGCTCCAAAGCCGGCACGTGCTAAGTTCTTCATGAGTTTAAGAAGAAATTCCACGCGAAAGCCCAGAATCATGGCCTCACATATTGCATCTCGCCAACAGAGCAGTTTGTGATCCGTAATATCAAGGAGTTGCATGGTGTCCATCCCATGAAGTACTAAGCCAAGGGCTCGAAGGGCAATACACCTTGAGAAAGAAGAGGTGACATTTGTAGCTTCCATCAAACTTCCGTATTTGTCCATGAACCTTTTCAAGGCTTCAACCATCTCTGGATACACAAGGGCACCTTGGAATGTCGCATAACCATCGAATCTGTGGCAAAGCGGAAGAAGTTCATCAATGGATCTAAGAATGGTGACACCAGCATCAAAAAAGGCTTTGAATGCCGTGTAGGAGTTCTCCCAATCTTGCCAAGACATGAGTTTCTCGAATGAATGCGCTTTTGAGGAACCTGCGATAAAAGCATCACCATTCTTATGACTATTGTCAATAACCTCAGCAAAGGGATGTACTGCTGGAAGAAGTGGAGTGGTGCCGGAAGCTATGTCAGGTGTGCTCGAAATCGGAAAAGTAAGGCGATGTACTGCTGGAAGAAGTGGAGCGGTGCCGGAAGCTATGTCAGGTGCGTTCGGAATTGGAGAAATAGGAGGAGGAACTGTTAGAAGTGGCGGAGAGGCGTCAGCAGCCATGTCGGGAGTACATGGGTTAGGAGAAGGAGGAGGTTGCACTGCCGGAAGGCTCAGGACAGCTTCAGCGACAGTAATGGGAAAGGCAAGACTGGCTTCGGATGAAGCACCTATCGTGCCTTCAATGGTGGGCACGACCTGCAGGAGAAAGGCAAAGTATGAACTATGGGACACAACGGGCAGTATGCAATGTCAATATGCCAAGTAGAACAAGCAAGAGGGATATTTGATACCAGTTCAATGTCGACGCGCTGTCCATGATTGCTAGCCAAAGCAGGAGTTGTATCTGAACCATTGAGCTCCTCCAAGCTAGTGCCGAAGGCCGGATACGTGCCTTCATCGTGACTATCGTATTGGCCTTCATCAAGGTCCTCATCCATGCCACTTGTATCTCGAGCGCTCTCTTGCTAATGGATGTTATCAGTCCCCACAGCACCACTGTCATCACTATCATCATCACTATTATCATCAACAGTCACCACTATTTTGGGTCCCGAGTCTTCACCTTTATTCTTACGGGTATTAGCAAATCGCGTTTCAAGGATACGCATGCTTCGACGCTTCGGGGTCACGGAAAACCCCTTACCCTTGCCTTTACTTTGGGTAGTACCTGTAAAATAGGATAAAAGGCATACTTATATGTACGCAAAGAGCGGGAAACAAAGAGAGCAAATAAAAGGCATACTTACTGTGAGGAGATGAAGTTCTTGGAGCTGCTCGCTCGCTGCTGCCGGAAGCTACAGGCTGCTGCTGCAAAGGCTCTGGCAAGGCAACTTTTCTTGAGCTAGGAGGACCACTTGCTGCTACCTTGGGGATGAACCTTTTCGGCCCTTTTACAGCTTGCCTTTTCTCGACGCTGTAGCTTTCCTCTCGCTTCCGTTTCCCATGTACAACACTTTTCCCGGTGCTGTGAGAACCCGAATTTTCTAACTTCCGCTTTAGCTTCGAAAAGTCACCGACAATCTCTCCGCTTTTGGAAGTAAAAGGCAGATTTCGCTTCTCGCTCAGGGAAATGGCTTTCTCTTCCGACACTAAACGGGCATGATGAATGATGGTGGGAATCAATCTATCACAATGGGCAGCATGGAATCGGCTAAACGAGGCGAAGCAGCGGTTCCAATAATTTTGGTAGGCCTTTGAGAGACTACCAACGCGCTGCCGGCTGGCCAGAGCAAGGGCAAGAGGTCTGCCGTCTCCCGGCACACTGTCACCAGTCCAAAAAACCCTGTGCAAGGTCAAGGAATCCCCATGGTTGGGACGAGAGGGCACGCCTTGGTCAAACCCAAGCTGTCGTCTAACCCGGTATGGGGAATAATGCACAGAAATCTCCAAGTGGTCATCACTAAATGTGGGCAAAGGGAGGCATGCGGCACTCAACAAGGGATGGCGTTGAACGCATCAAGAAGAGGAGAAAATCGGGGATTTGAAGGCAAAACCCGCACAAAAGAAAACCCTTCCAGCATCAACAAATGGATTTTCTTTGAACGAAGGAGGGACGACGAGGTTGAGTCTGAGTCGGACTAGGGTCTTTCTTCCCGGTAGCTGGAGATGGGTGATTTCTACCCGATTGCACTTTCTCACTTGGTCTGACTTCGTGGAGGAGCAAAAGAGAACACAAGAAAGATAGTTGGAGAGAAGTTTTGGGTCTGGAGCGAAAAAAAGAAAGGAAAAGGAAGAAGTTTGAGCCTGGTGCGAGAAAAGAGAAACAAAGGAGGAAAAAATAATAATAAAAAGAAGAGGAAGGCAGTTGGCGTTGGGAAACTGCAAATAACCGCTGGGACCAATCATGGCACGCCGTCATTTTGCACGCGGGAAGAGGAAGAGTTCTCCACAAATACAAATTTGATTTTTTGGGTTGGGTTTAATTACTCGGCCCATTCCAGCACCTGTTCATGGCCCTTATAATTAAGGGGGCTAATGTTGAGACCCAAAAAATACATGGTTGGGCCCGAATAAATTGTCAGGCCAAAACGACGATCCATTAGGAAAAAGCGTAAAGCAGAGTGCACCGAAACCTACCACATGCAAATTACAATGCACGTGCCACGCTAAATAAATAAATTCGCTCGGGGTTGAGATAAAATATACCGTGTTTACAGGCCCATGCAAAAATAAGCATCGCAGGACGATAAATTAAAATATGCAACATGCCATGCCGTTATCTCGCACCCAACCACGCTACAAGCTTAGGTGGGCCCAAGCCACTCAAAAAACCCGGGGCTTGCTTGAGTGGGTTGTGGCATGGATGGTAATAAATCAACATGAGACCCATTGATGGACCGAGAAATGGAAAGTCTCGGGTTGCTTGGGAACCTCGAGACTCAAGCCCATTTCTTAGGCCCAAACATGTGGGTAAGCACAAGAGAGAAAAATAGCCCAAAAGCCCAAGCATAATAACCTAACCAAGGGATAACCCAACCAAAAAAATAATAATAAGCCCAACAAGCCCATTTGCTTAGAAAGCCATCTTGGCCCTTAGAAAAACCCAAAATAGCCCACAAGAGCTTCAGCTCTTTTGAAAAACAGAGGACACGTGAAGAGAGGATGGCAGACTCCTTAAGCAAAGCTGCTAGAAAGAAGTCCCAAGCCAGAGACATCCAAAGAATCGATGAGTACTATCCCGCATGCTGTCAGAAGCATCCCTTAGACCAGTATGCATCTTCACTTCCTTTCCTTCGCCAGATTTGGTTAAAAACAAAGGAAAGGAAAGAGGAAAAAACAGCAAACCAAGAGTGGAAGCTCCCACTGCACGGCTGCGGGAAAAGAGGATGTTGAGCCCCCAAATCCCCTGAATTCATGTAAATAGACAGAATCAATCTTTGCCAAGAAAGGGGAAGTCAGAGAAGAGGAGGAGAAAGGAAGAGAAAAACTTAGCCAAAAAAAGTGGAAGCCATTAGGGCTTCTTGAAAAACGATGATTTCCAGCAGCTATAAATGGAGCCTTCCCCTACCCAACAAAAAACAACCCATAACCTGCAGAGAGCAAGCTTTCTCTCTATCTTGCAAAAACTCAACAGACTCGTGCACTGTTCATCTTCTTCTCCAATTTGTTTTTTCTGGCAGCTGCCGGAAGAACCCTGCCTTTCTTTTTCCTCTTTCCCTAGTCAAATTCCTCACAAAACACCTCATTCCTTACTTAAACACTTTCTGTTCTCATAAACCAAGCCTAATTTCTCTCTTAGTGCTAAACCCATGTTGGTTTTGCTCCCATGCCACATGCCACTCCCGCTGAGCTGAAAAGACCATCTGTAAGCATGCCAAAACTATCTGCAAGTCACCGTTATTCTCGTTAGTGAAGATCATCCAAAATATCTCCTAAGGTTTGCTGCCCTTTTGAGGTATTTTGGGGCTTAATTTTAGAACCTAAACAAAAAGGGGCAATCTCCTCAGTCTGCCTTTTGCAGCAGCCCAGCCCATTTGCTGCTGGAAGAAAAGAGGCCCCTACAAGGGACAAATCAATGATGTATTCATAAGGAGAGCTTTGGTAGACACGGGTTCCTCTGTCAACATATTACCTCTGTCTGTGCTTACGGCAGCTGGTATCCCATTATCTAAAATTGTCCAATCACAAACAAACATCAGCGGTTTCAGGAATAAGAGTGAAGTCACAGTCGGGCAACTGCAAGTAAATTTGAAGGTTGGGCCAATTCGGTCACTTACTAAGTTCTATGTAGTGGATGTGGATGTGGCTTACCATTCTTTGCTTGGAAGGCCATGGCTCAACAAGCATAAACTTGTGGTCTCTACCTATCAACAATGTGTAAAAGGAAGGATTGGGATGAGGCCCCTACGCATACCTGGAAACCAAGCACCGTTCAACAAAGATGAAGCTCACTACTCCGAGGCAGAATTCTACACTGAATGCACAGGTGCTGGAAGCAATCCATCCAAGGATGTCGGGACCTACGTTCCTTCATGGACTGAAATTCGTGATTTAAGCAATGAGGAGCTCATCACCATTGTTGATTGAGAGAGAAAGAGGCACTCGGAAGTCAACAACCATGCCTATGATCATCCCCAATGCTCAAAGGTGACGCTGCCCGATGGACGTATCGTGTACCGCTTATGACGGGGTTGGGGGCTTGACCGTGTCTTACGGGAAAGCCCCAAGTATGGAGGGAAAGTAATGCAAAAAAATAGCTGTGGGAGTTCCGATAACAAGGCACCCATGCCTTGTGTTTTCCAAGAACCGATGACAGCACCCAGACACATGCAAGATGGATCGGCAGCAGTAGCTGAGCAGCTGGAAACAATTGATTTGAGTGAAGATCCCTCTACCCCGAGGCCCATTTCCATTAGTATTCATTTAACAAGTGAGGAGAGGGCGGCCTTGATATCTTTGCTATGAGGAAATGCCTGGCTTAGACCCAAGCTTAGTAAGTCATACTTTGAATATTGAGCTTAGTACAAAACCTATCATGCAGCCGAGAAGGAATTTTCATCCTGAAGTTGAGAAGCAAATCACGGTGGAAATTGAAAAGTTGTTAGCTCCCGGATTCATTAAGCCAATCAAGCATCCTACGTGGCTAGCAAATATTGTCCCTGTGAAAAAGAAAACCGGTGTGATCAAAGTATGCACGGATTATCGAGACCTCAACCGAGCTTGCCCAAAGGACGAGTTCCCGCTGCCTAACATGGATATCTTAATTTATTCGACCTCGGGTCAAGGCTTGTTGTCATTCATGGATGGGTTTAGTGGTTACAATCAGATCAAGATGTCACCCAAAGATGTTGAGAAGACAGCCTTTCGAACACCATATGGGAATTTTTATTATACGGTCATGCCATTCGGCCTAAAAAATGCTAGCGCCACCTACCAAAGAGCCATGACAGCAGTGTTTCACGACATGATGAGAAAAGAAGTTTTAGATTATGTGGATGACCTTGTGGTGAAGTCCAAAACCAGAGAAGGCCATCAAGAAGTTTTGAGGAGAGTGCTGGAAAGGTGTCGGCTGTTCGGTTTAAAGATGAATCCAAAGAAGTGTGCGTTCGGGGTTTCATCCTGTAAATTCTTGGGGTTTCAAGTACACCAGCGTGGCATAGACGTGGATCCTGAAAAGACTAAAGCCATAAATTCTCTTGCACCGCCTAGAAACCCAAAAGAATTGAAAAGATTTATGGGAAGATTATCGTATATTCGACGCTTTATCCTAGGTCTTGCTGCCTCCATGATTGCTTTTACTCCATTGCTCAAGAAAGGCAAGCCGTATGAATGGAGTGAGAAGTGCCAAGAAGCTTACCAGAAAGTGCAACAAATAATCACCAAGCTGCCCACTATGAAAGCACCTATTCCGAGGCTTCCTCTCAAGCTTTATTTGGCTGCAACAAAGACAGCAGTAGGGGCTTTGCTTGCTCAAGATGATCATGACGGGGAAGAAAGTCCCATTTATTACGTAAGTAGGCAACTAAGGGGAGCTGAAGTAAGATATCCGAAGACTGAACTCTTGTGCCTTGCTCTTGTCTATGCTGCACAGCGCTTGCGGCATTACTTCCTTGCTCACAAGCTACATCTCATGGTGAAGTCTTATCCCGTAAGATATTTGCTTACAAGTCCGGTGTTATCCGAACGCCTTGCACGATGGCTGCTACAACTGTCCGAGTTTGATATCACCTACACCACCCCAAAAGCCATCAAAGGGCAGGCCGTGATTGACATGTTGGCTCTATTTCTCGAAGTTGAAGAATCAACAATCTCTATTGAAGTTCTGGGGGAGCTGCCAAAAATGGTTGATGTAGTCACAGAGGCAGGACCATGGACCCTCTACTTCGATGGGTCTTCTACATCGAAGGGTGGAGGGGCAGGTGTGGTGCTTGTCAATCCCGAGGGGCAAGCCACGACCCTCTCATTTAAGCTAAATTTCCCATGCACAAATAATACGGCAGAGTACGAAGCTTTTATTGCAGGGATGTCTACAGCAAGGGAAATGGGTGTCAAAAGAATTAAAATTATTGGGGACTCAAACTTGGTGCTGAGTCAATTGCAAGGAAATTTCACTGTGCACCATATCGTATAGCCGCTGAAAGGCTTGTTCGTTCTTTCAAATAGGTTGTGTTGGAACATATCCCGGGGGTCACTAATAGATATGCTGATGCGTTGGCCACATTGGGGTCGAGGCTCACATTTATTGAAGAACAGCCCAATATTGTAGTAATCAAGAAGGACGCGCCAGTTGTTGAAGCAATGGCTCAAGAGGAGCAGCTGGAAGAAGATGACTGGAGGAAGCTTGTGAAAGAAAATATAGGCAAAGGAAGCGACATCAAAGAATTGAAGGATTATGCGATCATCTTTGGGGAACTGTACAGACGCCTTCCGGGAGGTATTTTGACCCGCTGCATAGGGACAATAGAAGCACAGGAGAAGCTTCAAGAGGTACATGAGGTTACTTGCAATTTGGAGCCAATAATCAGCTTGTATCAGAGCCTGCAGCGCAAGGGTTATTATTGGCCAGAAATGAGGAAACAAGCAGCTGAAATGCAAGCCAATTGTCCCAAGTGTGCAAAGATACCCTCCACCGAGGAATCATTCACCATCTCGTTTGCGGAGGATTGGAGGGCTCCATACTTGGCATCCTTCATCAACGGAGTCTTGCCAACCAATCCCAAGCATGCACGCAAGCTCAAAAGGACAATGAAAAGATACTTCATAGATGGGTCAACTCTTTACCATAAGGGGTTTAATGGTGAGCCATTAAAATGCTTGGGAAAGTCAGAGGCACAGCAAGTCATCCAAGAGATTCATGCTGGAGAATGTGGTGAGCACCAAGGAATGAAGAGGCTTTACCGGCAGCTGCTGAGTGTTGGGTATTATTGGCCTATAATGAAGAATGATGCATACAACTTTGTGAAGAGGTGCCACACATGTCATGTTCATGCCAACTTAAGTCATAAGCCCCCCTCGCTGTTGCAAGACATGCGCACTCCTTGGCCCTTTCATACTTGGGGGCTTGATTTGATCAGGACTATCCATCCACCATCCGACAGCTACATATGGATCCTCACAGTCACCGAATATTTCACAAAGTGGGTTGAGGCGGTTCCCCTGCGGAAGGCCACGGGAGCTACCATTGCCAATTTCATCCGTGAATATATTGTATGTAGATTTGGGATCCCATACAAGATTGTCACCGACAATGGCACCCCATTTGTCAATAAGCAAGTAAGCTCGACGCTTAGTGGTTATGGTATCAAGCATCGTCGCTCCACGCCTTATTACCCACAAGGAAATGGTCAAGCGGAAGCCACGAACAAAACTTTATTAAGGATCCTAAGCAAAATGGTTTATGAGTATGAAGGAGGTTGGAGTGTTCACCTGCCGGATGCTTTATGGGCCTACCGCACCTCTTCAAGAAGTGCCACAGGTTTCTCACCCTATTCGCTTGTGTATGGGTCCGATGCCATTTCACCAGTAGAGATTACCATCCCCACTGCCAGAATAGCAGCTGTTAACGACTTTGAATGGGATACAAAGTCATGCTCGAAATGGCGCCTGTTGGACCTTGAAGCTTTGGATGAAAAAAGAGCGGAAGCCAAAAAGAGGACAGCGTTGTACCACAGAACTGTAGCTCAAGCCTATAACAGGACAGTCAAGCCTCGCGCCTTCAAGCAAGGAGACCTCGTGCTAAAAGTTGTGGAGCATGTGAGAAGACAAGTGTTGGGACCTTCCAAGTTTGCACCGCAATGGGAAGGCCCATTTGCAGTCAAAGAAGTTTACAGCAGCGGCTATTATCGCTTGGTCTCTGTCAAAGAAGGCACGCTGACGGACCCCGTCAATGGGAAGTGGCTCAAGCTCTACTACTGCTAAGTTAACTTTATGCCTAGTACTTTTGTATTTTTCCTTTGTCAAAAAAAAATAAACTCCTTCTGTCTTATTTTCACGTTTTGAAAAAAAAAGACACTTTTGTATGATGCACCATTATATTAGCAAGGGCTTTCGCAATGAGAATGAAGGAATATTTTGAAAAAAAATATATTGTGTCTCCAAAAACTTTACTGTTATTAACCCTTTCTCAAATTTTCTATATATATATATATATATATATATATATAATATAAAAGAACATGCCACTTAGTAGTGAAACATGCCGGGCAAAGTCACTTAGATGGGGTCCCCAAGCATCACGCTTAAGCAAAAAAAAATAATAGCATAAGGCATGTTGCAAAGAGACATGCAATTTTGAGGTGCTGGAACAACACGATACAACACCTGGAAGCTTTATAGAGTCCAAGTAGAAATCATGCACATATTAGCTCGACCCTTTGGGAAAGGTGGGAAGCTATTTTGTCAAGCTTAGAATCTGGATAAGCTATGCAAAAGAAACTTTCGAAAATTTTGCTTCTGTTAAAAAAAATTTCGACAGCATATACCCTGTGTTCAATGATATCCAACCTATCAGAAAATTTCAAGCAGTCCATAAAGACAACTCTGGCCAACAAAGCAGTACATATATATATATATATATATACATAGGAAATATGCAACATGCCTCAAGCATTCGGAAATTCATACAAGCTTCAGTAGTTTAATATCAAAATTACAAAGGCATAACGACGTAGTCGTTAGAGTCTTAAAAGAAAAAAAAACAACACTACAAACAAAGCAAAATAAAACTACATATGCTGAAGGTTCATGCGCCCTTAAGTCACAAAGAAAGCAGGATCATGTGCCAAGCTAAATGGTTACCAAGCCAAGGATGGGCAATCAGCAAAAAAAAAAAAAAAAAAAAAATGTGTGTCAAAAAATAGCTGCTGCTGGAATATGTAACGTGATAAAAAAAAATGATGAATGAGTTGAGTACCTTTAAGCTATGGGGAATGTCCGAAAAGAACAAAGGAAGCCCAAGGAGATAATCTGGCCGCTGCCTCCGTCACGCACTCAGCGCTGTCAACAGAAATACCCTTAGCAAGAAGGAGGGCATGCATCTCCCGGCGCTGGTTCTCCAACTCCTGTTGTTTAATATTCAAGGCATCTGCAGCAGCTTTTACTTCATCAAAGTCATGCGATAATTGCATACTACGAATGGCCCATGCTCCAAAGACGGCACGTGCTAAGTTCTTCACGAGTTTGAGAAGAAATTCCACGTGAAAGCCCAGAATCATGGCCTCACATATTGCATCTCGCCAACAGAGTAGTTTGTGATCCGTAATATCAAGGAGTTGCATGGTGTCCATCCCGTGAAGTACTAAGCCAAGGGCTCGAAGGGCAGTGCACCTTGAGAAAGAGGAGGTGACATCTGTAGCTTCCATCAAACTTCCGTATTTGTCCATGAACCTTTTCAAGGCTTCAACCATCTCTGGATACACAAGGGCACCTTGGAATGTCACATAAACATCGAATCTGTGGAAAAGCGGAAGAAGTTCATCAATGGATCTAAGAATGGTGACACCACCATCAAAAAAGGCTTTGAATGCCGTATAGGAATTTTCCCAATCTTGCCAAGACATGCCTTTCTCGAACGAATGCCCTTTTGAGGAACCTGCGATAAAAGCATCACCATTCTTATGACTATTGTCAATAATCTCAGCAAAGGGATGTACTGCTAGAAGAAGTGGAGCGGTGCCGGAAGCTATGTCAGGTGTGCTCAGGATTGGAGAAGTAGGGGGAAGTACTGCTAAAAGAAGTGGAGCGGTGCCGGCAGTTATGTCAGGAGTGCTCGGGATTGTAGAAGTAGGGGGAGGAACTGCTGGAAGTGCTGGAGAGGTGCCGGCAGCTATGTTAGGTGCGCTCGGTATTGGAGAAATAGGAGGAGGAACTGCTAGAAGTGGTAGAGAGGCGTCAGTAGCCATGTCAGGAGTGCACAGGTTAGGAGAAGAAGGAGGCTGCACTGTTGGAAGGCTCAGGACAGCATCAGCAACAGTAGTGGGAAAGGCAAAACTAGCCTCCGATGAGGCACCTATCGTGTCCTCAATGGTGGCACGACCTGCAGGAGAAAAACAAAGTATGAACTATGGGACACAACGGGCAGTATGCAATGTCAATATGCCAAGTAGAACAAGCAAGAGGGACATTCGATACCAATTCAATGTCGACACGTTTTCCATGATTACTAGCCAAAACAGGAGGTGTATCTGAGGCGTCGAGCTCCTCCAAGTTAGTACCGAAGTCCGGATATGTGTCTTCATCATGACTATAGTATTGGTCTTCATCAAGGTCCTCATCCATGCCACTTGCATCGTGAGTGCTCTCTTGCTCGTGGATGTTAATCTCAGTCCCCGCAACACCACTGTCATCGCTACCATCATCACTATTATCATCAACCATTACCACTACTTTGGGTCCCGAGTCTTCACCTTTGTTCTCGCGAGTATTGGCAAACCGTGTTTCGAGAAGACGCATGCTTCGACGCTTCGAGATCACGGGAACCTCCTTACCCTTGCCTTTACTTTGGGAAGTACCTGTAAAATAAGATAAAAGGTATACTTATATGTATATAAAGAGCGGGAAACAAAGAGAGCAAACAAATGGCAATACTTACTGCGAGGAGACGAAGCCCTTGGTGCTGTTCGCCTGCTACTGTCGGGGGCTACGGGCTACTGCAGTGGTAAAGGCTCTGGCAAGGCAACTTTTCTTGGGCTAGGAGGACCACTTGCTGCTACCTTGGGGATGAACTTTTCGGCCCTTTTACAGCTTGCCTTTTCTCGACGCTGCAGCTTTCCTCTCGCTTCTGTTTCCCATGTACAGCACTTTTCCCGGTGCTGTGAGAACCCGATTTCTCTAATTTCCGCTTTAGCTTCGAAAAATCACCAACGATCTCTCCGCTTTTGGAAGTAAAAGGTAGATTCCGCTTCTCGCTCAGGGAAATGGCCTTCTCTTCCGACACTAAGCGGGCATGATGAATGATGGTAGGAATCAATCTATCACAATGGGCAGCATGGAATCGGCTAAATGAGGCAAAGCAGCGGTTCCAATAATTTTGGTAGGCCTTCGAGAGACTACCAACGCGCTGCCGGCTGGCCAGAGCAAGGGCAAGAGGTCTGCCGTCTCTCGGCACACTGTCACCAGTCCAAAAAACCCTGTGCAAGGTCAAGGAATCTCCATGGTTGGGATGGGAAGGCACGCCTTGGTCAAACCCAAGCTGTCGTCTGACCCGGTAAGGGGAATAATGCACAGAAACCTCCGTGTGGTCATCACCAAATGTGGGCAAAGGAAGGCATGCAGCACTTAACAATGCCTCTCTACGTAACCGACAACCTTGTGTTGGCATGGCCAAGGCCTCCATTAAAACATCAAAATCAGCATAGAGGGGTATACTTCTAAATGCCTCTGATAAAGCGCAATAGGGACGGAAGGTAAATTGCTCAACATCATCCAGCAACTCTAAAAAATTTTGGCCCTTTCTTTGCATTCTACGAGACCATCGACATATCAAGGGGAGAATACCCGGCACATAAGAACCCGCGTCGGAATCAACAAGAGATCTAGCCTTTGGATAGGGAAGTGGAGATACCTCTACACCTTTGAAGCGCTCCCATAAGAAGATTTGCAGAAAGCTGGAATTCACAAAAGTCTCCACAGCCATAGTTCCTGCTGTCCCTTTCTCAAGAAACTGAATTTGATCGAGCAATCGGTATAGGTGCCCCAAGAACATGGGGGCTAGAGGAATCATGCTACCCCGTGCTATTGCCAAGGCCAACGGAAATATCCTTTCGTGCAAGCAGTCTTGGGAAAAATCACAAAAGAGGAATCTCCCAAGCCATAATGATACAAATGCAGCAACACGACACGGTTCATCTCGGTTACCATCCCCAAAAAACTGAATCCAATTGCTGAACCTCAGGGAAGTACTAGGAGAAGTCGAGGCACCCTTCCGTACGGCCTCAAACTTGAGTTTATCCTCTGTCGTCAGTACAATGTGGAAGGGATCTTAGCTGCCGCAAAGTGGAAGGTGGAAAATGGTGGCTACATCCTCAAGCGTGGGGGTAAACTCTCCCCATGAACAAATAAAGGTATGTGTCTCAGTACTCCATCGCCTAACCATGTGTCGAAGCATCCGGGCTTTAATATGGATTTCGTAAGCCTTAGAAATAAAGATGGCATCCAGCACCCCTGCCCGGCTTAGGATGTCACAGGTAGACGGATTCTTCAACTCCCGATCAACCCACTCTGACCAACCCTTGCTGGTGCCGCATGGATACTGAAAGAACAAGGGGACTGCTGGAAATAGGCCTCTCTCTATACAACACCTTGATACGGATGCAGGATCAATTATTGGAGTCACCTCGGGCACTGGCTCTCCATCAATAATTATGTCTTCATCGGTACCTTTAAGCAAAGGAGGGGGCCTCCCTCTCTTTAACCTGTCATCCGTGGAGTAAAGATGGTCCCTGATTATGGATGATGGATTAATAGACATCATGGCAAGTCTTGGCAAAACAGTGAACACCTGCACACGAAAGAGTGGGAAGAAGCAAAATAAAACTAGCACGCGCAAGCCACATATCAAACGTGGCTGGTCGAGTTCATCCAAGCAAACATGCAATTTAAAATTCAAGCGCATGACAAGTAAAAGTCTCACTCCGTGATCAACAAGCAGAATAAGCAAGTCCCTTCTCGAAATGAAAAAAATAAAATTTAAAAAATATATATATAATAATAATAAAATAAATATTCAACTAGGCAGTACAGAACATGCACTCTGTCAAGTGTTGTTCTCCACAAGCAACACACGTAAGAACCCACAATTGATCAGGCATGCGTTCTCAAGGAAAGAAAGCCTAGGCCAAGCATCAGTCTACACCTATTCTAAAATACCCAGGAGTTTTTTTCCAAAAAAAAATAAAAAAATTACCAAAAAAAAAAAAAAAAAAAAAAAAAAAAAAAAAAAAAAATCCAAGAAGAAGACTGAGAAATTCGAAGGTTCCAGCAGTAGAAACGTCAAGGGTTTCCAGCACCTACCCTCACCTATGCCTGAGACGTATATACCTGCACATAAATAAATAAAAGAGAAAGCATATCATGCCAAGATTAGCCTTTTCACATACAAAGAGGACGCCTGTGCAAGATAAAGGTGAAGAAAAAGGAAAAAGGGAGAAAACCAAGCCAACAAAAATTAGGGTACCTTTCCAGCAGCTTGAGCAAAATTAACGAAGGAAGAAACTCAGACAACGGCACGGGCTCTTCCTTGCTAGTACCCGGTCCGTGCACATTCTTGTTGCAACAGTAAAAAGATGGGTGAAAAAAAGGGATTTGGTATTTGGCTGCCCAAAACGAAAAAGCAACACCCATGGGTACGAGAAACCCAACAAATTCTCCAATCAATCTAAGGGAAAAACTGGAGAAAATGGGGTACCTTGTTAAATCTTCCAAGGGATGGCCTTGGATGCACCAAGAAGAGGAGAAAATCGGGGATTTGAAGGCAAAACCCGCACAAAAGAAAACCCTTCCAGCATCAGCAAATGGATTTTCTTTGAACGAAGGAGGGACGACGAGGTTGAGTCTGAGTCGGACTGGGGGCTTTCTTCCCAACAGCTGGAGATGGGTGATTTCTACCCAATTGCACTTTCTCACTTGGTCTGACTTCGTGGAAGAGCAAAAGAGAACACAAGAAAGATAGTTGGAGAGAAGTTTTGGGTCTGGAGCGTAAAAAAGAAAGGAAAAGGAAGAAGTTTGTGCCTGTTGCGAGAAAAGAGAAACAAAGGAGAAAAAATAATAATAAAAAGAAGAGGAAGGCAGTTGGCGTTGGGAAAATGCAAATAACCGCTGGAACCAATCATGGCACGCTGTCATTTTGCACGCGGGAAGAGGAAGAGTTCTCCACAAATACAAATTTGATTTTTTGGGTTGGGTTTAATTACTCGGCCCATTCCAGCACCTGTTCATGGCCCTTATAATTAAGGGGGCTAATGTTGAGACCCAAAAAATACATGGTTGGGCCCAAATAAATTATCAGCCCAAAACGACGATCCATTAGGAAAAAGCGTAAAGCATAGTGCACCGAAAAATAGCCCACAAAAGCTTCAGCTCTTTTGAAAAACAGAGAACACGTGAAGGAGGAGGTTGATAGACTCATCAAGCAAAGCTGCTGGGAACAAGTTCCAAGCCAGAGACGCCCAAAGAACCAAGGAATGCTGGCCTGCACCCTGTCAAAAGCACCCCTTGGACCAGCATATATTTTCACTTCCTTTCCTTCATCAGATTCAGCCAAGGCAGGGGGAAGGAAAGAAGAAAAAACGATAACCAAGAAGGGAAGCTCTCACTACGCAGATGCGGGAAAGGGGGACATTGAGGTCCCAAAATTTCTTGAATTCGAGCAAATAAACAGAGGCAAATTTTGCAAAGAAAGGGAAGTTAGAGAAGAGGAGGAGAAAGGAGGAAAAAGCTTAGCCAAAATAAGTAGAAGCCATTAGGGTTTCTTGAAGAATGGTGATTTCCAGCAGCTATAAATTGAGGCTTCCCCTACCCAATAGAGGCAACTAAAAATTCAGGGAGCAAGCTTTCTCTCTAACTTGCAAAAATCTAACTACCTCGTGCACTGTTCATCTTCTTCTCCAATTTGTTTTTCTGGCAGCTGCCAGAAGAATTCTGTCTTTCTTTTTCCTCTTTCCCTAGTCAAACTTCCTCACAAAACACCTCATTCCTTACCTTAATACTTTCTTTTCTCATGAACCAAGCCTAACCTCTCTCTTAGTGCTAAACTTATGTTGGTTTTGCTCCCATGCCACATGCCACTCATGATGAGCTAAAAGACTATCTGAAAGCATGCCAAAATTATCTGTAAGTCACCATTATTTTGATCGGTGAAGATAGCCAAAATATCTCCTAAGGTTTTGCTACCCTTTCGAGGTATTTTGGGGCTTAATTTTCGAACCCAGGCAAAAGGGGATAGTCTCCTTAGTCCACCCTTTTACAGCAGCCCAGCCCATTGGCTGCAGGAAGAAAAAGTCCCCCACAGATATATAAACAAAAATCGACACCACTGTCATTGACATAAGAGTATTAAGTACTGAAAAAAAAAATTGGTTGGATTCATAGAAGAGTCAAGTTGTTAAAATACAAAAGGAAAATGTTGTAGTCATTGCCATGTTTAGATTACAAATTAAGCCATGAATTAAAACAACACAAGAGCAATGACCATGTTGTACCGCCATTGGTCTCTCTGTTACCTTTCATATATTATCATAAAAAAATCTCCACTAAATAAGAGTGTTTACCAGACTAATCTATCATTGTACCTGGAATAACATTCACTTCAATTCCTTGCTGTCGCAGAAAATCCATCTCCTCCCCATCCCTACCAAACACCTAAAGACAAAAAATACGTTTCACTACAAATTTGACAGGACACCACAATACCACAAGTAACAAACTATCATACTTCAATGTAGGAACTCACCAGTGGATCCCCTCCTTTTAGTCTCACAACATTAACTCTAGCTTAAGCAAAACTCAGTGGCAATTCATGTATCACCTCTTGAAAGGTGGAAAAAACTATTCAACTCTTTCCCAAGACCCCAAAGTAAAGCCCCAATTCACTTATCTAACCCAGATACAAGTTAACACAAACCCAAATACCCAATTCAACAAATTCCCTAAAGATTTCAAATTTAAAGTAAGAGAGAACCCATATCAGAAACTCAATTGAAAATCAAAATAAAATTTGAAAGGTTATTTCAGCTAATACAAGAAATGCTGATAATGATTAGTGCTTTACCTGGGTTCTGCTATGGTACCCAGCAGTCTTGCCCAAATAGAGAAGTCTAGCACCAGAGTCAACCAATTTCAACACATCATTGGACACCAACCTATCATACAACAATAGATCAGCATTATGAATAACTCTATAATCCTTCAATGTCAGGAGCTCAGGGTCCCCAAGCCTTGTCCCACCAAGAACACATTTCCAGACCAACACTTGCCGCTGCCACACCCTCCTTCGACTAAGAACACATCTCAAGGGGATGAGAGATTACAAATGGAAGGTGGACTTAATTACCCGTGGTTATTGTCGGGGGAATAGATTGAAATGAGAATTTGTTTGTGATTGAATGTGGGAGACAATGGGTCACGCGAAGGGGGAGACATAGAGGGAGTAAGGGAGAGAGGGAGAGAGAGAGAGAGAGAGAGAGAGAGAGAGAGAGAGAGAGAGAGGAAGGAAGACCAGTGGTCGTCGTCACCGGAGAGGAGGAGTGGTCATCATCGCCGGTGGTTTGTGGATGAGAGCACAGCTAGTGTAGATGAAGCGTTGGGTTTTGTTCTTGGGCTAGTGTAGATGATGATGAAGCATTTGACTTATGTTGAATGAAGCGTTAGGTTTTGTTTTTCTTTTTTTCTTTTTTCTTTTTTTCTTTTGGGCCATAAGTGACGTTGCCAATCTTCACCCAATAAAATTATTAATCCTCACTTTCATGCTCTGTGACGAATGTGTATTATTCATCACATTTAATAAAAAATTGGGCACCAAGATTTCCCGCTATGTAATTTGTGATGACATTGAAATTATAATGTGACGAAGATGGAGCGAAAATGTTGTTAGGTCCTTTCAAGACGTTTAGGTGACGACTTGAAAAATGTTCTGACTTATACAAGCCAAATGTGACGAAATTTTCCGCGTCACGTAAAATTTTGTCACAGAAGGCCTGTTTTCTTGTAGTGAATAATGCTCCATTGGAGGTTAAGATCCACATTCTCACATAATTCATCCTATAAGAGACGTCTATCTAGAAAGAGATAATAAAAGCCCTGGAAGTGGCTTAGGTACCCGAAAGCAAAGAAATGCTATAATTAATGCATGCGCATACATAAGAGATGGTGGGATCACGAATTGATGAATGATAATTTTTGGTTTTGGAGTAGCTGCTCAAATCATCAATGGGTTGTGTTGATTGGAATCATGTTCTATTATTAAATGTCGACAATATGGTTGGCCAATGGAAATAGGCAATTCCATTACAGATGCGAACGTGAAAGACCAATCCCATAGTACGACTCCCAAAAGATGTTAACACTGAAAGTTGTACTTGGCTGTTTGGAACAAAGAGGAATATACTTAATTTATATGACACAATGTTTTTGGTAGAAATAAGGAATGTTGGGTTTCTCCATACTTATAGATGCAATCATGCCTTCTTGTTGCACATTTACGGAGACCAACATGTTATCTTTAAAGGTTATTAAATGCATGGAGCATGTCGCCAGAAGCAATTCCCTAAAGATGTACAAGTAGAACAAATAGCTGGATATAAAGCTATATAATGTGTCATGAAATGTAATCTCTTAAATAAAATCCTTGAAGGATTAAAATTGCATGAAGCAAGTCACTAAAGGATATGTGCTTGAAGTACAAATCTTTGTACTCAATATTAATATGAATAAATTGCCCCAGTGAGTACATTAATTATGATATGCAACACATTATAGCTATATGGTTTTTGGGTTGAAATGGCGACCGAGCATGGGTCCACCACTAACTAGGTGGAATTTATCCATAAAGGTCTGGAAGATGATGCACTCAAAATCAAGGAAGTGGAATTGGCACCAACTGAGATGGATGATTCGAAGGCAGAAGTCCAAGACCCTCTGTTGGAAATCAACTTTGGGAAGAAAGATGACCATCAACCAATCTACATCAGTGACCTAATGGAGCCAGAACTTCGGCCCAATATGGAAAATATTTTAAGAGAGTTCAAGGATTGCTTCGCTTGGGATTACACTGAGATGTCTATATTGAGTCGTGACTTGGTCAAGCATCGTCTACCAACAATGGAAGATTTCAAGCCTTTCAAGCAACCGCCCTTCTGAATGTGGGCAGAAGTAGAATTACAGGTCAATGAAGAAATTGTAAGGCTTATGAAAGCCAAATTTATTAAGCCAAATTTGTAAGTCACGACTTTGGGGTTTCCGCCGGGAATTTCATAGTATTCTTGGTGCACCAAAGGGGAATTGAAATTGAAAAAAATAAGGTTAGGGCTATCATTGATGAACCTCCTTTGAAAAAAAAAGAAAGGATTGCAAATTTTGTTAGGCAAAATTAATTTCCTCCGGAGATGCATACCTAACGCCGCTAGGAAATCTGAGTCTTTCCCATCTTTGTTAAAACTTAAGGACAAAGAAGAATTTTGGTGGGAGGAAGTTCACCAAAAGGCATTCAATTCTATCAAAGAATAGTTGGCCAAGCCTTCGGTGCTCATTCAGCTAAGGCGAGGCCGCCCCTTGAAATTATATATTTTGGCCGCAGAAAATTCCATTGGAAGTCTTTTAGTCCAACACAATGATAAGAAGAAAGGGCAAGCGGTGTACTACCTTAGCTGAATTCTAATGGCCACCGAAAGAAAGTATTCCCCAGTGGATAAACTTTGTTTGGCCTTTCAGAGGTTGGGCAATGGATGTGATTGGCCAAATTCTCCCAAAGTCATCAAAGAGCCACAAGTACATCTTGATGGCCACCGAATTTTTCACAAAATGGGTAGAGGCCGTCCCACTCAAGAAGGCCACCCAAGTCGAGGTGATCGAATTTATAGAGAAGACTATCATCCACCAATTCGGCTTGCCCGAGTCCATTATGTTCGACTGAGGAACAACTTTTATGAGCGAAGCTGTCCAAGTCGTCGTGTGGAATTGGGGGGTAAGGATGGTTCAATCCAACCCATACAATCCTTAATCAAATGGTCAAGCGAATGCAAGCAACAAGGTGATAAAATGGATCTTGGAAAAAATGATTGATAATAATCCCAAAAATGGCCTTCTCTTCTCTCCAATACTTTATGGGCATATAGAACCTCGAAAAGGTCTAGCATAGGAACAACACCATTCGTCCTTACCTACGGCCACGATGTCGTCCTTCCACTTGAAATTTCGATCAAGTCTTTAAGGGTGGCCAATCATGCTGAATGAAATAAGGATGAGTATGATCAAGCCATGGCACAAGAATTAGACAACCTCAACGAGGTTAGGTTGGGTGTTTTGGATAAATTGAAAGCCCAAAAAGAGGCAATGGCTTGGGCATATGATAAAAGGACCAAGGCCAAAAGTTTTGGGGTTGGAGATTTGGTATGGAAAACTGAAATTGATACTTAGGTGACGAGGGGTAAACTTAATCACATAAACAAGACACAACAACACAGCTAGCTTCACACACTTTAAACCTTGACCAAATACACATATGACTAGTCAACTACTAGTCAAGAAACAATCACAACCAATAGAATACACAGAGCATGCCACAATGTACCTGCAATCCTAGAAGATTACTAGTGACAACCTATGCACTCAGAAGGACCCATCAATCTAGGCATCCCCTGTGCTAGCAACAACTATGGTGAAAGTGTGTGAAAACATCATTATCATGTAAACATCAAACAGCAGATACAGATGACTAGTCAACCACCAAGAACACAAACCCAGAAAAATTACAGATATGCAAAACAGATTTTGTTCACCCAGAAACCCACCATTGGGAAAAACTGGGAGTCATCAACCGACCAGGCAATCCACTAAGTAGAAAAAGATTCTTACAAAGGAAACACAACCAAGCTCAAGAAGCACCTAGGTCTATTTAGGAATATGAGCAATACCTCCTTTGTGCAATCTTCTTCTCCAACTTAGCAAAGCTTGAAGCTCAGTCCTTCATGGCAATGGCAGCTTCTTCTCCAGCTCGTTCATCCCATGGCACTAGCTTGCAAGCTCAACACAAACCGAAACCAATTTGGATTCAAAGGAGAAAGATCAATTTCTTCAAGAAACCATACTCTTGAAGAAATCAATCTTGAATCCGACCTAGATATAAATGATAGAATGATTTAAATAGCTAGATGCAGATTCGTGTTTCAAATGCAGTTTTTCAAAAAGAAATCAATTGGAAAAACTCATAGATGAAATAATGGTTCTCTCGTGGAAGAAGAAGCGAAAGATGGCAAGCCAAACTTTCCAAAACTTCCACCCGAAAAGAGACAACTGCAAAAATGAGAAATATCGTGGGCTATACAGCCCAACCAAATCGTTAGGTCAGCCAACCCACTTGACAGCAGAGAGAGAGAAAGAAGAATAGGACAAAACAGTTTGTTATCCAGCTGGAGGCAAGGATGACTAGTCATATGAGAAACGGTTGACTAGTCATCTTTTTATGAAAACAGTTTTATGTAATGATATGCAATGCTCAATACCTTTGTCAACTTGCTTGAGCCACCATAGAGCAGAGAATAGAGAAGAGCACCAATAAATGTTTTCCCTAATCTAGACTTGAGCTTGATAAATTACATTACACATCCTATTACAAAGTTGTCAAGGGAAGCCAAAAGAAATTAGTAAAAACCATACATTAACAAAAACTATTCTTCCAATGAGATCGAAGGATCCAAAATTTGGTAAGTGGTCTCCAACTTGGGAAGGTCCATTTCTCATCCACCAAGTGTTGGGGAAGGGGGCATATAAGTTAAGTGACCAAAAATGTTGGATCCATGATTCACTGATCAATGGTTGATTTTTGAACAAATATTACCCAACGACTTGGGAAATGGCCAAAAGATAGTCCGTCACAAGAAAATATCATTATAATGAATTGAAGACTCTCGTTGAGAAAATAGGTATCATAAAAGGAATTTTTTCCGAGGAATGGCTAAGTATCCATCAAATGGCCTAACAAAAATTCTTAGAAATCAACATCTGAGAAAATTTCGATTCATCTATCCATCTGCAAACTTCAGGCTAAATGAATTGAGGGGGTAATGTTTGGGGTGGTCAAAATTCACCTAATCTGTCAAGGAGGAATTCCTAGTGGACCCAATTCCTATGCAGAGGTGTTTTCTCAAAAATGCGGCCCAGGTGTTTTCTTCAAAGGCCGGGCACTTCTCAAAAAGTTGGGTTGGGCATAGATTCGCACTCAAGATTTCTGGAGGTCAATGTGCACGTGATGGATGCCTCACAAGGAAAGAAATTAACAAGGTTGATGACGATTCAGAATTTTCCAAAACGAGAGAAAATCAAGCAACCATAATATCTCCGCTAATGTGATCCACGGTAGGGGGCTTCAAAAGGAAAGAATTTTGAGGGAATTGATCTTTGGCCATTCAATGGCCAGCCCATGAGCTGACGGACGCCTATATAAACCTTGCTCAACGAAGGCCGAAGACACACATCATCAAACACAAACCTATGTTTCGTCTCACACTTTTCTTTTCTTAGACTTAGGATTTTACGTTTCAAGCACCTAGTGTAGCAAGTTCTTCCTTTCCTTAGTGTAAGTTTAAATTCTTGCAATTTACATTACCTTGTTATTTAAATTCAAGTTCATTTCAATCGCTTTCTTCTTCATTGTTATTGAATTTTCTTCAAGTTTAAATTCAAGTTTAATTTAGTTTACTGTTGTAGGGGTCTTTTTGTTCTAGCAGCCTGACAAATGAGCTTGGGCTGCTGTAAGAAGAAAAGAAACAAAATTCCCCAAGTGTCTGAGTTCGAAAACTAAGCCCCCAAAAGAGTTTTTGAAAAGTCTGATGAAACTTTAGACAAACACCCTTAGGTTCTTTTCACCAATAGCCAAATAAACATGATAAATCGATTAATGGCTTAGCTTGAGGAGCTTGTGGCATGGGAGCTAAGCTTTCACAAGTTTAGCAAATTTGAGAGAGAGAAAAGGCATGAATTTCTTGTGGAGAACTATGATCTAGAGCAAGGTAGAGGAAAATTAGCACGATTTCTATCTTAAAGAAAGAAGGAAAACGAACTAAGAAGAAGATTGGGTGGCTTGAGTAAATTTTCAGTTGCTTGACAAAGCTAGGTCAAGCTCTGAATGGGTTGTTTTCTTGGATAGCAGAAGCCCTCTTTTATAGGCACAAAGAACCCTAATTTCATCTAACCCTTTCCTTTCTTTTTCGTTGCTTCTTTCCACTTCATCTTCTTTGGTGAAATTCTCCCATCCAAGGTGCATAGGTAAGGAGCTCCTTGTGGTTCCAAGGTTTTGGCATAGATGGTCTTTCTCCATAGGGGTGAAGCGCCACTAACTTTCTTCTCGATCTTTCCTATGCGAGCTTGCTTGGCATGATATGTGGCCCTTTTGCATGTGCTTGCTTGGCATGATATGTGGCCTGTAGCTTGTATCGGTGCGTCCTACAAATTCTCTTTTGTCCCAATTGAGCTTCTTTTGCGTTTAATTATTTGTGTTGGGCCAAGAATTAATCTAGGTTTAGAACCTTGGATTTTTGGGCCTTAACAATTGTTCTTATCGTTCTCATTTCATTCTTATTATTTATTGCTTCGATCTATTTTATCGCACTTTAATTCTCGTCTTTACGTTATTTATTTTACGCACTTTACTTTACGCATTTATCTTTAAATTATATTTAAGTTTAAGCAGCTTTACTTTACGCACTTGTTCTTCGTTTCATTATGTTTCACCTTCAATCTTCATCTCTACCCACTCCACATCATTTGGTTGCTCACATAAAGCCTTGACCCCAAGGTAATGAAAGAATTTAGATCATGAGGAGGTTCCTTGCTCGTCCGAACAATCATTTGATTAAAGTCAGATCTTGGACACAACATACGCTCACATTCCATTCAAGCCAAATTCGTGGTTTAGTGGTGGCACGCCCCGCACTCAAAAGAGAAGAAGGACCAAAAGTTCCTTCTGTTGGCCTACCCGGTAGAAAAGAGAGAAGCAGCTTCTTTCTTTGATGTTATGTTGATGCATAGATGGAGAAAAAGCCCAGTTTTAATTTAAGAACGGCATATGCCATTTCGAGATTAAAATGTGAGTTAATGAAGCACGATGTCGTTCCATTTTTGTTTTTTTCTTTGTTTGCAACATTTTGATTTCTGATGAGAATAGATAATTTCAGTAGAGAGAGAAAGAGATGTGGGCTCAGTCGCTAGTGGCCACGGCAATGAAACAGGGGAACCCTTTTCACGGCAGCAAAAGAGTTGCCTCTGTAGTTTCCCAGAAACCCAATATTCCATCTGTATCGACGCTGCAACTATCGAAACTTTCAAAAACCAATTCAATTAGCCCATCCACCCAAACGCAACTGCTGCTGTCTGCTTCTTCGTCTTCATCTTCGTCGTCTTCTTATGCTATTGCTCTATTCGTACAACTTGTCAAAGCTCTGCGGATTCAACCCACTACCAAATTGGGCCTTCTCTCTCTCCTCTTCGTCCTCTCCACGGAAATCCATTTTGACATTTTTATAGTATCGCAATCAAACATATAGTAATAAATTAACCAGCAACCGAGCATGTGGCAATCAAGCTTTTGCAATTTTAGGCTTTGAGAAGATTGGCAGCTGCGGTGGCAAAATTATCCAATGTGGTGTCCCAAGAGGTGCCTGGAACTCTGTCTTCTCTCAAACTCTCTGGCCTTGAGATCAACAAATTGAGCCAACAGCTTGCCAGTCTCAGGTACTTACTGGTATTCTTGTTTTCCCAATTATCTTACCTTTGCTTAAACACATATTTTTGCTCATCCAAGTGGGGGAAATGATTCAAAGTGACAATTTTTTTGTTGATTTAGTTCATGTGCATCATATGTAGTCATGTAGGTTTTCTCACTCAACCTCAACTTGGTGTATGCATGCTCTAAATTGTTTGTATATTTTTCAATTTTGAATATTTGTATGTTTATGAACAAGTTACAGTTCTTATTTGTGAAGCTAATAGAAAATAATTTGTGCAATGATTGGAACTTGTGGTCAGATCTTTCGAGAATTTTTCGTCGTCGGAATTTTCTTAAAGCATCCACTGTCGATGGCAGCACATGGGCCCTATGTCGGCGACTTATTTTCGACCTAGAATTATTTCCTCGTCCTCTTGAGCATGACAGTATGCTCAGATTAGCTAGATTCAATCGTTTGAGTATTGTACCAAAAATCACCTATTAGGCGTTTTCGGGTTCAATACGTTCAGACTGTCATATCATGACGAAACTCTTGGGACATGTTTAGTGGATTGTGTTAGACCTATAGGAACTGTCTTTCATGATCATCTTGGGCATTGAGAACACGTGACACTACTCTCGGATCTACTTCTTAGACTTCACACACACTTAAGGTTCTGATAGGAAGCTAGGATTATACATTAAAGTCTCGTTTCAGTTTCTGGTTTGTTCTAATGCTAGTATCTCTTAAATTAGGTTCTCAGGCACAATGTATCGCTTAGGATGAACTCGCTCAGGGTTGAGTTAGCTTCGGACTTGTTGTGACCGGACGTTTGTTTTATATGATCATTAATATTCAAATATGGAATTGCATGCATAAATGAGTTTTGATTGAGAGTTTGATTGCTTTGGTGTATGGGTTCTTTGGAGTTATATTATTTTCTTAACTACATTTTTACAATGTCTAAGGGATTTTTGGTGCTTAAGAATATTATAAGTATATGGATTTTGAGTTTTGGATTATGATGTTATGAGGCCGTTTATGCATCTTGGATATTCGTTATGTTTATGGAATTTGGATACACTTTGGGATATTGGACTTATGTGGCTACTACCACTATATGTACCTCCCCTTGGTTCAATATGGAAAGGATGATGGAATTTATGGAAAAGATTTACAGTTGGTCTTTGGGGCCCATCAAGGCACACATATACTCTTTGGGAGGTGTGTCATGATGTTAGTCTACTCGTATGACTAGATCAGCCGCACATTAGATGCAGATTCCGACGTGCGTGCTGGGGAGCAATAGTCCCCTGGTTGGACTGCTCATCCTTAGCCACATGCGTAATGCATGTCCTACCATATGGTCTAGTAAAACAGTCCGTGTGTGCAATGGCGGAGCCAGGATTTTATGTGTAGGGGGGCCAATATATTAGGGTTTAGGGTTGATTCATTTCCCAGTGTTAAGCTTGCAAATAAATAAATAACCGATTATCTTTAATTTCCTATTTTCTTAAATATACTTGTGAAAACAAGATTTGATTGGCTGTTTCTTTTAATTTTTATTAATTATGTTGGTGGTATCCATGAGTAAGTTAGCCATATTGCTAAGGAAAGAGCCTTTTAGTTGGAGGGGGAAATGTAAATCCCTCCTTCTCTTTATTGTGGGGTGCAACAAGCATTATTTTAATATATATATATATATATATATATATATTATCCTAAGTTGTCCAATGCAAAGCCAATATGTATAGTATTTCATAATTATGGAAGGGCCAAGACCTCTTTGGTAGTGTACATCCAGCCGAAGCTGAGAGTTAGCTCACGGACTTAGAAAGAGTATTTGAAGTCATGAGGTGCCCTGATGAGGATCGAGTTCGGTTGGCTTCCTTCCTCCTAAAAGGGAATGCTTATCACTGGTGGAAGACCGTTCGTAGGGGTTATGTTGATCCTACTACCATTACTTGGGCGGAGTTTCAGCATATCTTCTACGAGCAGTTCTACCCACACTCGTATCGAAATGCGAAGAAAGTCGAGTTCTTGCAATTGAAACAGGGGTCGATGTCTATGTTGGAGTATGAGCACAAGTTTAATGAATTATCTGGGTTTGCTCCTGAACTGATTCCCAATGAAGAAGAAAAGTGTAGACGTTTTGAGGAGGGTTTGTGGCTGGACATTCAGGCAGTGGTCATTGTCACCACTTATCCTACCATGAGAGCACTGGTTCAAGCAGCGGACCGTGTGTCAAAGAAGCTCAGTGCAGGTTCAGCTAGACGTTGTAAGGACACATCTAGCTTTGGTGGATCGAATTAGGGTTCATCAAAGAGAGGCGAATCCAGTTCCAATTATACTGGAAATAGTTGGTCCAGAGGACGTGGATCCAATTTTAAGTAGTGGGAGATTTGGGCCTAGGCTAAATTGGAGTCAGCATTCCTGTCAACAGTCAATGACCAGTACGGCTAGGGATTCTTCACGGCAGACTAGCTCAACCTGTCACAACTGTGGACAGGTTGGACACTTTAGAAGTGATTGCCCACATCTTGTATAGAGCGGTGGTCCAAGTCAGAGGGGTAGTACTGGTTGTTTCTATTGTGGTCAGGTTTGGCACATTAAAAGTGAGTGCCCTCTTCTCTCTCTCAGTGATACTGCAAGGCAGGAAACTATGGCCTAGCAAGGGCAAGGTAGTCAAGGTCATAGTCAAAGTGAGAGTGGTGCCTCTTCTTCGGCTGCAAGTTCTTCATCCAATAGTGGGGTTCAGTCTACCTTCCGTGGTAGAGGTGGTAGACACCAGAGGGGTCAATCAAGGCGTTCAACTATTCAGGCCCGTATATTTTCTATGACCCAGCAGAAGGCACAAGCCACACCAGATGTCATCACTAGTATGTTGCCTTTTTTGGTTATCTTGCACGTGTTTTAATAGATCCCAGGGCCACACACATTCATTGCACACAGTTTTGTAGCTTATGCAAGTGTCAGACCTACACCCATTGCCGGAAGTTTTAGCATTTCCTTACTTACAAGGGATGTCCTTTTTTAGGACAAGGTGTTTAGAGATAGCTATGTTCAAGTGGGTGATGCGGTGTTGGAAGCCAATTTGATTCCCTTAGATTTGGTTGATCTCGATGTCATCTTGGGAATGGAATGGTTGGAGAAGCATCATGCGTCCGTAGATTGTTTCCGAAATGAGGTTATACTTCGAAGTCCGGGACAACTTGAAGTTACTTTCCGTGGAGAGCGTAGAGTTCTCCCATCATTTCTAATCTCAGTCATAACGGTGAGATGGTTACTCAAGAAGAGATGTGTGGGATACTTAGCCCATATTATCGATACTCGTGGGTTCACCGTAAATTTGGAAGATGTTCCTGTTGTTCGAGAATTCCTGGATGTCTTTCCGGATGATCATCCTGTTTTAACTCCCCATGGAGAAACTGAGTTAATTATTGAACTCCTTCCAAGAACAAATCCAATTTATTAAGCACCTCATAGGATAGCACCAGCGAAGTTACGAGAGTTGAAGACTCAATTACAAGAATTGATTAATCTTGGGTTCAGACTATGGTCCGATGGTTTAAATGTTTTCAAGTATGTGCTATCTTTCCATGAGATCTTTTATTCATGTCTTGTGCTTTTATTATGTGAGTACATCCTATTGATTTGATGCTTCCCCTATATATGAGTGACACTACGTAGTCAAATTTCGAGTGCTTTCGTTGGAGTGAACATCCTTGGTGAGAATTGAAGTTAAAACTTGTTTTTATTTGGTTATTTAACTTTTGTGAACCCTTTGATAATGTCTTGAGTTAATGTTGCTTATTTCTTGGAAGTTAGTTAACTGTTGGTGATTATCTCTTGAAATCATGTTTAGGGCTTCAAGATTAAGCCCTAATTAATAAGAAATTAGTTACTCATGTTCTTGGATGAACTCAAAAATAAATACATAAGTACTGAAAATTAAAAGAAGAAAGGAAAAGAAAGAACTCGTTGGCAGCATTCTCCTCTTGCGCGGTTGATCTCCTTAGGACGTGAATCCCTTGTATGGGGGCCTTGGCTAGCCTTTTATATGACTTATATCAGAGTCCTAAACCCTAAAATTGACTGAAAAGTCAGCCAAGAAGTCTTGGTAAACAAGGAATCCAAATAGGAAAGTAAAGATCACAATTCCTAACTCCACAGGGAAATACAGCTCAGCCCAATTGTCATACGATTTGGGGATTTCGGCCTTCTAGAAAAATCAGTAAAAATATAACAAGTTTGAATTGATTTTTCAGTTTCTACAAGCATGATGATTTCGGTTTCTCTATGTTATGTGAATTCTGATATTTTGTTTCTTTGAGTAGCTAACTTTGAAGCATGTATTGGAATTAAATTGTTGTAGAACATAGGTCAATTTCCATATTGAATGTGTTCTTGTTTGCAACGAATAATTGGGTTAAAACTAGTTATGAGAAATCGATTCTTGATTTCCTAATAACAAATGTCATGTTTTAGGGTTTTTGTGACACTCATATTCTCTTTAATCTTAATGGATTCTTGATTGTTAATTTGAGTAAATGCCATACTGGATTTCAATTAAGAATACACGTATTGATGTAAATGCCTTACACTTTACATACACTTAAGAGAGAATCATACAGCTTGAGTCAAATGCTATGATCTTGTTGTGAGTGTCATCATCATATGCTTGCTAGAAATTGATTATCGATTGTTGTTTATGGATTGATTGATTGTTTGGAGGTGGATAGTGAGTCCTAGCTATTGTTCTGGACGGATTTTAAACCGATTTCTCTTAAACTCTAATTTAAATTCTGTTTTGTTTTTCTTTTCCTTGTTTTGTTTTATTCACAAAATCAAATCAAAAACCCCCCTTGGTGTTGGTGTGTGTGTGGAAGCTCTTGTGGTTTCAATCTTTATTTTGTTTTCGTGTTTAATTGTGTTTTAGTTTTCATTGTGTGACATTGATAAACATCCCTTTAGATTACAATCTTTGCGGGAACGACCCTTGCTTGCTTACTATACTACTATTTGATTTGTGCACTTTCAAGGTTTTAATATTGTTGTTAAAAATTACCAACAACCTCATAGTGTCATCCTTCTTCTTCACAAACAACACAGGTGTATCCCAAGGCGAAACGTTAGGTTACTTTTTTTACCTAGGGTTTGTAGGAGAATTAGATTTAAAAAGGGATTATTACTTTACCTTTCTGATTTTCAGCTTTTCTGCGCTCTTAGAAGGTTTTTAAGGGAAAGTCAACTTTTCGGAGGAATTTCAGCACAAGGCCAGTTGGAGATGAAAGCTAACATCTTGAAGTTCAATCTATGATTTTTTTAGAATTTTCTACTGAGCCAATTGGTACAGTATTACAAGTAAAGTTAGCCCATGTGCAGACGGGACAGTTTCGTACATGTTACGTGAATGTGAAGAAACAGAAGCCTTCCCGAATTTTTCAAGTTACGTGCTATATATGGTTGGAAAGATAAGACATTTATATTTATTCTCCACATGAGGAACCACACTTCTCCTTGGATCAAGCAGGACTTTCACAAAGGTTGTAATAGGGCTTAGGGTGATGGGTGAAACAAGAAAAAGATATGGATGAACAAACGAAATCTAAGGGCTAAGTAAAGCTTTCCTTGAAATTATAACATCTTGCACTTTAGCACACAATTTTCATCTTTATATTGTCTTGAATTTTTTTTTCTTTCTAATTTTTTTTTTCCTAACTCCATTAGCTTTCTAATCAACCCATGTAACAAGTATTAGGCCAATAACTCCCAAACTAGATAGCTTTAGGGTATTAAGTGTAAAACACTCCTTGGGCTTAAAAACTCAAGTTGAAAAGGCTTTGGAATCAGACTTCTTCTTTTTTCTTTTTTTTAATAGTATCATATACACATGATTTAACAATTTGTGCAATTCTCCCTTAACCATGAAAGTGCTCTACAAAGCTCCTTAGAAGGGTGCAGGATAAATCTATAAAAGGTTCAGGTGAGGAGAATTGGGTAAATTAAAGAACGATAAAGGCTTACATAAAAGACACAAGGGGTTGACTAGTGATAAAATTGATATGGGTTAGCTGGAAATCCTCAAACGAACGAAACAAGGCTTATATCACTTCCTAGGATCCATGTGGTTCATGAAATGTTCCTCAAATAGATAATGAAAGTTGTTCTAGCAAACAATTTAAACATCCTCAAGTAATTGACCAAAACAAAGAATAATGAGATCACAACGACTTGTAGACAAGAAAATTATAGAATAGTATATAACACTCAAGAAAGAAATGCATGAGCTCAAAAGCTCACATAACAAGGGTTATATAAGTCTACACTAGCCTTATTTGGGAATTTAAATCATGTGAACTCCAATCGAAAATCATATTAATATGGCTATGTGCGAAAAGATTTACCAAGTTTAATCACAAAACTAAGGCTAGCACAAAGATAATGTAAAGAATTAATGTCATGCTCACAATTCCTTGAAAGTTAATTGTCAATAAAATTCAATCTCATCATAGAATTAGGAAGTGACTACCACAAACAAACAATAACTAGACTCAAAGTTCAAAAAAAAGCTTTTATGACATTTTTCTGATTTTTATTTTTTATATTTTAAGAAGAAACGAAATTAGAAACAAGACAACAAAATAAAGACAAAATTTAAATAAAAACTCAAAATTGAAAAGAATTAAGAACCAATCAACAAGACAATAAACTAATCCTACACATGAAAAGTGAAGTGGTTGCATAGACTATAACACTCATATAACACTCAATCACCCACAACTTAAATCAAACATTGTCCTTAATGTGTAAAATAAAGAAACAAATTCATGGACAATCAATTAAAGAGAGAGAGGGTTTGAGGACTTCCCAGATTTTTTAGGTGTGTGGAGGGGCAAGAATTTGTCGAAGTGAGAGGAGATAGACAAAGTAATGAACTCAAACACCCACAACTTGTTTTTTTGAATGCCAACGGACCCATAATAGTTCCTAAAAGTCTCGAAATGCGATGAAATTGGAACGAAATTGATATGGACATGTAATCATAAAATTTGAAAATCCGACTTTTAGCAACGAAAAATCTGATGAACACCATCACTAAAACCCAACGAAAAATTCGATGAACACCGTCGCTAAAACCTCTTTGGTGACGATAAAGCTTCAAATTCTGGGCAAAATAGCATATGGTTTTTTGTTTAGTTTTAGGTCCTTTTTTGAGCTTCAAATCATCCTAAAAGATAATGTAGGCCACCGGAGACCCCCAAACCTGGTCTAAATCATCAAAATAACCATTCTAAACATGTTGGTGGCATCAGATTGACATGAAAAACAGCAAAAAAGAAATTAGGCAAAAATTCTAGTTTTGACCTAAATAAGAACATAAAAGCTATTTTTCTATTTTCTGGCATCTAAATTCAGCCAATGACCAAAACCACTTCTTTAACACATGTGGTACGTGCGTTAATCATCAGAAGGCAGGAAAAGTTTGAAATTTTTTCTTTGGAACACAAAATCCTTTTTATGACTCAAAACTTAACAAAAGAAACAAAAATAAAAACATGAACCTTGTAAGAAAAATCACGCCGAAACTTTAAAAAAAACCAAAAATGAAAACAAAAGATGAGGATACGTGGCATGCCTCCCAAGAAGTGCTAAGTTTAAACTCTTCAGCCAGACGCGGTTCTTTAGATGATTAAACAATAGATGGGGGAGGTGCATCCACGTGCATGCTCTCTTATCCAAGCTCAAAAGATTCATAGTATGGCTTCAAGCGATGTCCATTCACTTTGAATATGTTTCCCGTCTTGTCATTTTGAATCTCAACTGCACCAAGAGAGAAAACATTAGTAACAACAAAAGGACTGTACCATCTGGAACGTAACTTACATGGGAATAGCCGGAGGTGTGAATTGAAGAGCACAACTTTCTGCCCTATTTCAAAGGTCTTCCTTTGAATGGCTTTGTCATGAAATGCCTTAGTCATTTCCTTGTAAATCATTGCATTCTCATAGGCATCATTCCTCATCTCATCCAATTCATTCAATTGGAGTTGCCTTGCATCTCCAGCCTCTTTCATATCAAAATTGAATTTCTTGATTGCCCAAAATGCTCAATGTTCAGGTTCAACCGGATGGTGACATGCTTTACCATAGACCAAACGAAAAGGAGACATACCAATGGGGATTTTGCAGGCTGTCCTATATGCCCATAATGCTTCATTAAGTCTCAAGCTCCAATCCTTCCTCTTAGGGCTCATGGTTTTCTCCAAGATTTGCTTGATTTCTCGATTACTGATCTCCACTTGTCCACTTGTTCGGGGATGATAAGGTGTCGAGACCCTATGTATAATTCCATACCGCTTTAAAAGTGCCTCAAATGACCTATTACAAAAGTGACTACCTCCATCACTGATAATGGCTCTTGGTGTTCCCAACCTAGAAAAGATGTTGTCCTTCACAAAGCTCAAAACAACTTTTGAATCATTAGTCTAGGTAGGAATTGCTTCCACCCATTTAGAGAGATAGTCAACAACATCGAGAATATAAATAAAGCCATAAAAGGAAGGGAATGGTCTCATAAAATTAATGCCCCACACATCAAATATTTCAACAATAAGGATGGGTGTTAATGGCATTTGATTCCTAGAGCTAATGTTACCGATTCTTGGACATCTATCACATGTGGAACATTAAGTATATGCATCTTTGAACAAGCTAGGTCAACAAAAACCACATTGCAATACTTTAAGGGCTATTTTCTTAGTACCAAAATGTCCACCACATACAGATGAATGACAAAAGGTAAGTACAGAATTAAATTCAGATTCGGACCATCACCTTCTAACATCAATACATGTATTCTTATTTGAAATCCAGTATGGCATTTACTCAAATTAACAATCCAGAATCCATTGAGATTAAAGAGAATATGAGTGTCACAAAAACCCTAAAACATGGCATTTGTTATTAGGAATTCAAGAATCGATTTCTCATAACTAGTCTTAACCCAATTATTCGTTGCAAGCAAAAAACATTCAATATGGCAATTGACCTATGTTCTACAACAATTTAATTCCAATACATGCTTCAAAGTTAGCTACTCAAAGAAACAAAATATCATAATTCACATAACATAGAGAAACCGAAATCATCACGCTTGTAGAAACTGAAAAATCCATTCAAACTTGTTTATAGAATTGAAATCATGTTTAGGGCTTCAAGATTAAGCTCTAACTAACAAGAAATTACTTACTCATGTTCATGGATGAACTCAAAAATAAATACAAAAGCACTGAAAATTAAAAGAAGAAAGGAAAAGAAAGAACTCGTTGGCAATTTTCTCCTATTGTGCAGTTGATCTCCTTAGGATGTGAATCCCTTGCATGGGGGCCTTGGCTAGCCTTTTATATGACTTATATCAGAGTTCTAAACCCTAAAATTGACTGAAAAGTCATCCAGGAAGTCTTGGTAAACAAGGAATCCAAATAGGAAAGTAAAGATCACAATTCCTAACCCCACAGGGAAATACAGCTCAGCCCAATTGTCACATGATTTGGAGATCTTCGGCCTTCTATAAATGGCATTTGTTTTAGAAAGATAAATGTCTTATCTTTCCATCTATATATAGCAGGTAACTTGAAAAAATCGGGAAGGCTTCTGTTTCTTCACATTCACGTAACATGTACGAAACTATCCTGTCTGCACATGGGCTAACTTTACTTGTAATACTGTACCAATTGGCTCGGTAGAAAAATCATAGATTGAACTTCAAGATGTTAGCTTGCATCTCCAATTGGCCTTTGTGCTAAAATTCCTCCAAAAAGTTAATTTTCCCTTAAAAACCTTCTAAGAGTACAAAAAATCATAAATTCATAAAAGTAAAGTAATAAGCATGTTCACCCTTTTTATATTTGTCCTGTGATGGTAGGGTAAAGTTCCCCATTGTCTTGAAAACCATTGACTTCTCAACAAGTCAACTTTCTTTTGTGTGTGAGCATGCCACTGCTAGAAATAAAAACCATAGCAAACTTTCTTAAAAATAGATAACTTACGCCCCAAGTTATTGATTTATAAACAAGCGATTGTGAATTTGGGTGAGTAATATCTCCCAAGTAAGTTCTTTTGTTTGCCTCAGAGAGAGATAGAGATCAGCAGCACATGTTGTTCCTCCTGTATTGGCTGAACTGGTTCATCTTCCTCAACTGCTCCTCAGCAGTTCTGCTTAAGTACAGACATCTGGCAGAAGCTCTGAATAATCACACGGATGTGGGGGTTGGGCCTATAGTTCTGGCTCATCTATACAAGAATCTACATACTGCTACCTTGGAGAATCCTCTAAATCTGTCTGCTCCTGGCGCATTCTGGATGATCCAGATTTGGCTGCAAGTGTACTTCCCAGAACTGAGGTTTCCAGACATCATTCTGCCTGAAGACCAGGTTATGGCTCATTCATTGATGTCAGCAGAAGTGCCCAAGCGCTCCATTGAAGAATACTTGATGTTCTTTAGGCACTGCACTAATAGATCTGCTGCATAATGGCAAGTGGTGCTCAAGAGGACCTACCCTTGGTTTCAACCTAGGTATAGACTATTCGATAAAGAGCCAGAAGAAGAAGAAGCCACGATTGATTTCAGGAAGAAGTTCCTGGGTGTAACGATGCCCAGGGACATGCCATTTGGTGGAGGCACTCCCAACTATCATCTGGGGAAAGTGTATCACCCCAATTTCTGCGCTAGGCAACTTGGCTGTCCTCAACTAATTCCTCTTAAGTCATCCAAAAGCTGCAGATGTTCAATTAATAAAATTAACAACAGTGTGGATGCTCTCTATCCATCATGGGAGCCTAATTCCTGCAGTTCTACCAATTTTGACGCTTGGTGGAAGGCTAGGTTTTTTGGCCTAAGGGACGCAAGCACTGCTGTAAAGGTGTTGTTTGACACCTGGGATGCTGGCACTGTCTTAGGAGAATCAGATGCCAAGAAGTTTATTGTACATCTTGTGAAGGGCATAAATGCTCAAGTAATTGAAGGTAAAGTCTCCAGTTTTGCCCCCTTTTTACTTATGTTCTGCTTGTGACCTATCTCATCCTGTCCTTGAAATTCTGAACTGTTTTGTTTATTTTCTACAAATACTTCCATGACAAACAACCTTGGAGGACAAGCTGTTCAATCTGGGGAGGTGATTGGCAAGTTTCTGAATTCTGCCCTCATGTTTGTTTCTTGTTGGATTATCTGTTGACCCCTTCCTTTTCTGTGCAATCACATCTGTCATTGCTGCTAGAGACCTGGAGCTCCCCTTTGGTGATGAGGAGGATGATCATGTGACTCTGGCAAAACCAATTGTTGAGGCAACCCCTGCCAAAAAGAACAAAAGAAAAGAGACTACTCATGCTCAGGACAGTGTTGCCCAGCCCGAATCTCCAGGTAAAATTTTTTTGGTATCTTTAATTCTGTCGATTCCTTTTTGATCAATTCTGTCCTTACTTCTTACTTTCTTTCTTTGTACAGTTTAAAGCTCTCCTGTTGTGTTCCTTCCAAGTGCCAATATATGGTTAGTATAATGGTACAAGTAAAGGTGTCAAACCACAAGGACTGATTGGACCTCTATAAATTTACTAGTTTCAAAAGAACCCTAACTAAAACTGAAAGTGACAAATTGAAAGTAATTTTTGTATTGTAAATGAAAGATAACTTAAAATGCAAGAAGAATGTAGCAGTGAATGATATATTGATGTAGAAGGAATAGGGATGAGACTAAGGATTTCGAATTCACCATTGCAAAACCAACTCCATGCTTATAAAATTAAACCGTATTCAACTACCAACTTGTTTCCAGAGTTCGTTTTACATATATATGATCAGCCATATGATGTGTGGTTTGATCAAATTCTCCTAATCTGCAACCTAATTGGGATGTTCAACTTTGGTTCCAAGTTAAAAGTCATTAGCATGCAAGAAAACGTGAAAGAACCAAAGAAAACACACGGCAGGATGTTTGCATAGCATTCTCTTCATTCATTCACATGTCTACCAAGAGTAAGCATGATGTTTACAATAACCTTGACCAAATAATCTGTAGGCAACCCTAATGGTGATCAAACATTAAGATTGACAAACAAATTTAACAATAGATTCAGTGAATGAAACAAGAAACAGATTGATGAACTGAATACATTAACTTAGAAACATGGATCAATGTTGCAAGGCTACATCGAAATCCCTAGCTATGAATTTAGTTACACATCATGTTCACAGAGATTAAAACGAAAATAAACAGCATGTGTGAAAATAAATTCATGAGAGGAAACCCTTGAACCAATTCTGATGTTGAACTTCTCTAAGAACAGCCTCCTGCGATGAGTCCTGATGGTGGAAAGATATGGATGGCTAGGGTTTTCGTGTGTATGAAAGGAGAGAATAACCAAAAAGGGCATCTAGGGTTGTGAAATTCGTCCAAAATAAATAGGGTCTGTAAAAATGGCTACAAAGCAAGTTTTTATGGGGTAAAAGAGGCTGCCAAATATTCCAAAGAGATCCTAACAAATCAGCCTTTATTTTGCACATTTTTGCCTTATTTGGCATCTCCAAATCATGCTAGAAATCCCCATTGCGTTCCCATTCTACTCTTAGTCTTTAAACAAGCCAGGTTCGCTTTGGATTCTTTATTTGGACTTCAAAACAGGTCACGAAATTTGTTTCCACGTTTGAATAAGGGCGAGCTCCAAAAATGACATGTTTTCATTTCTTTTGCCTTAAACTTGATCCTAAAGTAGATGGAACTGCATACTAACACAAAATAGGGTAAAACGCAACATGTTTAACTCAAAAGCATCACAAATAGACTAGAAATGGATGGTATAAATGTATAAATATATGAGTTATCATCTCCCCCTCCCTCCAAGGAAAAAAGGCTAAGAAATAGGGCTGTTAATGAATCTGAAGGGGCAGAAAAACCTGCAGTGGTTCCCACTGAAACCACCGAGACTGATGAAGAGCTGCGAGAGGCTTTTGAAGCCATAAAACAAGAGAAAGAGGTTTCCAAAGTGGACAAAGAGAAGGCAAAATAAGGAGAAGAAGAAGTGAGTTTATAGCAAGGATTCCCTTCTTATTTGAGTTCTATCTTTTTGCACGAAGAAATTTATGCTGAAGTAATAGCAAAGAGCATTGAGCTGGCTAAAAAACAGCAAGAGGTTCAAAGGACAGAGCCCACCACTTCCGAATTGGCTCTCTTTGATGAGGTGGAGGCAGAACACTCTGCTGCTGCTCCAGCACCTAAGGTAGCTTCCATTCTTTCTTAATTCTATTTCCACCGTCCTTTCCATCTCTATCTTTCTAACCTTGAGGATCCTATTTTTTTAGGTGGAGGAGGATAGAATTGCCAGGATTTTGCCTGTGCTGACTAGTCCTCTCAAACCACTCATTGTGGCTGTAAGTATTACTGTGCCTTAGTCCTTTTTTCTTTTCTTATTCTGAATTTACCTGAAATTGACTTGAGTTCCTTTTGTAAATGCCCATCCATTCTCTCCCAGGTTCATCTACCACAGCCTCCTTTGTTGATCCAGAGTTGGCAGAGTTTGAAGCCATGGATTTGGACGCTCAGTTGGACAAGCTTGAGAAACTCAGCTCCACTCCTGGCAAGGCAAAATCCAAGGTAGTGGATGAGGCAGTGGATAGAGTGAAGATCTGGCAATCCACTAAGCTGGACTTGGATGAAAACAGAGAAGTTGTTGACCAACTGAAGAAGGATCTGGATCTGCTGCATAGAGAGAATATGGCTCCTTGGCCCATCCTTGAAATCAACCTAGGCTTGTCAAGAGATGTGCTCAATCTGCACTACCACTATGAAGATCTCAAGCCCTCCTTCAAAACCTTTGAGTTCTGCAAGGCTACTTATGAAGCCAATCTGGTTGATTACCAAAAATAGAAAGCAGAATTGGACATGATGGTTGCATATTATAAGGAGACCAAGACTGCTGCTTACAAGCTGGAGAAACATATTGAAGAACTTCAAAAACAACTGACTGTCTTGAGGGATAGGCAGAACAAGCTTGGGGCTGGACTGGGTACCAAAACCAAAACAAATTTCCTTGTGCAGAATATGGTCTCAGCTTCCAGGCCAGCTCTGGAAATTACAGAAGATTCTATCCACCAAGGAGTGCTCCTCCAAAAAGAGATTTCCACCAAGAAGACCAGATTGCAAGAAACCCTTAGGAAACTATGGCTTTGATTATTTTTTAATGAAAAGATGTAATAAAACTTTAGTCATAGAAAATGACTATATTTAATGAAAGGTTCCTTTTTTGGTGGAATTTTTGCATTTTCAATTTCTTTCGATAAAAATAAAAGAAAGCAGAAAATAAAATACACTTAACAAATTACGTCAAGAGCACAATTCTGAACAAAATTTGAACAACATTTCCATCTTGTTCCCCTTCAATTTTAGGATCTGTTTGGACTGCCTATGAATCCCACATAGTTCGATATAACTTTTTCAACCATTTTCCATTGATTGCTGCTGCATGGATGTCTCCATCTCGATCTTGTAATATGTATGCCCCCAATCCAAGGACTTGCTTAATTATGAAAGGACACTCCCATATGGGTGACCATTTTCCATAGCTAGCTATGTGTGTTCCAAGGGGTAGAACTGCTTTCCATACTATTTCTCCTTCCTCAAAACTCTTGTTTTTAACTCTTTTGTTGTAGGCCCTTCATACAACCTGTTTCCCTGCTAAGAGTTTGTTGAGGGTATCAATTTTGCCAGTATCCAAACCTTCTAGTTCTAGCAACATTGCTTGAGAGTAGTCTTCTCCAATCAAATTGTGTTGTTGAGCAATTCTGAGAGATTGGACTGCTATTTCCATAGGTAAAATTGCATCATGACCATAAGTAAGAGCATATGGGGTCATGCTAGTTGCATCTCTTTTTGAAGTTCTATATGTCCAGAGAGTTTCTGATAATTTCTCATGTCATTGCTTTGGATTTTTCTCAAGCATTTTCCTGATAATGTTGATGATCACCTTGTTACTTGATTCTGCATGTCCATTAGCTTGGGCATAGTAAGGAGTAGATTGAAGTAGTTTGAACTTGAATGCTTCTGCCATATCTAGCATTTCTCCATATATGAAAGAAGATCCCCTGTCAGTTGTGATTGACTCTGGAATACCAAACCTTTGTATAATATGTTCTTCTATGAAGATGATGATCTCTTGAGATGTAGTGGATTTAACAGGTTTGGCCTCTACTCATTTGGTGAAATAGTCTATAGCTACAATGATAAAACAGTGTTGTTTGCTACTGGCTAGATAGATTTTGCCAATGACATCCATTGCCCATCCTCTGACATTGCCCATCCTCTGAATGGCCATGGCTTAACCACTAGATTCATGGGAACTGAAAGAGCCTGCTGGATTGGTCCATGCCTCTGACAAGCTTCACATCCTTTGGAATATTCAATGTAGTCTTTCATCATGGATGACCAGAAGTGGCCATACCTTCTAATTAACCAACACATCTTCCTTCCACCTTGATGAGCTCCACAGATTCCTTCATGGGTTTCTCCCATGACCTTCATGGGTTTCTCCCATGACCTTCATGTACTCTTTTTTCCGTAAGCACCTCAAAAGTAACTCATCTTTGCTCTTTCAAACCAAATCTCCGTTCCACATGAGGTAGTTTAAGGCTATGATTCTAATCCTTTTTTTTAGAGGAAAGGGTTGGATATAGGCAATCTCCAATCTTCTTCAGTCATTATGGCAGCATTGACATCTATTTCCATTCCTCTGGTCAAGACAGATGGTAGGCTTTTCTTTCCTGCCTTGATGATTCTTTGCACGCAGTCTTCAGCCATCTGTATTCCTGTTGCTCTCTAGGCCATCTCATTAGCTGCAAAGTTTTCTTCTCTTGGGATATGTTCCCAAGTAGCTTCCCTGAATTCTGCCAAGAGGTTTCTGGCTGCTACTAGGTAGATAGCTAGAGAGGGGCTCAAACATTTTTATTCTCCAGCAATCTGTTTTAGCACCAGCATGGAATCTCCTAGAATTTCGACAGACTGGATTCCTAGTTCCACTAGCATTTCTAGTCCTATGACTAAAGCCTCGTATTCTGCCTTGTTATTGGTGCATTGAAAATCTAGCTTGAATGAATAACAGTGTTTGATCCCTAGTGGATCTTCTAAAAAAATCCCTGCCCCAGAGGCTGAGTCTGTTTTAGATCCATCAAAGTATAGCTTCCAGGGGGTGAGATGGACTGAATAAATGGGATTATTGAGACATGTGTGAACTCTGGTTAGCAGGTCTGCATTGGCTATGTCCATGGAATCCATATTCTCAATTTCTTCTCCTGGATGATCTGCCAAAAATCTGCAGTAGCTTGTCCCTTGATGGACTTCTGAGGAACATATTTGAAGACAAATTCTGACAAGGCCAGAGTACATTTACTAATTCTTTCTCTCAACATTGGCCTTGTTAGCATGTACTTGATTAAATGTGCCTTGGCAATGATGTAGGTGGTGAAAGGTAACATGTAATGCCTGAGTTTCATAGCAGAATATTTTCTTTCTACTTTTGTTAGAGTTCTACCCAGGTAATAGACTGCATGTTCCTTCCCTTGTTATCTTGAACTAACAGACTTCCAATGAATACTTCTGATGTTGAAACATATAACTTGAGTGGTCTGCCTCTCTTTGGTGGGGACAGAACTGGTGGATTTGAGAGATAGTGTTTGATTTCCTCAAAAGCCTGCTAGTGCTGTTCTTCCCACTTAAATGTATGTTCCTGCTTCAATCTCAACAAGGAGGAGAAAGGCTGGATTTTTCCTGCATAATTGGATATAAATCTTCTTAGAAAATTAATTTTTCCTAGGAGACTCTGCAATTCTTTCTTTTTTCGAGGTGGCAAAACTTCCATGATAGATTTTGCTTTGTTATTTTTGATTTCTATTCCTCTTTGGTGAACCAAGAAACCTAAGAAATTGCCAGCTTGAACTCCAAAAACGCATTTCTTGGGATTCATTTTCAACTTGTGTTGTCTCATTCTTAGGAATGCTTTTTTTAGATTTGATACATGATCTCCTTTTTCGAGGGACTTAGTCACCACATCATCTATATAAACCTCTAGAGAATGACCTATCATGTCATGGAAAACAGAATTCATTGCTCTTTGATAAGTGGCTCACGCATTTCTCAAGCCAAAAGGCTGTCTTGTGGATGTCTTCTTCTACCACCATTATCTGATTGTATCCTGAATTGCCATCCATAATGATAGCAATTGATTATGAGAAGCTCCGTCTACCAGCATGTCTACCATGGGCATTGGATACTCATTTCTAGGAGATGCTTCATTCAGATTTCTATAGTCCACACATATTCTGACTGCCCCTGTTTTCCTTTTAAAAGCTGGTACGATATTGGACAACCAATTGGCATAAATGGCTGGCCTTATAAAACCTACTTAACCAACCTTTCTACTTCTTCTTTGACTGTTTTGTCTCCACAGACATCCTTCTTCTGGCCTGCTTGACTAGCAAGTATCCTTCTTTTATTGGTAACTTGTGTTCCACCAGTCCTCTATCCAGTCTAGGCATTTCATGGTAGTGCCATGCAAAACAGTCTTTGAAATCATGTAGAAGTGCAATGATCTCATTATTTGCTGGCTCTTCTAATAATGTGTTGATGAAAGTATGTCTGGGATCCTCTTCTGTTCCCAAGTTTATTTCTTGCAAAGGATCCTCTACCTCTGGCAGAGAATCATCCAGTGCTGCTGGTGCAAACTCTAATTCTTCCTCTTGCAAATTTCCTTCCTGTTATTCTATACTCTCATGCATGAATTCTACCATGAATTCTACCAACAATCTATTTGTAATGGATCGGATTATTGCAACTCGATCCTTTTCCTGTTAGTTTGAGCTAAACATCATAACTATGGAGGTTGAGAATGCATGGTCTATTCTAGTCCTCTAGGGAACTAGCCATACCTTCAATGAGTTTCTGGGCCGTGACACAATAGGGACAGCCGTTCTGGTTAACTCCGAAGAAAGTGAAAGGACCAAGGTCATCATGATAATACCTGGCCTCAAAACATAATGCAGATGGTAGAAATAAAACCCTCTTCATGCCAGAGGGCCAACAGCTGGTGTAGAGTGGAAGGAACACATAGACTCTGGTGGATCCAGTTTCTGCCATGCAATGCATTGTAAGTGGTAGAAGTCTTGCCTACCATGAAAAATGCAATCTTTAGCTTCTTGGTTCCTATTATGACATCCACATCTAGTATTCCATGAGTCTTAGTGATGCCCCCAACAAAGTTGGTGACTGTTAAGCGTGTTGGAATCAAATCCTTCTCTGTTCTGCCCATCTTGATTAGCAACTTGTGAGGTAGGAGATTAATGGCTACACCTCCATCTACCATTACTTTGGGAATAGGAAAACCCCAAAAGTTTGCTGTTATGAACCAAGGTCTGAGATGATTGGCCATTTCTTTGGTAGGTTCGAAAAAACACAGCTGTTCTGCGGCTAGTTTCATGGCAGTTTTGCCTGCTCTGGCTGTAGATGTTTGCTGTTCTAATGCCTCCGCCACTTCTGCCAATCTGCACTCAAAACTTTCCTGGGATAGCACGTCTCCTTCTGCACCGAACTTTTCTGGTAGGATAAACACTATGTTAATGCCTAGATCTCCTTGTAACAGGCTTTCTAATTCTGCACCGAAAGCCTCAGTTTCTTCATCTAGTTCTCCTTCGTACTCCATCTGTTCTTCTCCATATTCTTCTGTGCAGTCTTCTTGTTCACCTGTTTCAAAGAGTCCAATATGGTTGTCTGCAGATGGTTCGTAGTCCAACAACTCCTCGTCATATTCTTTAGTCCAATCTTCTTGTCCTTCTACTGGAATAGGTCCGGATTCACCTTGTGATTATGAAGGTTCAAGCTGATTGACTAAGGATGAGGCAGGATGGGTGGAAGGTTTGCTTGGAGACTCTGTCTTCGTTAGCTCTTCTGGTTGACATGTTGTCTGTTCTGCCTGAGGATCTACTTCTGGATTTTTCCCTTTTCTGGCAGAACTGGTCTCTGGAAGTACTTGTGTGTCATTGTTATTCTTGAGGAATGTGCAGTATTGCCTTTGAACTCTCCTCTTCTGTGTTCTGGTTAGTTCCAGAGTCAGTCTACCGCTTTTTCCAACATAATACAGCTTGCCTTTTATAATAGTTGCTAAGGGCTTGTCATTTCCGGGCATCTTAACTGGTATTTCCTTCTTTGGCTGCTCTGTTATTCTTCTGTTGCGTTGGGCAAGCCTTAGATAGTCCTTTGTCTCTAGGTGGAGCTGGAACTGAGCCATGTTGGTATGATGTTCCAATCCTGTCAAAAACACTAGGTGTGGGCTGAATTTGCCTATCAAAAGTTACCTCCAACTCGCTTTCACATTTGCACCTGCTGCACAGAACTACCCCAGCCAAAATGGTTGCTTTTGGCCTCTGATTAGCCTCTCTCGTGGCTCTTCTGCCTATGCTGGGGCTAGCTTCTGCTGTTAGTTTGCCTCTCTTCTGTTCTAGCCAATTTAAGTTGACCATGTTGACTTGAGGTTGGGGAAAAGGATCTGTTGTTATTTAGGGAGGTTTCTCAACCAGTTTTAGCCTTCTTGTTGTTAGTGGAATGGTTCAAAGTTGTGCCATCTGCAATATTGTCTGCCCTTAAGTTCCTCTGACTTGGGCAACCGGTGGGGTGTCTCTATTGCCTTCTGCAGCAGCATCTCATCAAACAGAGCATCAACCTTGGTTAAATCGAAGGAATAGACTTTGTTATGTGCTGGTTTGTTTGGAACAAACCCTCCTATGAATGGTGGCAGCTTCTGATCCTTTGGTGGCTTTGTCAAAGCCTTGCAGCTAATGGGATGTTTTAGTTTTGCCATTTCTACCACTGCAACTTCCCTTTCTTCCGAGCTTTCTGTGCCTTCTTCTGATTCTACCTCAACCAGATGCACTGAAGAAGATTGGGTTTTGTAATATGTGTCTTTGGAAGAGTTCCTCTTCTGTTGTTCTTCCCTGAGCAGCTCCTCGTATTTGGATGCTTTGTCTGCCAGTTCTGCCAGATCTCCAAACAGCATCCCATCAAATCTCTTCCTCAGAGAGATTTTAAGGGCAGTTTGAGCTATTTGAATGAAGTGCCTTTCTTCCATAGGGATTCGGCATTTCATTTTAAGCTTTCTAAACCTGGTTATGAAGTCTTAGGCATGCTCATATTCACTCTATTTGAGAGCAGCAAGATCACTAATGATGACTTCTGGCTGAATCCTGAAATAGTAGTCATGGAAGACATTTTCCATCTGCTCTCAAGTTTGTACAGAATTGGCTGGTTAGTATACCAGGTGAAGGCTTGCCCAGAGAGAGAGTTCCCAAAAAGCCTTAGTTTTAACAGAGGGTTATTTTCTATGGCTATACACTGGATAGAGAATCTGCCTATGTGCTCAACTGATGAAGCATGGGTGTCCTCTCTGTTGAACAAGGTGAAGTTTGGTACCTTGAAACCCGAGGATATAGGTATTTGATCAATATAAGCCAGATATGGCTTCTTGTAAGTGGGCCTTTCTCCTCTTCTAGCCCCAGGTTCCATCATCTCTCTAATCACCCTCTAAAGTGCCCTTATGTCATTCAAAGCATTGACAGGATGAAGATTTCGTCCCTGCTCTGGCTGGTTGTGTCCAATCCTTTGTTCCATTCTGTATGGTCTGGGCAGAACTTCCTCCCTATGCTCTTCCTCCTCTTCGAAATCTGGATTATTCCTCTAGTTTGCCCCCGGTCTATTCCTGTCATTGTGGGGTTAATTCCCCTTCTACCTCTCCTGCCTCTTGCTAGTAGAGGGAATGGATTGGGGTCCATCCTTCTAGGTATGTAGGGCAACACAGCTGGCTGGTCAAGTAGAAGTGCCAAGGGCTGATCGCGTGGGGCCATTGGTTGTGGAATAGGTGGAGGTTCTAGCTGGTTCTAGGGGGCCTGAACTGGTGCAGGGCTTCTGGACGAACCAGAGCCTCGTGTTCTTGGATGGGAAAAGCTCATCCTGCTCTGTCTAGCTTGGATTTCTTCAAGTCTTGGTATGGCCATGCCAATCCTAGTAGAGGTCCATGAGGGAGGTCTAGTTGCTAGCCCACAACATCTGGGTTTGGCATTCTAGCAATAGCAGCCTCACGGTCCTTACTAAACTGCCTGTTGACTAGCCATTCATCATGGATGTCATGTTGTTTAGAGTATCATGTCCCCTTTGTGCTGTGGCCTCTTGTTGAAACACAGCCTCCTGTATCTGGTTTAACCTTCTGGAACCGAACCTAGAACGTCTACTCCTGGTACTACAATGGGCTGATTGCCTAGCATCACTTTCTTCTGACTCAAGTCCTTCTCAGAGAGTTGCTTGATCTTTTTCCATGGCACAGCGTGGATTCTGGCTAGAACATCCAATATTCATATGGTTTAGAAGTTTCTTCTAGGAGTATGTATATTGAGAAGTCCCACTGGGCGTGCCAAATTGTTCACCCGCTTTATATTTGTTCCTGTGATGGTAGGGTAAAGTTCCCCATTGTCTTGAAAACCATTGACTGGTCAACAAGTCAACTTTCTTTTTTGTGTGAGCGTGCCACTGCTAGAAGTAAAAACCCTAGCAGACTTTCTTAAAAATAGATAACTTGCGCCCTAATTTACTGATTTCTAAACAAGCGATTGTGAATTTGGTTGAGGAATATCTCCCAAGTAAGTTCTTTTCTTTGCCTCAGACTGGTGATAACTTCACAATTTTTCACAGTACAAAATTGGTAGTTCTGGCCAAAATAAATGACAAGAAAGTAAGTTGTTTCAGGCAGAATTGCCTTTTACAAAGCTCAAAAAGGAAAGACCAACTCTAAAAAAGGACAAAAGAACTTTGGACTTCAATTTTTGCCTGGATAGCTACTTTTGATCTGGTTTGGATTGGGTATTTCTATGCTTGACTAGACTATCAACATCTTCAACTGTCAAGTTTCAGCTATAAATCGATACCAACGTTCGAGTTTGGCAGAGCTTTAATCTATTTCAAGCCCTAGAAGGCTTTTTGAACGGGCAGAATTGGAACCTCTTCAGTTTGGAAATGGCAGAAATGGCTGGATTTGATGATTACTGAGCTAAAACTGCATTGTCGTACCTGTTCTACTTAATCAGGGCTCTCCACAAATTTGTTGAGGTTTTCATATTTGTAAAACCCGAACTCTGCTTGTTTTGGCTTATGTTGAACCAAATTTGTAACAAGAGAAATCTTGCTTTAAATGACTATTTCTCTGAAAACTGAACTGAAGTTAGAGATTCTAGATTATAGCTGACTTGTTTCTTGTGGCCCAATGAGCTTTTGGTTGCTTCAGTGTTTTGAAGGCTTTTTGAGATCAAGTGATCAATTTGAGTTTTTGTTTTTATTGATTTTTGGTTGTCCTTTGATCTGTTCACCTCCTCTCATATTTATAGAAAAATGCTAAAGTGGGATTTCTAATCTTTTAATAATGGGCAGCAGATTTTCCAAAAGCAAGATCTTTCATTTTTAAATGTCAAAGAAAAGGGGAATTTTCTCTATTCTAGCAGACAAACCATCAACAATCAGTTCTTTATGGTGATCACTTCTCTGCTTTTTTTTTATAAAGAAAACCTAATCCCTTTTGACCTTTAATTTCTCTTTGCAAGAGTTCAATCTGCCGTGATGGTTAGTCTAATTTTCCAGATGAACAACTCCCTGCACCCTACTTATCTCTTTAGAAAATGTAGTCTGCTTATCCCTTGGAAATGATGTTTGTCCTAATGCATTATTATATAGAAATGGATTTTGATCTTCAGGTAGCAGAGATTTAGAGACGTCTTCCTTTTATACTTGCCTTCATTAACTCTCTGCTAGCTTCTCTATCATAGTTGCTATTGTTGACTTTTCAAAATCAGGTAATCACGTGGGTTTTCTTGAGAATAGACTTTCCAAGAAGAATCTGCTGACTTGTTTATGGGCTTCTTTGAGAATAATGGTGAGAATTTAGAAGCCGAGCCCAACCCAATTTTTTTCTTTAGAATTTTAATGATCTGCTTGGTGGTCAATTTTGCCATTTTTACTTGGCAGTTTTATTGACTTGCTTTGTGTTTTTTACAATTCTGCCACTTCGTAAAAGACATGGGCCACTGATGCGGATTGGGCTTTTCTTTTGGAGTCAAGACCCAGTCTTCTGTTTTCCTTTTCCTGGGCTTCTTTGTGAGAAGTGGGTTGGCATGTGGAATTCTTTTTAGGCCCAAACAGAGCCCTTTTTAAATCTAATTATCCTACAAAACCTAAGTAAAAGATACATAAATAAGTATATTTATGGACTTATCAGAGGTTGTGTATCGATTACAAATAACTGAACAAGGTGATAGTGCGTAACCAATATCCCTTGCCTCGAATTGATGACTTGTTCGATCAGTTAAAGCATGCCAAGTACTTTTCCAAGATTGATCTGAGATTGGGATACCACCAACTGAAAGTCAGAGAAGAAGATATTCCTAAGACGGCATTCAGGAATCGTTACAGTCATTACGAGTTCTTGGTGATGCCTTTCGGATTGACTAATGCCCCAGTAGCGTTTATGGATCTCATGAACCTGACTTTGGTCACTTTGTGATTGTGTTCATAAATGACCTCTTAGTATACTCACGGAATTTGGAGGCTCATAAGAAGCATTTAAGATTGGTATTGAAGACTTTGAAGAGGAAGCAGCTTTTTGCCAAGTTTAGTAAATGTCAGTTATGGTTGGATATAGTAGACTTCCTTGGACATGTAATTTCAGCGGAAGGAATCTACGTGGACCCTCGGAAGGTGGAAGTAATAGTGAATTGGGTACGGCCTACTAATGTGACGGAGGAACGGAGTTTTCTAGGGTTGGCAAGATACTATCGTCGTTTTGTGGAAGGTTTCTCTATGATAGTTGCACCTCCCACTCGGTTAATGAGGAAAGGAGTTAAATTTGTGTGATTGAGGAGTGTGAATAGAGTTTTCAGGAGCTTAAGAAGAGATTAACTACCGCACCTGTTTTGACCCGTCCTCATAACACGGGAAATTTTGGGATCTACAGTGATGCATCATTACAAGATTTGGGATGTGTATTGATGCAACATGATCAGGTGATTGTTTATGCCTCGAGGTAACTCAAGAAGTATGAGCAGAATTACCCTACCTATGACTTGAAACTTGTTGCAGTGGTGTTCACCCTTAAAATTTGGCGACACTATTTGTATGGAAAGACATGTCAGATCTACCCTTATCACAAAAGCCTCAAGTACTCTTTCACCCAGAAGGAGTTGAACATGAGACAAAGGCATTGGCTAGAGTTGATTAAGGACTATGATTGTACGATTGAGTACCATCCTGGCCGAGCTAATCTTGTGGCGGATGCTTTGAGTAGGAAGTCTTGTGGAAGCCTAGCTCACCTAAGAATGGCCTACCTTCCATTACTGGTGGAATTGCGGAAAGATGGGGTAGAATTGGGAATGAATCCACAGGGTGGACTACTTGCTAGTTTGCATGTGAGGCCTATTCTGGTTGAGCGGGTGATTGCAGCCCAATTGGAAGATCCTACACTTTGTATAATAAGGCTGGAAGTAGAAAATGGTATGCTGACGGATTATGCTGTGAGTGAAGACGAAGCCTTAGTAACTAGAACGCATCTCTGCGTACAAAAGAATGAAGACTTAAAGAGACAAATCATGGAGGAGGCTCACTGTTCTGCCTATTCTATGCACGCGGGTAGTACCAAGATGTATCGAACACTACGTGAGCACTACTCATGGCCGCATATGAAGGGTGACATAGCTAGGTATGTGAGTAGGTGTTTGATTTGCCAACAGGATTAGTTTGCACCATTGCAATTTATGAGTTCCAGCTTGACATGTGAGCAAAGACTTCCATGTTGTAACTCATGTGTTAGATCGCATTCAATGTACTCGTTCTTCTACAAGCACCTACACACATATCGATGTGTCTCCACACTTAATGACTTGAGACCTTGTCATTCCCTACATATAGAGACAATACTGTGTGTACTGGTCTTTGCGGAATATTGATGCTCAATTAATATTCCTATGACCAGGAACATATTCAGGATTTATGGATGATGAGAAGTCTCCATGTATGCAATCTCATTACATAGCTCATATATCAATTAATATTCCGAGGAGATCTCATCCTTCAGTGCCGAGATGGTGCGGTCGCGGTCGAAACTGAGCTGAAGTCTTCGGCTAGGCAGATCCTTAAGGCGGTGACCGAGAAAAAGAGGGCATTGGCCAAGAGGAAGCTGATCCGGGCGAGGTGGCAGGCGGATATAGATGGTGGGGACATCGCCTGGAGAAGGATAACATGCCTAATCTGGGGGATGTTTAGCGAGGGGGTTTAGGTGGGGGCCATTCAAAGACCTTGGGATGTAATAATTAAACACTTTCTTCTTTTTCCAGCACATACAAATATATGCATATATATATTTTTTTTCTTTCTTTTTGTTGTGATCGGCCATGACTGGCCGTCCTTTTTTTTTCTTTTTGTAAAAAAGAAATGATCTCTTTATCTAAATACAAAGCGTGGGCCTTCTTCTCTGAATGATTGAATGTATGTTGTTTGCTTTATATTGGCCGCACCGTTTGTTTAGCTCGCTCGCCTACTTCCCCCTCTTTTTCTTTTTGACTTTTTTGTCGTAGGCCCTCGGTGCCATTTTTTCTTGAACTTGCACCGAACTATAAGCGGCGAGTCTTGACTGTTCTAACTTTTCTAAACTCTGGGGCACGATTTGCGCGTAGTTCTTCTTCTTTCGCCTAAGCCGCTTGAAAACTCGAAGAAATCGAATCTCTAGCTCCATTAGTTTATCAATGTCATGGCCGTAGGTCAAGACATAAGAAAATGTGCCCATGGAGTGTATTGATGTGTGGCGTGCCCAAAAAGCCTTAGAGAGCAAGTATGCAATCTCATTACATAGCTCAGATATCACTTGTATATTCCTTGGACTATGGTTATTCTAAATATTGAAAGACAATATAGGATGATTTAATGTATAAAATAACCTTTCTGGCCCATTGAGAACATAATATGTCTTTTATCAAAGATATCCTTAACTCTAACTATTACATAATTAGTTGGCTTTAAGGGCATATTTCCAACAATCTCCTACTTGCATTTTAAAGCCAATCTGACATATATTTAATACCCATCTTCTCCATGTGTCGACCTAGCTAAAGCTGACTCATAAGTTTTCTGAGTGGATCTGCTACGTTGTCTGCTAAAGCAACCTTGAGCACACTAATATCTCCATCAACACCATATTCCCTGATTAAGTGATAGCGCCTCTGAATGTGCTTGGATCTTTGATGAGACCTTGGTTCCTTGGCTTGTGCTATATCCCATTGTTGTCACAGTATAAAATGACTGGTGGCTCCGAGCCGAGGGGATATGCGTCAACACGTGACGTCCTTCTTTTGGGTGCGGTGCGGTTGTGCGCGGGCATGCCAGCACGGTATACCATCGAGATGGTGATGAGGTTTGGGTAGAAGATGGTTAAATGATGCGCCTGTTTTGCGTTCGACTCCTAATCAAAAGATTGTGGCCGAGAGAGGAACTGATTTCAGCCTTCAGGTTCACGGCCTGAGCTACAAGGCCGTTTTAGTGGTGGTGTTGGTGGCGGGTTTTAGGCGGTGCTCCGGCGCGTTGCTTGGAGAGCGACGGTCGTATGATATATGGGGTGAATGAGATGATAATAGAGATGGTGCTCCGGTGCCTTGAAAATCAAGGGTCGTATGATATATTGATGAATGGATTTTCCTTACAATCTACCACTACTCCTAGGAAAGCAAATAAAAGTATTGAAAGTGCATTACAGGAAAATATAATTTGCTCCGTGGGAGGCTTTTGGTTTGGTGTTTGAACCCTTTGAATGTAGTCCTGAGCCTAGTATTTATAGGAGGAGTCCGAGAGGGACAATCGAGGCTGAAAAGACCTGCGTGGTGGAGCCTGATTGGGGCAAGTGCGTAGTCAAATCGGCATTTGGGATTGCGAAGCATGGTGGTTTAGGATTGTGAAGCATGGTGGTGTGACCCCCATAAATCTCGGTAAATCTCGGCCACCGCCCTGATTATGGGTTCTGCCCCCTTAGCCGTGGGAACGCATTTAATGCCCTGGTCTGGTGGTTGGTGATCTAACCTCAAGTCGTAAGATTACTTGTGAGAATGTCTGCCCCTAACCACCATGATTTCCATCACCAAACCCTGACTTCAGTCACTTCCCTTCCTCCCTTGTGCATTAAATGCTTCTTGCGACTAGTGGGTTTGCTGCGATAGTCAGAGGCATTACTTCATTAAATGGAACGTGGGACCCTGAGGCCACGTGGCGATTTAACCACAGTATCTTCGGCCGTGTCTTTTACAGCCTTCGGCTTCGGCCTACCATACTGCGGTCGCGAGGCCGAGAGGATTCTGCCTTTGCAGCTTTTCTTTTGTTTTTAGGAAGGCGAAGATAAGCGTTTTGCTTTCACTGTACTTTGTTTTATTTTTAGAATTGCGCCATATGCTTTTGACAGAATTTTTTGCTTCCAGCCTCCCCGGTTGTCGCAGTCGCTAACCACGGTCGCTGTGAGCATGCCCGTGGCGCCGTGGTCCCAGGACTCGATGGTAGTGACTGAGCTTGCAGTGGTTGAGGCTATAGCTACTGACACACCGAGCCCGCCGCCTATCTCCTCGATGGTCCTGACAGAGCTTGTGGTTGCAGAAGTTCTTGGCTTCTCTATCCGGCTCTGGGAGGCGTTGCGGATGTCGTTGCCGGCATCCTCTCCTGAAAGATCGTCCGTAGCTCTGAGGAGAATCTGTTCATTGCGGCCATAAAGGATGTCTCTATCCTGTAGGCCTGCTTCGCCATCAGATCCTCCACTACTGCTTGCTCTCCCATGGACTCGGCTGCGCGATTCGTCGTTATTAGACCGCTGGCCGAGATTCTGACCGCGTGTTCGGTCTCGGTGATAGTGATTGGTGAGGTGGACTCAAGAGCCTCGGAAGTCATTTCGACTGTTTTGTTTTTGAGCTTTGCCTGTGCCCTACTTTCCACCATGAGTTTTTGACAACAAGTCCCACTGGGCGTGCCAAAAGTGTTGCGGTTGCAAATCTCGCAGCCTGGTGCTCCGGGCCGAGGGGATGTGCGTCAACACGTGACGTCCTTCTTTTGGGGGTGGTGCGGTTGTGCGCGAGCGTGCCAGCACAGTCTACCGTGCTTGAAGATGGTGATGAGGTTTGGGTAGAACATGGTTAAATGATGCACCTGTTTTGCTTTCGACTCCTAATCAAACGATTGTGGCCGAGAGAGGAACTGTTCTCGGCCGTCAGGTTCACGGCCTGAGCTACAAGGCCGTTTTAGTGGTGGTGTTGGTGGCAGGTTTTAGGCGGTGCTCTGGCGCGTTGCTCGGAGAGCGACGGTCGTATGATATATGGGGTGAATGAGATGATAACAGAGATGGTGCTCCGGCGCCTTGAAAATCAAGGGTCGTATGATATATTGATGAATGGATTTTCCTTACAATCTACCACTACTCCTAGGAAAGCAAATAAAGGTATTGAAAGTGCATTACAGGAAAATATAATTTGCTCCATTGGAGGCTTTTGGTTTGGTATTTGAACCCTTTGAATGTAGTCCTGAGCCTAGTATTTATAGGAGGAGTCCTGGAGGGACAATCGAGGCTGAAAAGACCTGCGTGGTGGAGCCTGATCGGGGGCAAGTGGGTAGTCAAATCGGCATTTGGGATTGCAAAGCATGGTGGTTTGGGATTGTGAAGCATGGTGGTGTGACCCCCATAAATCTCGGTAAATCTCGGCCACCGCCCTGATCGTGGGTTCTGCCCCCTTGGCCGTGGGAACGCATTTAATGCCCTGGTCTGTTGGTTGGTGATATGACCTCAAGTCGTAAGATTACTTGTGAGAATGTCTGCGCCTAACCATCCTGATTTCCATCACCGAACCCTAACTTCAGTCACTTCCCTTTTTCCCTTGTGCATTAAATGCTTCTTGCGACTAGTGGGTTTGCTGAGATAGTCAGAGGCATTACTTCATTAAATGGAAGTGGGACCCTGAGGCCACGTGGCGATTTAACCATAGTATCTTCGGCCGTGTCTTTTACAACCTTCGGCTTCGGCCTACCATACTGCGGTAGCGAGGCCGAGAGGATTCTGCCTTTGCAGCTTTTCTTTTGTTTTTAGGAAGGCGAAATTCTTAACGAAACGGTAGGCGCCAGGACCGAGAGGAAGTCCCTTCAATCAGTCTATGACCGTAATTTATTAGGCACAAACAGACTCAATGCTTGGGACTACTCCAAGTTCAGTAATGAACTTCCTTATCCAAATCACTTCTGAAGCAACTATGTACTCTACTTCAGTTCTGGAGGCCGCAGTGGTCCTCTGCTTGTAACATCTCCAATTGATTGCCCTCCATTCAATGTGAACACATATCCAAAAGTGGATTTCTGATCATCAACATCAAATTCGAAATTTGAGTCTGTATATCCTTCCACCAGTAATTCTGGGTTTCCTCCATAGACTTGGAACATATCCTTGGTCCTTCTAAGGTACTTTAACATAGTCTTTACAGCACTCCAGTGTTCTGATCCTATGTTTGATTGATATCTGCTTGTGATGCTCACAGCATAATTGATATCAGGCCTCGTACACAACATGGCATACATTAGGCTCCCAATCACGTAGGCATATGGGATCTTGCTCATCTGTATAGCTGCTTCTGAGGTTTTAGGGCTCATGCTCTTAGACAGGTGAATACCATGTCTGACTGGTAGAAAACCCTTCTTTGAATGTTCCATTTGGAATCTCCTGAGCACCTTATCCACATACAGGGATTGAGATAATCCAATTAGTTTTCTCGATCTATCCCTATAGATCTTGATACCTAGTATGTAAGATGCATTTCCCATATCCTTCATTGAGAAGGTCTTTGATAACCATAGTTTCACAGAGGTCAACATGCCTATGTCGTTTCCAAATATTAATATGTCATCTACATATAGTACAAGGAATACGACTGCGCTCCCACTGTTTTTCTTGTATAAACAAGGTTCATTTTCATTTTGGCTAAAACCATAACCTTTAACGGCTTCATCAAAACAAATGTTCCAACTCATTGAAGCCTACTTCAGTCCATAAATTGACCTATGAAGTTTGCATACTTTCTTCTATTCATGTTTAGATATGAATCCTTCAGGTTGATCCATGTAGATTTCTTCCTAAAGGTGGCCATTCAGAAAAGCCATTTTCACATCCATTTGCCATATCTCATAGTCATAATATGCTACTATGGCGAGAAGTATGCGGATAGATTTTATCATTGCTATAGGAGAGAAAGTTTCTTCATAGTCAATTCCCTCTCTTTGTCTATAGCCTTTAGCTACTAATCTAGCTTTATAGGTCTCCACCTTGCCATCCGAGCCCTTCTTCCTTTTGAAGACCCATTTGTTTCCTATTGGTACAATACCTTCGGGTGGGTCAACCAGAGTCCAGACTTGGTTGGCATACATAGAATCCATCTCAGACTTCATGGCTTCCTACCATTTCTTTGAGTCAATGTCCAACATTGCCTTCGTGTAGATTTCAGGATCTTCCATGCCATCCCCCATGAGAAGAACATGGTGTAAGCCCAGATATCTATCAGGTGCTCTATTGATCCTTTCAGACCTATGTGGAGGTTGGGTGAGTGTGGGTAAAGGGACTGGATTGTCAACTAGATCAAACTCTACTTCAGGTTCATGAGGCTCTCCAGACTCTTCCTTGAGCTCAACCTTTTGCACACAGGTGTCATCCAATGCAAAATCAATCTCAGGAAATCTTGCAGATCTTGCAACAAACACCTTTTGTTCGTTTGGATGGTAGAAGTAGTATTTTCCTTTGGATATCCAATGAATCTACACATTTCTAATCTAGCGTCTAGCTTGTCAATATCATGCTTCTTGACATAAGCTGGACAACCCCATATCTTAAGATGATTAAGACTTGGCTTCCTCCCAAACCACATTTCATATGGTGTTTTGGGCACAAATTTGGAAGGTACTCTGTTTAGCAAGTATGCTGCAATTTGGACCATAGCAATCAATGTTTGGTTTCTCCTCTCGGAGACACCATTAAGTTGTGGAGTTCCAGGTGGAGTCCACTGAGATAGGATGCCATGTTTCTTGAGATATTCAAGAAACTCAGTACTCAAGTATTCTCCTCCTCGATCTAATCTTAGAATCTTGATACTCTTTCCTGTTTTCTTTTCAACTTCCTTCTTGAATTGTTTGAACTTTTCAAAGGCCTCGGACTTATACTGTATTAGGTATACATAGCCCAACCGAGAGTAATCATCGATGAACATAATGAAGTAAGAAAAGCCACCCCTTGATGTAGTGGACAATGACCCACATACATCAGTGTGGATTAATTCAAGAAGCTCAGTGAATCTTTCCCTTTTTCCTGAAAAAGGCAAGTTTGACATTTTGCCTTGAAGACATGATTCACAAGTGGGCATAGGGACTGAACCCAAAGATTCAAGGTATCCCTGTTTGACCATCCTTTAGGGGACATAAACTATGTACTATATGAAAATGTCATAGGATGTCAAAATATGTCAAGTATCAAATAAGATCAAAAAGCATGCTTGATAAGAACTCTTATGAACATATCATGAACACCAAGAACATTTTCAAGAACCTTTTTCAAATCTTTATGACTCTTCATAAATCACACAAAAATCATAAATTCATGCAAAAATCATATCCATACTTAGAATTTCAAGACTAACACAACCATGTAAACATTTCACACATGGGCACACACAAGACCCAAAAAGACCCTCCTTGCTGCCACCCCCCCCCCCCCCCCCCCCCCCCCCCATTGGTGTCATCTCTTGATTTTTATTTTCATACTCCTACTCATTCATCCTATATCCCATATCCTAGGAATAAGTAACATGGAAAAGAAAATCTAACACATTATCACAAAAGTTTGAAAACAAACCCATATTAAAACCAATAACCAAAATAAAAGGCTCAAAGAGACTAGACCTGGCTCTAATACCACTTGAAGGAAACATGCATCTAATGCTTAGTAAATGAACTTTAGCCACAACCTATACAACAAAAACATTCTAAATGGCGGATTCATTTTGTTTATACTAGTTGAGCTGAACCTTTTTCATTTTAAACCAAATATCTTAGCCTAGTCTCTTTGAACACAAATAGAAAAAGGAAAAAGGGAATAGACCTTTACCCTTGATGACATTTTCTTGGTTTAATGAACACCTTTGTTGGAAAGGCATGTTGTTTCTCTTGATTTTGACTCCTTCACCTTAAAGCTCTAAGATTGGAGTCCTCTACCTCACCACACCAAGTGCTCCTAGAGATAAAGAGAATGCAATCAAGAAGTATGGATGCTAGTCTACTTCTTGATTGGACCAATTTTTGGTTTATGGAAGATGAGATACAAAGATACTCATCAACCAAAGTAGGAAACCAAAAACCCTAGCTAGGTTTTCTCCAACACTTAGCTTATATAGGACAACACAAAAAGGCAAGGGGTTTGGGTGGGTATTGGGGCTCCATTTGGTCCATGGGTTATGTCATCTTATGCCACTTATCCGTTGGACCCAATAGCCTTTTGGGTTATTTTGTCTCTTTCTTTTTAAATCATATTTAAAAGCCCAATCCAATATTTATATATGTCAATATTAATTCTATAATTAATCTTTTAATTATAATTTAACTATCAAATTATTATTATAGTCTTACGCAATTGACCCGGTTTAACTATTTAACTTTGGTCAATTGCTCTGGTCAACATGCTGACTTTTGACCGTTGACTTTGACATTTGATTATCAACCATTGACTTGTGTCTCCTCGTTTTATTTCTCCTCATTTGTACCTCTAACCACATTCTTTGGCTGTGCAGATCCGTAGGTTTCCTTTAGCAAAGTAGTGGGTTGACTCAACTCCTCAGAAATGATATACGAATTAAATTCCACAATTTAATTCTTCCTATTAATAAAGGTTAATTGAAACCTTTTAGGACATCCACAAACCATGGTTGTCGCCTAGCAGGAAGTCACGGTTATCCGAGCTAAATGGGACGTTGTGAAAGAACCTATTCAAATTGGAATGACCATGCAATTGAATCCTTCTCTTATGTCAATACTCCTTATTCACATTATTAGATCATGGAATCCGATTGTCAATGTCCTAATGTGAATCATTCCTTTTATATGATTATCTTGATAAGATTTGAAGACTTCTTCTTTCAAGTCTTATCCACTACTCTGGGAAGAGATTTGACCAATCATATTTTGGAGTATTCTCTCTCCTTTATTGAGAGTAGAGATTCCTTGTTGTACATTCATTTGCTTTCACGACTCTATTAAGAACCCTGATGAGCACCTTTAAGCTATGCCGAATTCAGCATGACCGTATAGTGCCCTCCAAGATTAACAACATAGCCACAAAACATTTATGATGCCTCAGGTTTAAGGATTAGTTTGCACCATTGCAATTTATGAGTTCTAGCTTGTCATGTGAGTAAAGACTTCCATGCTGTAACTCATGTGTTGGATCGCATTTAGTGTACTTGTTCTTCTACAAACACCTACATATATATATATCGATATGTCTCCATAATTAATGACTTGAGACCTTGTGATTCCCTACATATAGAGACGATACTGTGTGTACTGGTCTTCGCGAAATATTGACGTCCAATCAATATTCCTATGACCAGGAACATATTCAGGATTTAGGGATGATGAGAAGTCTCCATGTATGCAATCTCATTACATAGCTCTCATATCCATTTGTGTATTCCTTGGACTATGATTGTTCTACATATTGAAAGATGATTTAATGTATAAAACAACATTTCTTGCCCATTGATAACATAATATGTCTTTTATCAAAGATGTCCTTAACTCTAACTTTTACATAATTAGTTGGCTTTAAGGGCATATTTCTAATAGAGTTTGCTTATAATAATAGTTATCACTCAAGCAATGGAATGGCTCTGTATGAAGCTTTATATGGGAGGCAGTATAAAACTCCTATATGTTGGAATGAGGTGGGTGAGGGAAAATTGGAGAAGATAGAAAGTATTCAAGATACAACGAAGAAGGTGAAGATGATCAGATGAAAGCTTAAAACTACACAAGACCGATAGAAGAGTTATGCAGACAACTGGCCCAAAGATCTTGAATTTGCAGTTGAGGATTAGCTGTTCTTGAAGCTATCTCCCTAGAAAGGTGTGATGAGGTTCGAGAAACGTGAGAAGTTAAGCCCTTGTTATATCGGACCTTATGAGATCACAGAACGCATCAGACCTATTGCCTACAGACTTGCCTTACCTCCAGAACTATCTCGGATTCATGACGTATTTCATGTATCCATGCTACAGAAGTACATACCTGATCCTTCCCATGTTCTAGAACATCAACCTGTGGAGTTGAGAGAAGCTTTGACCTATGAGGAGCAACCAGTGCAAATTCTGGACAGAAAGGAGCAAGTGTTACGCTCTATAACCATTCTGGTAGTGAAGGTATTGTGGAGGAGTCAAACCGTTGAGCAAACCACTTGGGAACCCGAGGCGCAGATGTGGGCCAAGTACCCTCACCTCTCCGAATGACAAGTACAAAATTTCATGAAATTACAATTTTGCCCTTGGGGTAGGGTCATTTTGGTCACTTTTAATCCAGTAGGATTTTGGTACTTGAATAGCACCATTATTTAGACCGCGTCGATATGGGTTCGTAGACACGTAGTAGGCTCAAATTGGAGTTTTAATGAAGAAGTTACGATCAACAGAAGTACAGTGGCACAATCGTAAATATTTTGAGGTTGGATTTTAAAAACCCAATCAAATTCCTCTCTCTCTCTCTCTCTCTCTCTCTCTCTCTCTCTCTCTCCCCCCCCCCAACCTTATCTTTGGTCCACCCCACCTCCGGTGAAACCCGCAGCCCCTACCATCGAAAACAGCTCAAAATAAGGCAGAATTTCTTCGAAATTTCCAGTGTCGTTTCCGATGATTCCGGCCACAATTTTTGTCAATCCAGGTATGCTTTCTCATCCTTTCAACGTGATCTAGCTGATGGTTGGATTGCTTAGGATCGATTTTGAAGTTTTGAAACCAAGTTTTGACCAATTTTTTGCTTGAATTTTCCACAAGCTTCGGCCACTTTTTGGTTGTGGCCCAAGAACGAAAATTGATCCACTAGTTGTCCTGATCACGTAAGTATAGGTATTGATGGGTGTTTTGAAAATTTTCGTGTAGTCGAAATTTTCTCAAGCCACCCACACACTGTCGGCACGTGTGGTGGCGAGTGGGCCATGGTTGGGTGGCCCGTTTGGTTCTAAAATGTTCCCCATATCGTCTCGAGCATGACGATATGCTCGGATTTGAATTTGGTTAACATTTGGCGGTCGATTGAATTTACGCATATTAGGCGTTATCCAAGTTTGATATGTTTGGACCGTTGGATCGACTCCATTCCCAAATATGTTGATCTATGTAGCTCTAGGATCATGTAGGAATTCGCCGATCAAGAATCAGAGTCCTGGTATTCCGAATTAATGATTCAAAGATTACGTAAAACTGTGACCATCCAATATTGCTATCGCGAGCGATCAGACCACTCGATTTGGACCAAAATCGCAGGACGTGTTTAATAAACTTTGTTGAACCCGTAGGAACTTTCGGATTGGAAATAGGAGGTCGTGGGTTTCGTGGGCCCCGTTGACCAAATTTAGGAAGTTTGACCACTCGGTTGACCAAGCGTCTTCCGAGGTTATTCCACCATTCGAAATGCATAGTTGGACCTTAGGAACTCCTCATTCGTGGTACACATACTTTGAATCCCGGGAAAACTAGGAGTTTATTTTTAAAGTTCTCGTTCGAAGTACTTTAATTGATCTAGTCTTCGTATTCTTCAATAGATACTCCATCTCAGCGTACTCAACAGGTAAGTTAAGAACTGCTCAAATTCCCTTACCTTGCCTTTTGGCTCCAATTCTTTTGAGGTATGCCTAACCCTTTTATAAATTATTTTCAGGGGAAGGCTCAAGGGTGCATGGTTGCGACTACGAATGAAGTTCAAGTTGGAAATGGAAGCATAGCTTTTGCATTGTGTGTTCTGAGGAGGGGGGAGGAGGCCACTCCTGCTTCTCCTCTTTTCTCCCTCTCTCTTTCCTTGCCTTCATACTTATTTTTCCCCTTCCCTATCTACTGGATTTGGGGTTTTACTTGTGAGGAGATTATTTGTGTCCAAATTTGTGGATCTGTAGTTTTGTTGGTTGGTGTTTTGTTGTAAGGTGGCGGGTTGCAATCTCAGTGGTGTTCCCTGTCTCTTATCCCAGTAAATTTCTCCATCTTTCATTCTTTTCTCTTTTTCTAACGATTAAAGAAAGGATCTCACTTAAGGGCCATATAAGACCCTCATTACAGAATGACTCTTTCAAACCCCTCCTTTGGTAAATTTTACCTTTTTTGGGTCATAATCCAAGTGGAGGCTCTTTTGGCCCAATTTGTTTATTGCGGTCCAATCCCCAAATCCATATGGGTCACAAAATTACCCCTCAGACTATAATGAGGGGTAAGTTATAAGGGGTTCACTTTATAGTCATTGGATCAATCCAAGGGCTGGGGAGAATTGGGATAAAGTTGTGCAATCGGGTAGGTGAGGAACCCCAAACCCGAATTTAATATCCAGCAATGAAGTTGCCCCAAAAAAAAAAAAAAAAAAAAAAGAAAGCAAGTTCAAAGTTTGAACAGAAAAACCCATTGATCTCAAACTCATAGCTCAGAGAAACCTCTAAGCTCTGAGAAACGGTTGAAGGCAACGGGCAACGACGGTTGAAGGCAAAGGTTAACGACGGTTGAAGGCAACTCCACTATCTAAACCGTGAAAAAGTATTTATTTTGAGTGGAAGGAGCAAAGGCGTGGATTCTGAAACAGTGAAAAGACGAAGCAGTGGAAGGGGAAGGAGAGAAGCCGTATTCGTTGGAAGTGATAGGTTCCATTTGTGGAGCAAAGCCACACAAAGACCCAACACAGACACCTTGCGATTGTTCAATAACCAGCATTTGGTGAGTAATTTATGGAATTTGAGTTTAGGGTTAGAGTAACCGTTTTCCCCAATTTGTACCATGAATGTTGTTAGATTTGGCATCTCTTCTTTGTGCTTCACTTGCATGTTAATTTTTGCTTGGGTATATGTTAAAAAACGAATGAAAATAAAGTCAATAACATGTCAATAACATGTCAATAATGATATGAATAAGGTAATGGTGTTGAATTGGAGGAGGCCCTCAAAACCTTCCACATTTGAAGCAGTGCAGAGTGCAGATTATCTCTCTGGCGCTAGAATATATATAATTTTTGAAATAAATATTATTTCCGTTGTTACTAAATTTGCCTGTTAAAAATGAGAACAGATAATAATAAACTCATGAATAAAAGTGCAAAGCATTTGAAAAAAGGTTGATCTATGACGATTATGGCTGACTGAAGAAAAAGCTAGAAAGAAAGAAGGATGTGGCAATGGCTTAGCGAGCAGATAGCAGAGCAAATGCTTTGCTTTGCTTCCTTCCACCATCTTTCTTATTTATTTATTTATTTTGTGTTGTGTATGAGATGACAATAATTGTCATGTGTGTGAAGTGCAAAACTTGCCTAGATTGCACTCACACTCACTCATGCATCAACCATTGATTGGAGTTTGGATCCATAAATAAAACACATGCTATTGCTTGTAATTCACAGAATCATTGCATTAACAGGTATTTGCACAAAATATGTCATATTGCTTTGATGATGTTAAAGCCTGTGATCAGTAATCCCTATGCGCATGTACTTTGTAAAATTTGTAATGTGCTGGTTGACTAGTTGTGTAAATACCAATGTGATTGTGCAAATACGTGGTAGTATATGTGTTCACGTTATTTCATCTTGTATTTCAGGAAATGGGATCCAACGTTGAGCTGGTATGGCCAGAGTCAGAGGCATATTCCTCACGGGTGAACAACTGCTCACATGCAAATTCATCCCTAGCTGTAATTCGAGCGAAGTTGAGTGCCGAACAATTAGAACAATTCAAGACATCATGCTTTGGCCATCTTCTGAATATAGATAAGATTCAGTTTAGCGGGCAGATTGTGCATGGGGTTGTGTTGCGTAGAGTAGCGGGGCAGGGTGTGAAAGACTTGGATGGACTGAGTTTCTTAATAGGGTGCGACGTTGCTCAGTTCACTCGTCAGGATTTCTGTTTGATCTCAGGGCTTCGTTTTGGGGAAGTGCCTGAAGTTTCCAGTGGAGAAAGTGATGAAATTAGACTTCAGAAAAGATATTTTATAGACGAAGGAATTACATGTAATGCTTTAAAAGAAGCATTTGTGAGGTGCACAGAGGAAGATGACGTCTACAAGCTAGCTCTTGTTTACTTTGCTGAGTTAGTGGTTTTGGGAAGGGACAAACATTTGAACATCAATCTAAATTACCTGACCCTTGTAGAGGACTTGGATGCGTTCAACAGGTTTCCATGGGGTTCGGTGTCGTTTGACAAAACCCAAGACAGTCTGTTTTCTGCACCAACAAAGTATGTGAAAAGCTTTGAAAATGAAGAGGGAAGAGGGAAGAGGGAAGGGGAAAAGTAAGGTAACCGGAACAAGCCGGAGAAATGAGAAGGGCAAGAAGGATAACCATGGTGAAGTGCAAAGGGGTGGTTGGAGTTTTAAAGGTTTCACGTATGCTTTCCAGGTACATGGTAATAATGTTCATGTCGTTATGTTTTGTTGACTTTAAAACTTAAATAATAACTTGTGTCCTGTGAATTGTGTAGATTTGGGTATATGAATTAATTCCTAGAATGGCGGACCTGAATTACTGCAAGGTTGTTGATCCGACAGCTCTCCCGCGTATTTTGCGATGGAGAACTACTACGTCTGTTCTCGAGATGAGAAAGTTGAACAATTATTTTTTCCAGAGCAAAGAGGTTTGGTTTGCAACCCTTGGAACTATTTATAAGATGCAATGAAATTATGAAGTAGAATGATTGCATATGACTCTTGTCTATTTTCTAAAACAGTCAGTTCAGTTGCGGGTGCTATGTCCAAGTGAAGAGGAAATGAGACAACCATATTGGAGTTGGCCATAGGGTCGCCCTGCTGTTGTCTCGGTAGAGTTAATTCCTTCTTCATGTGCTGACCTTGATGAGTTGAACAAGGCGGTAAGCTTGTTGAGGTCCGAGTTGTTTCAAGTAAAGCAGGAAAAGGACGTCCTTGAGTTAAAGGTCATACGGATGGAAAAAATTTTGGACCATTGTTTAGGTCCTCATTTTGAGCAGGAAGTGAGAAGGGACATAGCTTTACTGAAAGAGAGGACGAATCGTTGTGTCGTGTCACATCTACTTAAGGGATATGAGGAAGTGGATGGCATGCAATGGGATGAAGGGCCAAGTAATAGAAATGAAGGAGAGGAAAATGAAGAGGAGGACATTGAAGGGGGTGAAGGGCCAAATAACAGAAATGAGGGAGAGGACAAGGAAGAGGAGGGGATTGAAAGGGGTGAAGGGGCAAGTAAGACAAATGAGGGAGAGGAAAAGGAAGAGGAGGGGATTGAAGGGGGTGAAGTGCCAAGTAAGAGAAATGAGGGAGAGGAAAAGGAAGAGGAGGGGATTGAAGGAGGTGAAGTGCAAAGAAAACCAAGGGAGGTAGAGGAAGCTCAAAGGAAAAGAAGTGAGGGAGAGCAAGTGAAAATAAAAAGCAGCAAAGGAGAGGAAGCGCAAAGAAAGAGCATTGAGGGAGAGGAAGAACTGCAAAGAAAAAGCAGTGAGGGAGAGGATCCGCAAAAAAAAAGAAGGAAGGGCAAGGAAGTGAAAAGACAGAGAAGTGAGGAAAAGGAAGTGCAAAGAAACCAATGTGAGGAAGAGGATGATGAAGTTATGTTGGTTGGCGATGACATTGGCGAGAGCACGGAGGGGACAAAGGTTGAGGTTACTCTCGGGGACATTGATTTGGATCAACCTACAGCTGTGTTATCTCAGTTGAACGTTTGGTTGAATGATGAAGGTCAAGGTGTGGAACGAGGGGTCCAATTACGGAAGAGGAAGAGGATTATTCCTATGTGGAAGATCGTTGAAGCTAGTGAAGTGGTTAACAAAAATTTGCCAAAGACAACCGGACTTCGAACGTTAGACCCAATGAAGGCGATTCCGCATGATGATATGGTGAAATTGCTGAAACTTTGTTCGGAATGGCGCCATAACCCAAAGTAAGTCCTTTGTTTTTTGAGATAGAAGGCATGAGTGTATATATTTTTTAATTGTTGTGTTCTAAAACTTTTTTATATTCATAGTTTGGTGATGCAATTTGGCAACGTGGAAGCTGAGATTGAATTCTTCGCTTCCCTCGTCAAAGCTGACGGTTGGCTGAAAGGAGATGTAAGTTTAATTGATTATGCATTTGTTTGAATGTGCATAGATTATGAGATTGACAAGGAAAACATGTGCAGCACATTGATTTGGGCTTGTATCTCATCCGGAAGCGACAACAACAGTTGGAGGAAGTAGAAATATCGGACTGGACAACGACCGATGTATTTTTTATGGTATGTGATGCAGGATGCATAGGACCTAAATTGTTTAGTTTCCTAATTGATTTGTTAGTTTCCTATATTCTTTAGTTTTCCAAATCCTAGTAGGATTTCTAAGTTAGTTTTCCAAATCCTATTAGGATTTCTAAGTTTCCTATTTTATTAGGAATAGGATTTCTGTTTTACCTGGGGATTTTAATTCTATTGTCTCTAGGTTTTAGTTTGCTATAAATACCCCTATGTAGTTCTTTACAATTCAGATTTGAATATTGATTAAACATTCCTTTAAACTCTCTGATTTCTGCTGCCTTCTACCTTTCTTCCCTTCAGCTTTTCTTATCTGTTCTGTCTTATTGCTCTAAGTGTTTAAACTAACACACCCAGGGCTGTGCTACATCAGTATGGCATAGGCCTTGACCAAGTGCAGTTAATAATTACAAATTATCCATACTTCCTTTGTGGAGGTGTTTAACCGTTGATTGTTTTCTATTTCACAGAATCACATCCATACTTGCTTTGCGGATAATAAAAGGAAAAAAGAGCAAGTTGGGTGGAAAATTAGAACCAGTTTAGTGAACGTTGTAAATGGCAAGGTTCCGGCTTGTGGATTGGATTGGCAGAACACGTATAAGGTGTATGTACCTTGTATGTTGCCAAAATATAAGCATTGGGTGGCTCTAGAGATTGATCTGATTCAGTGTGAAATCAAAGTCTACGATTCAATGGTTTCACTCATTCCAGATCAGAGCTTAAAGGAAGAACTCGGCCCCCTGTCAATTACGATTCCAAATCTTCTGCACACCCTCGACTTTTATGAAGAAGGTGTTTACGCGAACGAGTGCACCCGAGATTGGTGGTGTCCGTGGCCAATACATCGTGTGGATGTTCCACAACAGGCTAATCAGTGAGCACAACTTTTTATTTAATTTTATTACTTTAATTTGTCAATTACGTTAGAATGTCATTAGTTGAATTGATCGAGTTCTTGTTTTGCTTCAGAGGCGATTGTGGTATGTTCGTGTTGAAGTACATTGAGCTGTTGAGTGCTGAGATTCCCTTAGCTACTTGCACCTCGGAGAACATGCCATTTTTCGGTTGAAGTTGGCTGCAGAAATTGCACGGGGAGATGCTTACATGCCATGATATCGGTTGAACTTGGTTTAGGCACATGATGATTAAATAGGTTTCGGTCGAATTCCACCTCTGCTCCTGAATTCTTCTTCGTCTTTCTCAATCTTAATGTATTTGTGTATAGAAATTTAGATTTAAGTTACTGGACAATAACAATTAGAACCAAAATAGTGGCAAATATTATAGCGGATGCATGCTTTCATTTCGATTAGTGTGATATTACGCTATTTTTATTCTCATATTGTGCGAAATGTATATGGGGCTGGTTGCAGAGCATAGAAAAATGAAGAATCTGAAATGGAGATGCTGAGGGTTGGTGAGGAGAAAAGTAAATGGATCTGTAAATCTATTGCACGTGGGCAATCTAAATGGATAGGCAGATGCGTTTTTGAAGTTAGACACATGCCATTCCCATACATAGAATGTGCATATGGAGTGTAAAGTTTTTTTTGATGTAATGAAACAAACATTGGTGTAATATTGGCCTAACTCCTTCACGACATTTACCTAACCTCAACCAAACTGCATTGAATTGGGATTTGAAGACTGCATATGTGAATTGGGATTTGAAGAATGCATATTCACATAGGGACTGATGGCTTTTTAAGTGTATTACATCATTGCAAAGTGATATGTCATCATTTATCCAAGCCACCATTCCAAATATCAAATCCCAATCTTTAAGCCGGCAACAGACAAGCAATATACACGCAATAGACATGAAATATACACGCAATAGACATGCAATATACATCAGTCCCCAATTACATCAACTATAAGGAAGTCGTATTGAATAAGAAATTCTACTTAACAGTAGTTCTTCCTACTAAAACAAAGAATAAGGACCGTTTCCCCCCTTAAATCTAACTTGAGCCCTACTTTTGCCCCAATAAACATGCAATATTGGAGCAATAACATGCGATATACATGCAGTAAACACTCAATCAACTTTCAATAAACCTTCAATATCGGTTCAATAACATGCGAAATACATGCAGTTAACAATCATGAAACCTTCACGAAACATGTAAACAATCAATAAACCTTCAATAAACACTCAATATCGGAGTAATAACATGCGAAATACATGCAGTCAATAAACCTTCAATAAACATTCAATATCATGCGATTTACATGCAGTAAACAATCAATAAACAATCTATATACACTGAATAATTATGCAATCTTCAAAAAAAAGGTATTGTCTTATTATTGCATCGTATTGGCCCTGTATTGTCATTTTATCGTCTTCGTATGACTTTATTTTTGTAAAGTAAGTCTAGGAAAGTTTTTACTGGGTTTCTGACAAATACATGCTTTTGTTTCAAACAATAATTTAAACTCAATGCCAATCCACCTATTTGAAGAACAAAAATTACAAATTGGGTTTGAAAAGTCATTGGTGGTGCGTGCAACATGTGTTTTTGGGGAGAACTTTTACAATCCTTGAAACGGTGCACTTAATTGGTCATTAAAAGAACAAATAATATGACAATTGATACAACTAATAAAACTAATACCAAGTCCTTAATGGACTTCAGCATATTAAGCACTGTAGCATCATACGTGTCAGCTTGCTGATCTGCTTCAGCGGAGGTTACATCAACCCATTCGAATCCATTGCAACTGGTGGCTCCCTAATTGCAGGCATCATATATGCAAAATAATTCTGTCAGAGTTAGACCTAGGATTTTTTTTCACCCACATACATATTCTGGAAATGAGAACTTACATAGGAGGTTAGACACTTCCAAAATGGCTTCCCTCGATTTTTATCTGATTTTGAAACCCGAAGCGCCATTGCAGCTCCACAATACTGACACCTCTTTGTTTGAGCGGGAGATGAAGACGAAGACATGTTGAATCTTATCACTTGTACCTCTTCTCACTCAGATCTTCTCACTAAAACCTCTTCGGACTCATACCTTCTCAGTCATACCCCTTCACTCATAAGTCATAACCCTAAACTTCTCACTCAGCTCTCTCTCATCTCTGCCCAAATCGAATTATATCCTTCTTTTCTGTGTGTGGGTGGGTTGGTCACGATCTGGACACCTGTACCGTCAGAATTGTGACACCTTTTACTCCGAAAAGCGATATACTATTTCACTACCAAATATTAATCTTACAATTGAGGGGACACTGCTTTAAATATATTATTTTCTTTATATTTCATTAAGGCAACTAGTTGGATAAGAATCCGTCATTTACTAGGGGTAGTGTGGTGTGGGAAAATGAAAAAGTATCTGATGGGACCTTCTGTCACTAGTCAGTAATCCATCACATTTGTATCAATGAATTTAATGGCGGGAAAAGCCTAACAATGGCTATGGAAATAGGTTATTAATTGACTTTTGGACGGTCTGACTCCCTTTGCATTTCGATGACGTTTTCCCTTCGCCTGTCTTATGTTTTGGGTGTTGGGTTCAGTTTCTTTAAAAAGGGTCAACTTGGAAAAACCCCAAGGAAACACCTTTTCAAAACAGTGCAAACAGAGGCTAAAACAAACCCAAAACCCCGTATATTCTCATTTCTCCCCTCTTGCAGTCCTCAAATCGTTCCATTCCAAAAATATTTCAATGAATTCGAAACATTACACTACAGTCGGAGGAAAGAGAAGGAAGCATCTCCATCTGGATGTGCCTCAAGCCTTCATCCCGGAATTAGCTTGGTTTAAAGTGATGTTATACGTGGCAACCCAATCATCGGAAGATCTCTTTCGTATGGCATCTGTGTGCCCATTGTTCAATACGTTGGCAAACACTCCACAAGTGTGGAACACAATTTCAATGGAAAAGTACCAAGACCATCCTAACTGGTACTATGCCTCAACGCAGGTCCGGCATTTCGTGGAACAATGCAGGGCTTGCGAGAACCGTGAGGCGATATTTAGAGAAGCGTTCAACGTGTTTTTCAGGCAGGGTAATGTGGAAGCATTGTTTGGGATGCGCGTTGCAGCCACGGCAAGCCATATGGAAGCGGCATATCTAGTTGGACTACTTGGCATGTCCGGAATTGGTCAGTCAAAAGAGGATGCATTAGAATTCTTGTGTTCTTTGAATCAACGTAACAACATTGATATGAAAGGAACCATGGATGCTTTGAGACGACGATTAAGCGGAATTTTCTCTGTTGGAAGACATATTGTAGATATGTTTCACTATGGGAAGATTAAGTTCAATCAATGCAGCGCTTGTAACAACAACGACTGGTGTTTTGTTATTCCAGGCTGGCCTAGTGAAGAAAAGATCAATCCTGCCTTCTGGACTTGTTGCAATCGATGCAAATGGCACCGTGAGAGTGTTTTTTGGTTCAAGGTGATGCGTGTCTATGTTGTGCCAGGGAATCCATACCCTTATAATTAGTTGTAGTATGTTTCTACGGTTTTTATGTGTGTCTATGTTCTACAAATGTTGTTTTCTATTTCATGTTTTAATCTATTTTGTCTGGTGTTTGTTTGTGCTGTCCTAAACCGTTTTATATATAAATGTATAATATTTGTTATATAGTGGAATTATTACTGACATAATTGACGGCTACGAATGACATTTTACTGACACAGATATTTTGCACAACTGCAATATTAATATTTGGTAAACGAAAACGCATGCATGAAGTGAGTATGTGTCTTTTCACCGGTTCTTGGGAATGACATTTTCCCACTTAGCATATCCCAAATGATTGGGTTACACGTTTCTTAAGCAAAACTTGAACAGTGAAAGACTTTGAATAATTATTTCCTGATGTTGTAGAATGGATGGCTTGTATATTTCCATTTTATGTTTGAAAACATCCCTTAAACCTAAAAAAGAAAAAACATTAACAAATTGAAGAAGAGAGAAACTGATTAGCACCAGAAATGGTCTATTCACACGGAAAATAAAATTAAAATTAAAAATTTTGAGTAAATATAATTAACAAATGTACAAGCTAAAAAGTAATATAACAATAATAATAAAAATAATTTTGGATAAATAATAATAAAATACTAATGTAGTGTAACCATGAAACAGGGAATTCAGGAGGAAGATAAAGTCTCAATGAGCTCGTAGCAATTTTCGGAACATTATTGTGATTTTTGTGTATTTAGTTATGAATTTTCTAAGAAAAAGTCATAAAATAATAATTTAGGGTAAAAGGTAAGGATGTGGCCATGTTGACTGACGCACACTTGTCAAGGGGTGAAAGGTGAGGGGCTGAGATCGCGCCATGTGTCCAGTTGGCAATTATTTTGGCTTTTTTAGTGCAAAAATCTTTGAAAAAATGCAATAAATAGTAGAAAAATCCTAAAAATGCCCCGAAAAATACTCCGGCCTCCTTGTGACGTTATAAAACAAGGGGAACCCATAAATCATCCATTTCGCAATTAAAAATTTAAAAATGATTTACATAACTCACTTTCCTCTTAACCCTAAGTATATATGTTTGTTAACTTTAACTTCAATAACCTACTTCAACAAGCATCTCCCGTTAATGTTCGGAATTGTTTTTTAAAATGCGTAACCACTAATCGGGGAATTCAGCAAGGGAGATGGAGTCTCAATGAGTTCGTAGCAATTTTCGGATCATTTTTCTGATTTTTGTGTATTTAGTTATGAATTTTCTAAGAAAAAGTCATAAAATAATAATTTAGGGTAAAAGGTAAGGATGTGGCCATGTTGACTGACGCACACTTGTCAAGGGGTGAAAGGTGAGGGGCTGAGATCGCGCCATGTGTCCATTTGGCAATTATTTTGGCTTTTTTAGTGCAAAAATCTTTGAAAAAATGCAATAAATAGTAGAAAAATCCTAAAAATGCCCCGACAAATACTCCGGCCTCCTTATGACGTTATAAAACTATGGAACCCATAAATCATCCATTTCGCAATTAAAAATTCAAAAATTGTTTACATAACTCACTTTCCTCTTAACCCTAAGTATATATGTTTGTCACTTTAACAAGTATATTTCCTTAATATTCGTTATATAATTTGTACTAATACAAGAATTAGTTTCCTTTCATATATAAGGATGTAAAATTATCTGTTTTGGTTATAATAATGTACATATATAATAAATGCACCACTACTTCGAAGCCATCATTGGAACTGCGCATGCGCCTAGAGCTTTGAAGACGTCAGAGATAGTCAATAAGTTGTCCATATGCACCTGCACCTAGAGTTTTCAACACGTCGGCGGTATTCAATAAGTTGTCCTTATGACGCCGCATTGGGAATCAGTAATATATTTTCTATCATGTCCAATCGCATAAACATATAATATAAAGAAATAAAGCAATAGTAGGAGATGAACCAGTACAAAAAACAATATATAACTGGTACAAAATAATGCCATAACCTTGTCACAAAACCACTCACACATTCTTTTCCATAAACCTTACCCTAACATATAATACATAAAGGCAACATTGCATATGATGCAACCATGTCCAAATCTGATACGTGATCACAAAAAAATGGACATGGCAGCAACATATGACTAAAGTAGATGGGCACTTTGCATCGTGTTATCGTAATTAAAGACATCAAAATATTAAGGTTGAAATCTTCTATAGTAGTAAGCATCAAAATAGGTTTGAAGCAGAGTTTAACGAAAATTCCAGTTCCTCTAATTTGCCTCTACTCAAACACGATAACCAAAATGGTTACTTCCCTTGCTGAGTATATTTGTTAACGTCGGAAACGGTAATAGATGACCAATCAAACCCGGGTACGACGAGTTTTGCATAGGACCGGAAGTAGTCGAATCCAGCTTGCATCACACGCTTCTTTGACTCCATTGCATTAGATGAGTTCTTGTATTTTTGAACAGCTACACTCCGAAGTCGTTTGTGTCTACGCTTCATGCGCTGAAACTTCGCCCTATCCAGATTGGCCTGCCTTTTGTCATCTTCAATTTGGCCTTCAACAAATTCCAAACGTGCCCTTGCCCTTTGGATTTCATCACCAAGTTGAAGATGCCTCTCCTTCCAGAAAGCAAGAACTCTTTCAGACTCAAAACTGCCAACAAAATGGTCATTCTGTCTAGGAAAGTGACATTGCTTGTCTGGTGACTCACTTGCGTTTCGAAGGCGGTCTTTGTTTGGAGGGGTGTTTATTATGCTCACATCAAACTTGGTTAGTAAATCCATTCAATGGGGGGAGAGAGTTTCTGTGGAGGAGAGAGTTTCAGTAGATGGAGACAGATTCGGTGGAGGAGTGAGTTTTTTGTGGAGGGAGAATTTTTATGAAGGGGGTGATTGTAATACCAATAAAAAAGGGTTCCCGCCAAAGAAAACATTTGGTTGACAATGTATAAATGAAAAAAGGTCTCATACAATCAAAGTTTAATCCTAACTAGTTTGTTTAGTTTGGTTGGGTTCACTAACTAGATGTCACTTCCATTGAGTTTCTTTCAACCACTAACAATGGTGTAAGGAGAGTGTGAGGTTGACATGCTTGAAAAGCAAAACCTGACACCTCTTTTTTTAAAATTGAAATAAAGTAGATATGTTGACTACACGCAAGCTTTGGTATGTTGGTCTATAAAGCTATGTTCCATTTCTCAAACAAAATTGCATCTGCAATCCTCATCCTCTAAAACAAATAGGATTATTCAAGCATGTCAACCTCTTCAGGCGCCAACAACACAATGAAGATGAAAAATTGGAGTCGCAGGTTCCGTTTCCACGTTGTACTCGCCGACCCCTTCCATTTTCAACATCATTTGGGAGTGAGGGGGACTCCGATGATCCATTAGAGGCAATAGATGCAATCAGTACCAAGCTGGATTATAATTCCAGACTGATCAATTCATGGCACGAGAAATGTGTTGAAGACGAGGCCATTTTGGCTGATCTTAACATTAGAGTGAACAAAGCGTTCTCCCAAAAGAACAAGTACTTGAAGCTGAGTCATAAAAGGAAGCTGAAAGCTGAGGAGTTGGATGCAGTAATGAATGATGAAATTAAAGGTTGTTTGATGAACCATATGCGATGCGAAGAGCACCACAGTGAACTGGAGTTGGCATTCAACGAAGGATTCGAAAAATTCCGAGCATTCGCGGCAACTACTCATACAAGTTATAATTGGGACTATGTGTCCCCTGATGCTGTGAGAAAGATACTAGACGATGGTGGTGACATGAATGAGCATAAGCACATCAAAGCTGCTCGGAAGAAGCCGACCGATACGACTAAGTGATTGCGGCTACAGCTGTTCTGTTGGTTGGGGGGTGATCGTGGTATTGCACAAATTAGAACTATATTCCCTTAATGTCATTATCTAATATAAAATAATACAAATATCAGTTTCATTTTCTTCATATATAATTATTGGGACTATGTCTTGCAAGTCATCATGTGTTCCTTCTGTCTAACATTATATTTTGCAAATATGGAAATATTATTCAATAAGCAGTCAATATCACAGCACGTTGGGAATCAGTAAAGCCCCATTATCATGACACGTGAGTCATAAGTAAAATACCATGTGCTATACATTGTGTAGTGAATGGTTTATGGTTTATGTATATATAATAAAATTCCAAATATTGCTGAATATTTATTTTGTCTATATCACTGGGGACATGAGTGACCATAAGCACGTGAGACCTGCTAAGAAGAAGCTGACCAATACGACCTAGTGATTGTGGCTACCGTTGTTCAGTTGATTGGGGAGATCGTGGTATTGCTAAGAGGGAGCACATAAAATGCTTTGCAATCAAATTTTCTTTTGTGTGTGGAATTATGAGTAGTTCAAATGTTAGTGTACCCTTTAATATTACCCAACCATTCAAAATGTGATTAGCTGCAATGTACTTTTTTACACGTTGCTTTCTAATCTTTCTGTTCCAACAAAGTGCTTCAAGTATCCTTCAGTTACGAATGTTTGCAAAATCGTGCACCTAATAACCAGTCCAGCTCAGATCTTAATCACCACTAAAACACTAGAACATAACATTCGCAAAAAGTGGGTGCTGCTACAAATGATGCGTGCTGCTGGAAATCATTACTGGTAATGGAAACAACAGCTGGCTGCTGGAAATGCTGCATTAGCCTGTCATATAATCAATGAATCTCTGTTAAAACATAATTCACCATAAACTACCCATTTTACAAGGTAAAAGTCATTGCTTCTTCACATAAATCAAAATTTGATGCTTTATCTAATGTCTATGAAAATTTCTAAATAGGGAGAAGACGTAAAATTAACATGTGTCCAAATTTCATGCAAGAATGAAACCAAGCAAATTTTCATTTCAATTATCAATGGACATAGTAAGAGCTCATCGGTGGACATGAACAAAAAAAATAATAATAATAAAACTGCATCTAGAAAACTTCACCTGATCATTAGTCTTCATAATAACCGGGCTTCGTATAATAGAAACCTAAATCATTGAGTTGGTCCGTGCATCCTGTAAAATTCGTCGAATAATGGGTCACTAAGATCTATTGGAGTTGATTCGTCATTGTTCGATGGTGATGTCCTGCATAAACATCAAACAGAAGCACATAAGAACTTTACCTATTCAAATTTTAGGTCTTATTATAAATAGTGTTAACATCTTACGGTGTGTTCAAATTTCTTGGGCATTGTCTTCTATCATGACCAATGTGTCCACACTCCCGACAGTGTCTAATCCCTCGCTTCATTGCCTTTTCCTTTGCTCCTGTTACTCGTTTCGACCCTCCATTGCACCTTACTCTCTTAGGGTCTTTCATATATTGTGTTTGAGAGCTGGACCCTCCAACTTCGTTATTACTTGGTCCATCCTTCAACAACTTCAACTTCACCTGCAAACTTTTTAGAGTCTCTGACAGTAGCTCACATCCTTCTTCACACATTAATGCATCCTCAACCACATCTGAAGCAAGTCGGGACATTGTACTCCGCTTTATTAAAAGACCAGGATCTGCAGAATCTTTAATTTCGTTGCCATTTGCATCTGACACCAATCCAAATTTCGCAGTTTTCTTCCACCTCTTCAAAATGTATTTATCGGGCATATATTCAATCTGGTCCCTTCTGAACAATGCTAGGATGTGCTTGCAAATAATTCCAACAAATTCAAATCTTTTGCAGCTACACGATGCGTGGTCAGAATCTTTGACATATACGACTTCTGCCACTCTTGTTTCCCAATTTTTCCTTTCGCTCACATTAAAGACAACTTTAGAAGCATCCTCTGTTTTCAGCTCTAGGAAACATGCTGTACTTTGTATTAGTTCTTGCTCAAACTTTTGAAACATTGTCCTTGTGTACAAGGTAGCCATTTGTTTGTTCATTGGCATCGGTAGAATACATTGAGCCACTTCAAATGCATCTACGTGATCAGCAACTAACTCTTTTTGACGTTGATGAGAAAGTGCCCTCTCAAATCTTATTATGAAATCCATCAAAAAATTTCTCCATGATATGTATAGCTTGAAGAAACCATGAGAACATTCCGCTCTTTGGCTGCTTGACATTCCAGCGGCAAAAAAGTGTCGTGCGTAGGCTGGAACCCAAGATTCCCTTAAATCAAACATTGAACTTAGCCATGGATGGTCAGTCAAACCAGCCTTTGTAACCACAATATTCCATTTTGCATCAAACTCATCCTTATTGTCAGTATCCCATATGGCTTTCTGGAATTCACCCCAATACTCCTTATAAGCAGAATGTGGTAACTTAACAGAGAACTTTGATGTGATGTGCCATATGCAAAGTCGATGAAATGTAGTCGGGAAGGCTATTGAAATCGCTCTGCTCATTGCCGCATCTTGATCTGTGATGATCGTTTTAGGTTCGCCACCTGGCATGGCTTTCTTAAACTCCTCAAACATCCAAATAAACGACTCAGTCGTTTCCTTGCTCAAAAATGCGCATGCTAGGACAATTGTTTGACCATGGTTATTAACTCCCAACATTGGTGCAAATGTCAAGTCGTATCTATTCGTGTTGAATGTGGTATCAAATACAACAACATCTCCATAAAACCCGTACGCCCGTCTAGAAGTTGCATCTGCCCAAAAACATCGACTAAACCTGTTATCGCCATCTCCCTCAATCTTGAAATAAAAAGCCTCATTTTTTTTCTGTTCAGCCATAAAATACTCGGTCACTAGTTCAACATCGTGGTTCCTCAGCTTCCCATTCACACTACATTCAAGATTGTACATATCCTTTTTGATAAAACCGATTTTATCCATTCCTCCGGATTGCACCTCGAAAATACTTACCTTCTGATTAATGGGAATATTAACCGAACCCAACTGTTTTGTAAGTACTTTTGTAGAATCTGAAATACGACGGTGTGATCTCAGTAAATGCATTCTTCCTGAGGGTGTCATCTTATGATTGTGTCCCTCTGCAAAAAGAGAGATGGTATACTTCTTGCTCCCATGTGTCTTCACAACCACAATCTTAGCTTTTCAATTGCATCTACTTATTCCCCGCTGTCTTTTTCTCTCCCGAGTTTCATCATTCCGGTATGCACCTTGTTTGCAACATACAAATTCTTTTCTCATAATCTCTTTCTTATTTTTCCCCCAAAAGCTGGAATGAAGTCGAATACCAAAGCCAGCCAAGAATGCATATCTATTATAGAAATTATAAACGAGGTCAAGCGAGTCGAACTTCATCCCAACTGCTGGTGTTTCCTCATTTCTTACTTCAGGAATGTAAACCCTCCCATTAGCTGTTACAGAGTCATCACTCTTTGAGCCCCCAGACATTTTATCCACGTATATTATTGATCTACTTCTATATTACTGCATAGCAAATGTTAATTCATTAATCAATCATTACTGCATCACAACTTATCAATGCATTCCACTTACACAAAACATTGCCCAAATTGACACAATACACGCATAGCCTAGCTTGTTGGATTCTGATTACACAAAACACAAGCAAAATTTAATAATAGTTACGTCATCTCTTGTGAAATAATCTGGAAAAAATAACATTAGAACCAACATGTTCAACTAAGAACTCAAATGTAATTCAAACCAGCAATTACAGAACTTCACCCAATATCCTCTCCAAATGCTTACTTCTAATGCCATTAAGCCTAAGTTTAGGATCTTTTACCTACATTTCATAATTTTCCAACCCCCCTCCAAACAAAAATAATCAACTAAGTATATTGAATATTCATAAGGAAATGACGCATTATTGATAGCGGAGCAAATGACGCATTATTGATAGCAGAGCAAATGACGCATTATTGATAGCAGAGCAAATGACGCATTATTGATAGCGGAGCAAATGACGCATTATTGATAGCGGAGCAAATGACGCATTATTGATAGCACAAATGACGCATTATTGATGCCACAAATGACAAATTTCTCACCCTCACAAAAAACAAATCAAACCCAGCAAAATCAATCCAGCAAGAGTGAACTTACCTCTCAAAGTCAAATGACGCATTATTGATGCCACAAATGACAAATTTCTCACCCTCACAAAAAACAAATCAAACCCAACAAAATCAATCCAACAAGAGTGAACTTACCTCTCAAAGTCAATCGGGAGCTCCGAAGTCAGTCAACTTCAAAGAATGTGGTGGACATTAGAGAGGATTCTTTCGTAGTGGAGACTCCATCTCTACCAAAATCTAGGAACAACTGCAGCAGCACGAAAAAGAGATATGCTACTTTGCTTTCATCTGGAATCTCTTCTGCTGAACAAAAAAGAGAAGGGGTTTTCACTTCAATCATAGAATCAAAACAGGGCAATAGCTAGGTAAAAGCCATTAATCGTCATACCGAGGATACCATAGATCGCAGGCCTCCCAAGGAGCTGATGACAATGGAGCGATTATAGAGTTTGGGAGCTTTGGATCTTTCTAATTGTGGATTTGCATTACATTAAAAAAGAGAGGATTGTGTTCTTGAGTTTTTCACAGAGAGGGAAAAATCTTCAGCTGAAGTTGGGTTTCCAAACGGGTCATATTTCAACCCGGTTCTACATGCACCCTCTTTTAAAAAATCACCGTTGGATGAAATCCAACGGCTCTTACATACCCCTCAAAAAAACCCCTTATAACTTTTCACTCACTATAGAAGCACTCCAAAATTACGGAGTTCTCTCTTGTGAGGCGTTGCCCAAGACACCTCTAATTCCAACGTCCAACCCAAATATCCAAAGACTAAGGTAATCTGAAATTACTTAAAAATCTTTGCCTCATGTGCTAGAAGCAGTTGAAAACATGTCAAAGTAGTCAAAGTAGTCAAAGTAATATTTCTATAATCCTTTTTGACTAGTGAGACTTTGCTAGTAGATTAGCGAGAACATGTGCTCTGCAAGTAATTGGAACCTTTGAAGAAACAGATACTTAGACAATGACATGAGTAGAATTATGGTCTTAAGTAGATTGATATTTTGGTTTTCAGTTGGATGGTGTAGTTTTAGTTGTGATTATGGAAAAGGGTTTTGGTCAGTTTAATATTGTAGCTTTGAATTTATAAGGAGAGGAATGTCTTTACTTGCACAGATTATATGCCTTGCAAACTTGTAGACTTAACCCTCTACATATATGATATATTCGGTGACTGTCGGTCCGCCACATGGCTGGATTTGGGATATGATCATACATACATGTATATCATCAAACCCTTCTGCCTAATTATATATTTATATACACAAGGGCATAAAGTTAAGACATAACACAGCAGATGTGATTACAACAAGAAAACATATAATACTTAATTAGTGATTAATGAAACAAACTAAAGGCTAAAGGCAGAGATCTTGTGTCCTGAACTTTGAATAGAAAAACCCTGAAAAGGAGAAATGCATAGCAAACTCTGGCTCCAGTGCAGGGTTTTCTTTGAGATGCCACAAAGCTAGACAGCTTGAATGCACTGCTTGCTTGTAGCTGTGAAGGGCTGTGGGGGGACTTTCTTAGCAATCTCCCAGCCGATGCTTATCCGAAAAGTTAACCTTAAAAAAATTAAGTAATGAAAAGCACTGCACATTCAAAAGCCTGCTTTTGATTTTTCTGCTTCCATCTTTGATCTTTCTGAACCCTTCCCTTTGATTTCCTCTAAGAGAACTCTTAGCTAGGTACAAAGTATGCGGTGCGACTTTATCAAGCTACCAAATATTTTTAAAATGGTAACCAATTATGCCATTCCAAGAATTTGATTAAGTACAAGTCTAAACTCTCAGTGAAATACTTGGTCTTATTTCTCAATTTTTATGTTTGATTTGGAAGCAAAATAAGTGAATGGTTCTCTAAATCTTACTAATTCTGATGGTGCAATGGACCTTACAGTACCATAAGATAATCTGAGAGATCAGATTTTGTGTTGGTTTCCTTGGGGCTATGCATGTTCTGATTTCCTTTTTCACTTCAGTAACAGTACTTCTCTGGTTTTAAATTCCATGCATCAGCTTTCTGAGAGATACGTTTTAAATTACAAGTGCCTCCAAATCCAATCTAAGTTTTCCCTAGGCATTATTTTAAAGGGTTAGAGGGCATCTTTTGGGGCCAAAGAAAAATGGTAAGAAGAAAAAGAAAAAGTTGGGTACTGTACCACCAAGGAGAACTGTTTGGGTCAATTCAAAAGCAGAGGACAATAACACTTATGCTTTCTCTTAGTTTTACAACCATCATATCCTTTCCTACTATGTCATATCATTGAATCCTGACCCTCCATATCATCTTAAATCAGCAGCCAACTTAGCTGGGCTCTCCTGCCCCATGTTAAGGCCTAGCTAGCTGCTTGTTTTCTTCCACTATAAATAGACACAGATATTTCATGCCATTGCAACTAGTAACAAAAACCCTCATAGCCTAGCCAACCTTAAACCTTGCTTGTCAAAACTAGAGAAACCAATTAAGCACAAGATGGGAAAGTCCTCTTCAATCTTCTCCTTCTGCAACATATTCAAGGCCTGCTTTTCTAGTAGCAGCAGAGACGATACCTACTCTGACGACGGTGGTGTTTATGTTAGAAGAAGAATATGTCCAAGCGATGAAGACAGAGGAGGTTGGACTGCTGAGCCTGGCATCGACGGCAAAGCCTCTGACTTCATTACCAGATTCTATGCTAGTCATGTTTCCGATCCCGAGTGCCAAACCTTTGCTGTTTGATCAAATTAAGCTAGAGATGTAGTGGTTGATCAGACCAGCTGATTGTACTTCAATTTTTTGCCATGCTTCCTCCATCCCCTCCTTCTTCTCTTGTAATTTTTTTCTTGGAAGTGTGCATGTAATCTGTGACTTAGTTACAATAAAATCCAGATAATAAAAATTTACAACCTAGTTTCCTCCTTCAAACTTTTTTTCTTGCTTGGTTGCTTATACTTCCGTTAAATTAATCTTTATATCAAACAGTTGAAGTATTAGCAACTTGTCATCAATTACAATTCAAAGTTATTAAACCAACACATTTTACTAGAGAAATACATGCAACAGGTGCCAACACATTTTACTATATGTTGAATATATTGAAGAAAATTGACATGTACGGGGACAGTCAGGTATTTCTGCAGCAAAGCAATTAACTGCTATTTTGTTCTCTCTCTCTTTTATTTTTCTTGTTTTAGTTAAAATTGCTTTGTTTATTCTTTCATCTTGAGCAGCACACGATCGAAAAAACTGAGAATATTGCCTCTTTTGCTGCATCTTCACCATCAAATCAATACATATTAGAGTGCAGTTTCACCTGGATTATATATAACTTTGCTCCTTTGCCTTTTTGGTTGGCTCCCTCTGTATATCTCCCTTTCTCCTCCTTTTTTACTATTCTTAAAGCCACATATCTAAAAACTTAAACTGAAAAAAATGGGTAGAAGTTTCCTTAATATCCAAATATCAGGCAGTTTTTCAGCTGCTAAATTAATGTCAATTTGGCAAAATCAGTTTGGTCCCCAGCTGTGAAAATCAAAATCAAAATCCACATTAAAAGCTAGCATCATAATGAATTAAAGTTGCCAACTTTTCTTTTCCCATAAGAGAACTAAAGGGAAAAAAGAATTTTTGTCCACTTCCAAGTGAGCAATGATATGTACCACATAGTGTACCTGCAGGGAATATAGATAATTTTGGCATCCCTTGTAACAACAAAGCACTGTTTGGTATCTTCCATGAGAAGATAGCTAAATTCAGTGCCGTGCGTTTTACGTTTAAAGTCTTTAATCACAGAAATTAAGTTATTAACCATGAGATTAAGTGAGATGTGCTGCCAATTTCCAATTGAAGAAAGAATGAACAGAGCTCTGGTTTTGGGTATAAGAGACTAAAATGGCAACAGGAACCTAATGCTTGTGGTTTCCAACTCATGGCTTAGTCCAAGAAAAAACCAAACACCTTGAAAAAGTGTCTAAGACAATATAAAAGTGTTTTGTTTTGCTATTTTTACTTGCTCTTTAAGGATTCTAACTCCTCTTCTGAATTCTCTCTCTTTCCATTGAGGTGAAAGAAGCTACAATCAGTGTGATAAGCTAGGCAATGGCATGCCAGGCTAAAAGTAACACTCACTGGGTTCTGTTTCTTTTTCGCAGCTACATGATAGGAGAATCATCTAAATGCATTTGGACCGTCTAAAGATCCCTTTATGAAGACCCTTTCGTGGTTCTAACATGTGCATCTTTAAAGCGGTATATTGTCTTCAAAGCTTTTCTACTCCACTATATGTGATTAGTTAACTTGAATGTATTTTCTTATTATATATAAGATGAATGCATGAAAACATAATAACCCATAAGTAACTACAGTTTTAATGAGATTTATCGATGTAAGTAATCTTGTATGAAGTTCTTGTGTGTTATGTTTTAACTGGACAATGTTTGTCACTCATCCTACCACACAGCAGGGAAGTTTCCATTCAAGTATTTATATAGTGAGGAAGAGATGTAAATCACAAATTATAGGCATTATACTTGTGATTGATATCAAACTAGGTTAAGATCTATGGGAAAAATTTAGAACATGGTTTTACAGGAACAGGATTCCAGCACTATTTTATTTAGAAAAACAAAGTTATTGATATAAAAATACCTAGAACTTTCGAGGGCCTATGCATGGCCCAACCTGAATCCCCAAACCTTTTGGTTAGGTTATCCAAATCAAAATCTATATACCCACAAACACCCAAGTGGTTGATTCCCCAAGAATGCAACAAATGCAGAGTGCATGGCAGTGGGCCAAGAGGTCACAGAACCCATATAGCCTGCAGAGAAATTACCATTTAGCATACACACAAAAAGACCATACGATTAATATGACTTCTTATCCACTCTGCTGATGCTTTGCATAAAGAACAAAAAGTTACCCTTTTCTCTATGAAAGATGTCCCAGTTATTTATTTATTTATTTGGGTCAAATTGTGACCACCTGCATGAAACATTGAAACGCTATAGCTATGCTTATATTAAATCATGGTTCACAATGATGCTCAAGTTTGGTGATATATTTAATTCTATTGGGGTTCTAAATCCCAGACAAATCAGTCTACACTCTACAATTAACCTGTGATTGAGGGCAGATCAAAACTCAGAGCCATCAGTTTGGGCAGTGCTCTGCGATTTTTTCCCATTACTTTAGTGTTCAATTCATATTCAGTCTAACACTCTACAGTTCTGGTTGGACTTGCCAAAGATTCTTTCCTCATTTTAAATGGATCGCGCAGTAAAAAGAGGCTTCAAACTTCAAAGTTTGAACACTTGAAGAGAATCAAGTCCACGGCCTTTACTGGTCTTGTATGTTATGATTGTTTTTAGGAAAAGAAAAAATTGTTGGCTTTTGAGATATATTTTTTTTAAATACAAGTGATATTGAGGGAGAGGAAATCGAACCTACACTCTTAACTACTTGAGTTACAAGCCCTTTGTGGTTTTAGATTTTTGGTAAAACTCCAACATGCAAGTTTATTTTAGCAATTAATTGAGCCATGTGGAAGATCCCCAAGGTTTATGTTCTAAATTAAACCCACAACACTGCCTTGTAAGCCATATTAGAGCATCTCCAATGGTAGTAGTTAGCCAAAACTCTTTAAATTGAAGTTTGTTGACCTACATGGCAATTTGAAAAGCTTTGCTTGCTACAGGACTCGTTAATGGGCCGGGTCGGATCAACCCGACTCAAAATTGTTGGGCTTGGGTCGGCTAGCCTTTCACCAAAAAAATAAAAGTCCAGGGCCGCCCCCATGGGTTAGGCTTTCAATTACATAACATTTCAATTTTGACTTGTCAAATTTTCATCACATTCACTTTTAACATCTTCACTAGCTGTCATCCAAACTGGTATTGATGCTCTATTGTTCATTAATTCTTCGGACCATTGCTCATCTTGTATTGCATCTTGCATCTTTAAATTTGCTAAGGCCCAGTCTTTCAAGCAAATTAATGATTCTATTGTATTTGGACTCAAATTGGCACTCTTCTCTTATACAACTCTACCACCTGCACTAAAACATGATTTCGATACTACAATGGAAGTTGGAATAGTTAGCAAATCATGAGCCATAAGGGAAACAATAGGATATAGTGATTGATTGCTTTTCCACCAACATAAAACACTAAACTGATTATCATCATCAACCTCTATTGTTGGTATATCAATAAAATTGTAACTCATAAGTAGCAGTGAAAGAAGAAAAAGAAGAAGATAGCTTTGCCCTTTTCAAGCCTTGCATAGAGAAATTTCTCATAATAGGGACAACTATAGAACCAAGAGCTTGGCTCAAGGTACCTGAAGTTACAATTGAAGTTTGCACATTTTGACCCACGTCAAACATTACACTCTTCTTATAGATGTCAAATAATTGAAATCATAAAGTTTTGAATTGATCAATGCCATCATCTTTAACTATTAACCAATTGCAAATAATTTAAACCCAAGGTCCATAATAGTAGCAAAGCAAAAAACAATAGGAAACTGAGCCCATTACTTATCAAATTTCACTTTCATTTCAATCAAAGTACCCTTAAAAACAGTAAATTTAGAATATGCAACAAACAGGGGCAGAGTTAGAATCGCAAAGTTGGGGGGACTGAAGTAGAAAATACAAGCATATAAAGTACCTAAGTATTTACTAGTTACATGTTTAGAGCTAAATATTTATAATTTAGTCATATCTAATTTGTTTTAGAGGATTTTAACTTAGAGTATAAGTTGTTTATTACAAATTCTATATGTTATATATAATATAATAGAGGAGATATCAAATTTGGGGCACTGGTTGAAGAATAAAAATTTGTAAAAACCCATAACAAGTTGAGCTACATCCAATTTTCTTCATTAGGTACTTGTAAATTACTAGAACGTGATTCATTTACCTTTTGAACATACCTATACGAAGGAGCTTATATTCTATAGCAATAAGCAAAAGCTCATAGGCAGCCTATGAGGCACATTATTGTCTATATTTTTCTTTCTCATGTTGAAATCACTACAACATTTCACCTAAATTTCATGTCTCTTGTTAGATCAATTCATACTATGTACAATATCAATAATTTTATCAATAAAGGAAGATAAAACTTTAAGACCATCTTGCACAATCAAGCTCAATATATGACAACAATCACGTACATTGGAGGCTGATTGTTGGGGTCAAGGGCCAATGCCCCCATAAAATTCTAAAGTTTTCCCTTTAATCTCTCTCAATTTTTTAAAATTAAGATAGAGAAGAAAAATACAAGATGCACTTATCAGTATTGCCAAATAGAGGTAATAGAGGTGAAGAAACAACATTGGAGGCTGACATCTATACCACATTCTCTAAAAACATCTCTCTCAATTGTTGGTTGAAGACTTTCTTGTTTAGATTTTGAATTTTTATGGTTATAACTTAGAACATAAAATAAGCTATTAATCACAAACAGTTATCCAATTTAATCAATGCTCAGTTACTCTAAGTCTTTGGAAGATTAAATAAAATCCTTCTAGTTGTTAGGTTTTGCACATGCTCTTGTTTTAAATTTGTTCTCTATCTAGTTATCACAAGGAATCATAAACTATATGTTTTATATCCAAAAGCAACATCTGATAAGACTAATTTAATCACAAACAGTTATCCAATTTAATCAATGCTCAGTTGCTCTAAGTCTTTGGAAGATTAAATAAAATCCTTTTAGTTGTTAGTCAAGCATGAGCATTATTTTTTTATTTTTTCATACAAATAATATTGAAAAGAAAAATTCGAACACAAGATCTCAATCATAGAAGTAACTGTTTCTTAACCATCTGAATTACAAACTCCTTACATTATTATGAAAATCCAACTCAACCGAACCCAAGTGGGAAGTGAGAGGGATGGGCATTGATTGAAGCAAATTACAAATATGAAAGTATTTGGGGGCCACTTTTCCATTGCTTTGAGAGACACACACACATGATTGTGTGGAGCAGCTGAGAGCCTCAGAGTTGTGATGGCCTAAAAGTTGAAGCAACGAGCCAAACCAAACCCGAATTGTACTATCTTGCACGAACTTGGGTCGGGTGGGTTGGTTGGCCTGTCCGCATAATCAAAATCTCCTTTTCTTTCTTATTTTCTTCTTGCACTTGTGCAAAATCCAATTTCAATTTTAGTTGCAAACTTAGAGCTCACAAGCCTTTTGCAATGCAACTTCTTCCCCACCACCACTCATTATCATCATAATCTTTGTGACAATTATTACGTGGGTCGTCTTGTGCTTCCTACGAGTCTTTTCAAAGAAAAATCCAAGAGAAAAAAAAGGACGAGCATATTTAAAGAAGAAGAAAAAAAGGCCCCAAGAAGTGGAAAAGACATGCACACAGATCGGCAAAAACCAACACCATCCATTGAAAAGTTTTCAGAAAAAAATCCAAAAACAAAAACCGACCATCAATTTAGTGCACAAACATGCAGCCTGCTCTGTCTACATGTGAAAACTGCCCACCAATCATCCTTCTCAGTTATTGTTTAATCAAAAGATCCACTCATAAACCATGATTAAAAAAATATTTTACCAGAGGGTAAACTGCCATTGTGAGCATGTGAGATGCAAAAAATCAAAGGGGGGATGCACTTTCACAGTGCATGAAAATTTTACATGAGAACAAGTGATCAGCTCAGAGACATAACAGAGCATTTTAAAGTTTCTAAAACAAATATTAATCTATTGGATTGTTGAGAGTCCAAGGAATTGCTAAACCTTGACTTAATTTAAAACCCTTTTTCTTTTTCTTAAAGTTTTAGCAACATGACCCTCTTGGGTTGCTAGAAAAACACATTATGCAAAGATGATCATGTGCCCGCTAATAGGGCAAATATTGCTGCCTTGAGACCACAATTTATCAATTTGATAATGGTAGAGTAATATTGTGACATTAAATCATGTTGCCTATGGAATGTGTGAATGCTTTGGTCAACCCATGATTAAAATCAACGCACCACTAATCCGGTTTTATTAGATATTAATCAAAGTACGGTTTGATGCCGGATGGATCCATTAATCTAAGTAACTGAATTTATGCATAGATTAATGGGTTTAATTAGTTATAAGCACACAACATGGTTGGGTTGGGTATATGTCATGAGAGCATAATATACAGAGACTGCAAATAGATTTGGCCGTCTTGGTCAGTCTTTCTGCCTACCAAGGCATGTGGGGGTCATATAAATGGGACATCATCATAATAATAATAATGGATAATTAGGCCTGTTCCATAATCATGTTTAAAATATCTCACATTACTAAGCCAAGAATTTGCAGCATTTGGTTAGGGGGTTCTGGGGGCTCACTCAACTCACAAATGTTAGCAGAAACACTTGGGTGTGAATTTCTCTGCCCTAGACTAAGATGAGTGACAAAAAATGTACAGTCAAAACATAACATATATAATAGAATCTCAATCATATATACAAATTTGTAACACGTGTTATATTTTGCGGGAAATCTTGTTTTAAGTGACTAAAGTTAATTAAGTGATGATAAAACTCACGTGGTAACTTGGGGTCCAATTAAACTATAACATGTATTACAAATTTGAAATCTTGAATAAAAACTTGCAATATACATGCTACGTTTTAACATGACATTAATTGTCACTCATCCTATCATGCGGCGAGGATGTCCTCACCCAAGTTTTTCTCAATCGACAAGCCAAGAAAGAAGCAAAGTAATTGGCAAATTGCATTACTTCTAAGGGGGGCATATAAGCATGAAATGCAATCATCATCATCAAACAAAAAGACTGTAATGCAATGCAATGTAATAGTAAAGTTGAGCAAAGTCAATTAGGTGATGTGGTCTAAAAGCCTCGGTGAAAAGGCAATTTGGTTAGCTTATTATGTGACAAAGAAAGAAGAGAGAGGCAGTAAGATGGGCAAATCCCATAATATACGTCACATTCAGAAAAGTAAAGGGGTTCACGTGTTAAGGGTCTAAAGGGTAGGAAAGGGAAGGGCCTGTTTGGGAGCGTGCGCCATGTGCTTTGGTGCAGTCGGCGACCTTGGTGAGATGAGATAAGAAAAATAAAAGTTTTATAAAGAAAAAAGAAAAAGAGTGATGTTCCTCTAATCTCAAAAAGCCCATCTCACGGATCTTGCCCCTCTCTTTCTCTCCACCTCCTATCTATATAATATAACTATATAAATTGTTCACACCAGCTCTCTATCTCCGCATAAAAGGCGTTGAGAGATTCAAGTCATCTGGGTCCAAAATATTCTAAACTCTGCTACTGCTCTGCAACATTATCAGCTTCTACATTGATTGGAACACCAATTTTGAAAAGCACACATGGCTTCTTGGAAAAAAACCATCACATCTCCATTCAGGAAAGCTTGCACTTTCTTCAACCAGCAGCCAGGCAGAGATCAGAAGAAATCCCAGCTGCAAGGTACATACATATTTATATTACCACTTTTCTGTATATGAGAAATGTTATCTTGTCAGATTTACATTGGCAATGTAATAAGACGTTTATGTTGTCAGATTATGAATCTGGACCAATGATATGACTAATTTTTATTAGAATACGTGGTCCAAATTTACAGTATGACAAGCAAGTCTATCGGATAATGATGTATTGATGCCAATTGTATATGAGTATAATATGGAACACAATGAGTGATGTGTTCTTCCATGATGTTATCAACAGGGAATGAAAGTAGTGTGATGGCTCTGCATGGTGAAGTGATGGCATGCTCATATGAAGATGTTCAGGTGATGTGGTCTATTCTGGACAAGTCCAAGCCCTCAGCCTGCAACATCACTGCTTCTTAACACAGATGGATGGCTATGGCTAAAAAATAGGCCAATATCCATCCCCAAAAAACAAAACAAAAAAACCGGAAAAGAAAAAAAGAAAAGAAAAGAAAGAACGACCCAATTCAGCAATTAGCATATCTGTGTATACCATTTGGGTCATGCTAGCTTCATCATTTTGGTTCTCATGAATTACTTGTAGATAGAGGTGTTAGATGATCAACTGTGTTCTGTTCTATTACCAAAAACAAAAAAAAAAAAAAAAAAAAAAAAAAAAAAAAGATGGGGGGATTTGTGAGGCTTAATTGTAAAATTGCCCCCATTACAAGAAAGTTTTTTTAGTTTGTAATTGTTAAATGAATGAACTAGGCAATCCCTGTGATTAAAGATCACAGTGAGATTTATTAATGGAAATTTAGAAGAAAAAAAATTTAATCAGCTTCTTCTTCTTCTTCTTGTTTCTTCGTGGTTTACCATCTCATCTCTTCTTCCTGGTCCTCAAGTAAGACTTGCAGTGTCACAATTTTGCATGGTGATCTGACTTGTTTTACTGTATAGTCCTTTTTTATTTTATTTTATAGGAAATATAGTCCAGATTATTTGTTGGATAACTAATTCGAATAGAGTAACAGTCAGAAGTTTTTTTATGGGCAATTGACAGAACAAATCAAACAAAGTGAATGGGATTCTATGAACAAATCAAAAAGCTCCCAACTACTTTTTTCAGCTGTTTAATAAAAATCCAACACATTGCTTTTGTAATAAATATGATGTGCTTCTTGTGACTGCTCGACAACAAATTTAATAAGCCAAACCAAAAATTTCCCATCTACTCACAATGCCAAACATGAGAAAATGGGCAAGTTGTTTATTATTATTACCACACACAAAAATACTATTTAACGCTCGGTTTCATCTTCATTTGCAATCTATCTTTTGAGAAAAACATATTCCAGTTGTAATGGGTATAGCACTGTTTTGCTATCACACATGTCATAGCGTTATTAGTTATACTATTCCTATTTCATGGAAGTCTTTCTCCTATCTTTTTCCTTGTATGACAAAAATATCTGACAATTTTTACCGAAAACAAAAAGGAAATCTGACCATCACATGCACACTACCTTTGTGATTCAAATCCTCAACCTCAAATCCAACCCCCCAAAATTACAAGAAGTCTACCATGTTCTAACATTGGTTTTGATGCAGGCACAATTTTGAAGCTCGAGTTTTGGATAATTTGAAGACATTGAAGTTTCGGATAAGTAGAGTTGATGGAGATAGAAAAAAGAAGATGAGAGTCAAAAACTTTTTTTTTTCTTTTTATAACCCATTTGTCATGCAACTACACAAAAAACAATAACGTGAGCCTTGCATTTGTTATTAATCTTATAATCTGTCCAAAATAAATAATGGAGCTAGGAACAGTGAAGCAGGAATTTTGGAGGAAACCGGTGGAGCAAAGAAAATGTACCAGTTGGATCTATTAAACAAAGGTACATCCCAGTACAAGAAGGCCGCCTCAAAATTGTCCAGTCAGGCAGTTCCCCATATTTGATCACCTATTGGACCAATCAGACTCAAAGTCGGTGCCTCTACAAAGGGTCACACAAATTGACTATAAATTTGCATTGGTTGATTTGTGTGTACGGCCCTATAGGTTCCAATTCAGGAGTCAAAAGCAAGGAAATTTAGCTATGGGTAGGCTCCAAAGTCCATGCATTATTTGGGGTTTGGATCGTCACTACTTTCACACTGGTAAATAAATAATACCCACCAACCTTCGTCTTCTTTTTTTTAAAACCACCATCACCAAGACTTGATGGATATGAATGAATCTGTCTTCTTCTTCTTCATCTCCTTCCTTTTAAAGATCAAATTGTCCTGTTGTGGCAAGTGGACAAATGAAGATGATATCTCAAAGCTGGTAATGAATGATAGGAAAAGTAATTGCACCAAGAATTGACTTTAGAAGACAAGGGCACAAGCAAAACTGCATTTTTATGCATTTAAATTCACAATGCAAGTTATGGGAATTCCTGCAACCATTGTACACAATAGGCCTCTTACATCCAACTCTTCACGTGCCGATCACGGGACAAATGGATTTGAGAGATCCAGTGTATCCAATGGTTATAGGGAAGATTTTCTTCATATGTAGGGGGGCACCTTGCAGGCTTTGAGAAATGAACTTAGAGAACCAGAATTAGTGTCAAAATGACTGGCGAATTTTCATTATGCAGAGAATTCAGTCACCTCACGAGTCAACTAAAGTACCCTATTTCATTAGTCGTCGAATTTGGACTCCTAGTTAGTCACCTACAGGTGCCCTATACAAACTACAAGTAAAACCCCTCACAGTCGTGTTCATTCACCGAGTAAGCCTTTCTTCTTTTGCTTGAAGGGCATCCACTTCCTCACTAGATAGAAGATCAACAATGGGTTCGTATACGTCCCACTCCTTCCTTTTCCTGATACATTTAGGAGCAAAGTGGCAAACCACTATCAGTATCTCAGTTTTAACCTTTTTTCTAACAACTCTATCAACTAAAAGAAAAAAGTTAAACACACAGTACTGAATTTAATCTTCATCAGAGGGTTGAAATGAAATAAATGATGTTGAAGAGATGGAGGGGAAGTAAAAACCTTGATATTGAACACATATTATAGGGGGCACTATCATTGGGAAGTACTTGTAACATTGAGCTCAACCTTGAACTTTTTTTCTTCACTTACAAGGATGAGTTTGGAGAGGCATGTAGGAATTCAATATCTATATGTATTCTAACAGGTTTAAACCCATTCAAGCAAAGTATTGACTTTAGTTTCTTCAAGAGCTTTGAAGGGGGGTAAAATATGAGAATGAAAGTTTCATTTTTCCACTGTTTATGGAGACTTTAATATGTTAAATTTACAGAGTCGTTGATAGACGATTTAGTAAGTAGCTATATGCAGATGAACCAAAATTTAATTTTCGAAATAAGTAAGATACAGAACATAGGCCCATTGCCCTGTTGTCAAAGCATTTTTCTCCTTGAATTAGATAGAAACAAGAGTGAGTTGGTGATTATGAGTAAAGTTGTTGCTATTGGAACACTAACAGTGAATTTCAAATGTAAGGCGTGAAGATTCATTCACCTTTAAGTTCTTCTGGCAAACCAAACATGCTAAAAGAAGATAAGCTGTTGGGATCTGTAATGAGTGGAAGATGATTTTAACCCATAGAATTATATTAAGTATGCCAACATATCTTCTGTCTTAGGTCAAGGTTGTAGCATCTCATGTGCCACGGGAAATTGATTTTAAATATTCATGAAAGAAAAAGTGTTTCGAATAAATGGTAATTTCATAGTATAGCTATCCCAGGAAGATTTACTGAAAATATATGATCTTGGTTGTCGGAAGGCCATTAAAAGTTGTCTGTACCTTAATGAAGATCCCTAGGGAATTGTGTCCCTGAACACTACTGGAAAAACTAGAAAACCAAACCTATGGAGTGAAGAGGGGCCTAAATATCAGTGGCCACAAGACAAACATAAACTCCAAAGAACAGCAATGGTAGAATTTTTAGCATAAACAATGAAGCTTTCCAATTTAAGAAATTCCCAAAACCTAGCATAGTTAGAAGACATACCGAACAACACTAGATTTGTGACCGAATAACTTCACCAGGTCCAATCCAGTACTACCTGCTTTACTGAGAGAGAGAGATTACAGACAGAGAGTTAATGACATATGTGTAGGCTTTACAATGCATATACCCTCTTCCTATCCTAAAATAAATTGTGTTCAACAGCAAGGAGGGGTCAAAAAATAAATTTTATTCATTCTTCATTTTATTTTAAAAAAGTCAAACACACAAACCTGACTGGAGTATACTCAGCCCCTCGGCGTCCCTTTTTGCTTATTCTGTTTTCTCTTGCTGATGCTACACTTTGAACTGCAATCTAGAAGATGAAACACAAAAAAGACCACAGTAAGTGAATCCATATAAAAAAGTTCATTCACATGACTTGCATAATGTAACTCATATAAAGGTAGCATAATAAACGCATAATAGTTCGAAGAAGCAACAAAATCTAACCTCGTACAGTTGTTCCCTAATTGAAAAGGCAATTGCAGGCTGGAAAATGAGAATAGCTTCTTTTAGCAAACTGAAAAGACATCAATATTCCAACTTTGACACAAACCAAAAGCCTTTGCATTTGTTTAAAAAACTGATATGATGACTTACCCCCACTTCAGGATCTTGAATACCTAAATCTGCGCAGAATGTTTTAGCAAACTCTTCAGGATCACTTTCAAAGTTGTTCAAGTCCTGAAATCCCTCGAAACAGATGAACCCCAAGTGTAAGAGAAGGAGGTATTGAAAAGATAAGATGAAACAAACGACTGTTGAAGCTCACCCATAAAAACTGGTCCCTAATAAGAGTATGGTTCACTCGAAGATCAAGCTGAGAATAACACATCACAGTTTTGTTGATAAGCCAAAAGCATTGAAAGTTTGCCACTTGCCAGTACAGATAATCAAGTTATAATAAGATAAGGGGTAACCTTAATTGGCACAATCCTCTCGCCCGGGTACATATCTTGGCCTTCCAACGACCGAAAGTCTGCAATCTGTGACTGATCAGAGAACATGGTCATAAGCTATCAGTGTTTAGTTTTCAGTAGAAACTTTGGTGGGAAAATTTGACGTAGTTGAAGTGCCAACCTGAATGGCAGAAGCCATGACTGTAATGAAACCCGGAGGAAGCTTCAGGTCTTTTGCTGTCCTTCTCGCAAACACCACAATCTCGGAGTCAGGGTCTGCCATCAATCACCACACAACAAATCCCATAATTAACTTCTGCAAACTGGGCAAGAGTCAAATTTTAAAAAATATAATTTGAAAAAATGAAGAAAATCCAACTTCTACCAGATGGGTTCCAAGTGAAAGTGTCTTTGAACTTTTGGCCATCGACATCGAGGTCCAAGCGAATCGGTACTAAATTCTGGGCTGTTGGCCTGTCCATTGTAATTTGTATAAATAAGGTAAATTTGGCAATAATTCGTAGAAGAAAACCAAAACACTTGGGAGAAAACGGAAAAGAACAGAAGAAGAATAAGATGCAAGAAACTCACATCCTGAACTTGACAGCGCCTTTGTAGGAACTCGACGCCTGACCTTTCATGGCTTCTCCCTCCTTCAACCAATTTTAGATTTCTTCAGTTAATTCGGAGCGGCTGACATGCCCGACCCGATTCTTCTTCTTTTCTTCGGTCCGAGTCTCGGAGATTCTTCCTCTTTGAAAAAACCCTCCTATTGCTTTCTTCCTTGCATTTTTCAACGGGCTTGACGAGCTGCGGGTAAATTTAAACCCGACCTTCCAGGACCCGCTAACAGATTGGATTGGGCCGATCCTACCATCCAGTTAGTTGTGGATCAATAAGCATAACGAGCTGGTTAACAAACTAATGGACCTAAGAGCACTTCCATCCCTATGGGCAAGGACAAGGTAATCACGTGAATAGTGGCAGCCCTTGCAATTTTGTTTCCACCTTTACGGGCAAGAGTAAGGGCAATTACTATTCACTTTAATTTATTTTCTATTTTTTATTCTTAAACGATTAATTTTGATAAAAATTTTGGATAAGATTTTCGGTTGCCACGTGTCACTCTTTATTATAAAATTCTCATCTCAAATTTCAGATTAAATTTTCGAATAAGATTTTCAGTTGCCACATGTCCATATTTATTATAAAATTCACATCACAAATTTCATATAAAATTTTCGGATAAGATTTTCGATTGCCACGTGTCCATATTTATTTTTTCATTTTGTGTATTTAATAAGTTATTATATATATATATATATATATATATCTAACTATGATTTGCATAAAAAAAAAGCAAGGAGGAATAGCTCCTTCCCATTGTAGATTGCCAAGATGGCATCATCATTGATGAGGATGACTTGGTAGCTAAACTGCCTAAACTTGGTGGTCATACCATTTTGGTCAATAAGAAAGAGCAGTGCGCCATTTGCAATTTGCCAAAAGAAAAGAAAAAAGAACCAGTTTAGGTTCTCTCTCTCTCCTTGTGTGGCAGCTTAGTGGTTGGTTCACCTAATAACATTACTCTTCTGCCTGCACTAATTGACATGGTCTGCAAAGAATAACAAGAAGAATAAACAAACAAACAAATACGTCCTCTCTCGCTCTCTCCTTTCACAATCTGACTTGTGTGCAAATATACCTACCTGCCTACCTACATATATATCTACAAAACCTCTACAAGGGTTTTGTGGGCACAAAATATACACTGGGATGAGATTATGAAGAAAAGCTTCCTATTGCTTTCGAGGCACCACATGACCACGTTTCACGAAATTGGGTGGTCAATATTTGCACTTGTTAACATTATTATTAGGATCAAAGTTATGATGCTTGCTTTGCAACTTTTATCTATCTTTTGAATTGATCTCTCTTGTGCAATCAAAACCATAGGAATCATGAGCATGATGGCGTGCACGTCTAACAAGCTCACACAACACAAGCCGGAACACGTGTACCCAAAGAGTCTTTGATTGAGGATCTATCACAGTTTGATAATCATAATCATCATCACATATAGTTAAAAGGCTACAAATCTTCTTGTCACAACAAGGGAAGTGAACGACAAGGTCTTGAGTAGCTTGTCTGATCACGTCACACGTGCGATCACTCTCTCAAAAAATAAAAATAAAAAGAGGGTTCTTGTTTCGTGATAATGATCGTACGGATGATGTGGTCGGGCCACTTCGTCTAAGAATTTATCGACACGAAGACCACATCCCACCTAATAATGCGAAAGCACACAAGAAAAAATGAAGACCATCATCTATGGTCCCATATTAGCAAACCTTCCCTACCGTCATAGCAATTTTTCAAAAGCTTTATGTTGTTTTCCCTTTACTTTTACTTCTAGAATAATTGGCTCCATAGAGACAAGGAACCAAGAAAACAAAAGCAAAAAAAATAAAGTCTACAAATACAACTGTTATTATATTTGATAATGTACACAATATTGGATGCAGCCCCAAACTATGTATTAATCTGAATTTCTTTTGAGTATTTAGTTATGAACCACCACTAAGACAAAACTGTATCAGGGCAGAGTATATCTGCTAACTGAGTCTGAGATGACCAAAACAAATTAACTAACATCTGTCTGCTCTGGTGATCTTCAATCTTTTCACAGTTGTCAAGAATATCCTGTGTACCAACCCCAAAATGAGAAACAAAATATAAGGAAAACAATTATGAAAAACATGGAGAATCAAAAGTTGGTAAGCTTACTCCCAAGGCACATCTCCAACCAGCATCCAATCTCCTTCTTGATCTTCATAAGTCAGCACATGATATTTGTCTGAATGAACATGATTTTCCTCAGGACCTGCTTCCAGATGGAAATACAATTGAAGCTTTTCTTAGTCAAATACTGTGACCAAAATAAAATGAACCCAACTATGATTTGATTTGATCTCATGATTGGAGGTCCTAGAATTTGTGTTTAAGAACAACTTACATAGAATGGTGGCCTTGAACATGAGGCTAAGAGTTGTAATCAAAGCAGCATAGCCATCATGTGCAAACAGATTCAGTTTTCTACCAATTGGAATGCCTTCCATGTAGACCTTCACAAATAAGGAGGGATGGTCTGCTTTTCCTGCAAGTCTGCTCCTCAAGATAGATTTGATTGGTGGCCAGTTTATCAGTGCTTCCTCCCTGAAATGTCAACTTTGAGTCAAAACATACATACCAAGTTACAACCACAAAAGTTGATCAAGAACAAATTTTGGGAAAAACCCAAGAAAACTTTTCCCTTCTTCTTGTCCTTAAAAAAATATAATAAAATAATTTGTACATTGGTTGGTTGATTGAATGTGATATTAGCATACCCTGGGGTTGAAGTGGAAGACAAGTCACTGTGATGAGAGGGGGAGATGCTGAGGCCAAGTCTTAGATCAGTGCTCAAATCTGTTCTTGTGTTGATATGACTGTTACCATAATTGCCATTGATTTTCTGAGAAAGAGTGGAAGAAGATGATGAGCCAGCAGGCACAGGAAGAAGAAGATCAGGATGGCTGCTGCTATCTATTGAAGAAGATGATGAATGTGCAGCTCTTCCCATTTTCTACTCAGATATTAAGACTTCAGAGAGAAAAAGCCGCTATCTCAGGCCATGAATCTCTGTGTATAATATATACACACACACACAAACTACTCCAGAAAAAAAAAGAGAGGGAGGCAGGCAGAGCCAACTCCCAAACAACTGAACTAGTCATAAAGAAGACTCTAGTCAGTTTTTTTATCATTGATTTTGCTAGCAGGGTGGGCCCACTATGCCCACTCAGCATATCCTACATGGCTTTTTCCTTTATTTAAAAAATTTGACTAGTGTCAAAACCACAATAGTCGTAAGGAGGAGTTGCTCTTCAGTTTTAAGGAACCAAACTTTATTACAAGCGATATTAAATAAGGACTCAAAGAATCAAACTTAGTACCTCAGATACAGGGGTAAATACCCTTATATACTTGATACATGCCCCTAGTTCAATTTAATTTATTTTTTCTTTAGTTCAAGAATCAAACAACACATATAGAAAAACAAAAGTAACCACCACCTACTCAGGGCCTAAACAGGTGGAAAAAGTTCTGAAGTATTTAATTAACTTAAAAGAAGTAACTTTAATTAATCTATTTTACCAGAGAAAGAAAACTTACGTACTTGTTCTGTTCTTATGGATATTTACTGATCATCTCCTCAAAAGGAGAAATTTTTACTGCATTTTTCTTTTCACATTCTGTGGTCGTGTTTCTATATCAACATTAATCATGCTGCATGTTGGCAATCGAATTGCATGCAGGCCCTCCTTGATTATAAAGTGGAGAGTAGATAAGTGTTAATTAAATCACATTTAATGTCCCCACTTCCAGAGTTGTACAAGTTTTGAAGAGGTTGCCTCCCGATCAAATTGAAATTAGTCAGGCTTTTAATTCATGTTCTGAGTTTTTGCTGTCAATAGGAGAAATGTTGTGTTCCATGGTTGGTGTGTACGTTTTTGTGACTTCTTAAAGGAATGACGGATTGTCTATGGAACTATGGTGTGGCCAAAAAGAAAGAAAGAAAGAAAAAAAATCAAATTGTGAATGAGATCAAATTTAGATGATGCCATAAAAAAATTGTCATCTGGGTATACATGTAGATTTAAATGCTTACTACATAGGAAAATTATAACACTAGCATTTCACGGCTCATGTATTTCGTAACGAAGAGGCGTACCTACTAAATTGCAATTAATTTGATTCGATCTGAGAGCGATATACAACAGAAACTTGTAATATTTTATTTTGCAGAAGTTATATTATACTATACAATGTGTTTTTCTGTTGACATGAAATTAAGTTATGGAGAGAATTGGGTGTACTAATGATGGCACCCATAGGGCTATAGACAACTTAGGCACATACTCGGGTTGGATTGTGTATGTTAAATAAATTTTAGACCCTTCTTAATCCAAAATCCCAGACAAACAGGACCAACCAAACAAAGAAACTTGATGGCCAGACAACTGTTTCTTTTAGCAACCTTTTTTTTAAATAATAAATAAATAAACACGAAGTGCAGATGAGGAAGCAAAGGGAGTTGCCTAGTGCCTAGTGGAGACAAACAAGCAGTATTTAAAGTTACAAATCCAGACTTTGGAGAGCAGATGATCTGCCCTCTCGCACTTTTTTTTTTCTCTTTTTATACTTTTTAAATTCTCTTTCAGGATTTAATTATTATTAATCAGAGTATATTTTATGATTAAACACCTAATAAACATGATTTATTTAAAATGGTTTTAATAGGTCTCCTTCTTGGGACAGCCTTCTGCCTTCACGCTTCAGCCATGCACACACACCTTGTCCCTTCACATTAATCCCTCTGCTCTCATATAGACTCATGGTTATGACAGACGAGCCACCATCAATTAATTATTTATATTTATAATTGTAATAAAGTGAAGTGATTGCTCTCCCACCAGCACCCATCAGACAAAATTTATAAAATCAACATCTACCGCCTTCAATACATCTTGTTGGCATTGGCAACACGCTCTCCTCCCTTAAATTACATACATATCTCACGTGATTTAACACAAAATTGGACCTTAATTTTGTTGGCCCCTTTGAACACTTGATTGGCAAAAAGAAGCAATTTTGAAAAGCTATTCGACATGAAATTTAGTAGATAAGAGAGACTCGTACATACATCACGTTGATGTGTAATAATTATTAATCGTTGATATATATAAGATCACTTACATTAACGATTGATAGGGGGCGAATATTATATATCTATAGAAGATACTGGATGAAATTGAACTATTTGCTATTGGTAATTATGATAATGGAAGAGGTTAAAAGGGACATTAAAGCAATTAAAAGGATGAAATGGGGGAGACAGAGATGGACATGAGGTTTGAAACTTAAACAAAGTCTTAAAAGTCGTAGGAGGGTCGATGAGGTGTTTGATAAATTGTTTCGAAGACTTTTGAACAAATCCAAGACGTCTCTCAAAAGCGAAGACATGAGCTCAACTTTATGAAACATGCAATCAACTAAATTCCGCACCCAACGCCTATAAACCTACCTCTCCTCTCTCTCTCTCTCTCTCTCTCTCTCTCTCCTCGTCTGTAAAATTATTCCAAAAATATTTATACATACACATGGGCCTCTAATACACGTGCAAAAAGAATGCGGGATTAAATTAATTATTTTAGAATCAATATATATGCTTTCACAAATTACTGTTTCAAGTTTAGCCCTCCTCACACACGACCAGTTATCATGTGTTTGTAATCATCCCCTTAATTTGAGAAGTCTGTGACCTGATAGTTCCTACTAGTGCTCATGACATGGAGAAACTTCAAATAAAACTGTTGACGCGTTTGAGCACGTAGTGAAACCCGCACACATCAACAATTCATAAGTGAGCTTGTGATCGACAACATGTTATCAACATTCTTTCCTGGTTTGAGTAAATCTTATCTGCCATGCATAATGCATTACACGAGAAATCAATGTCCCATGAGAACAAACAGTCCAATTATGTTGTTTCGTTCCAACATTCCAACAATGTGATCTTTTTATGTGTCATAGGTTATCTATTTATGTGACCAAGGACATCTGCCACAAGTCATATAGTTTATCTAAATGCATTAAAAAATTTGTTTGCATCATACAAGAGTCCTGTTGGCAAGCGTCACAGACGTGAAGCATAATATAAGTCTGGATCTCAAACCAAAACAGAGGTAGATTCCTGCCCCTCCCCCTTCAAATGTCGGGACCGATTTAGCACGTAGTATTGATGATCACATTTGTAACAGAGGAAAGCTACGACCATGTCAATTCTATCTATTTGAAAACTCATATGTATTAGATATATACTTAAAATGTGATACAAATAGCGACATCAGTTGGTAAGAAATTTATTTGTTTGGAAAGAGAAAAAGACTAAGAGAGAGAGAGAGAGAGAGAGAGAGAGAGAGAGAGAGAGAGAGGGGTAATGGGGGGGACAGGCAGGCAAGCTTGGTGGTGAAGAAAGGTAAGGGTCCAAAGGGAGAGAGAGGGACTTGAGGGGAGAAAAGATTTGGGTTGTAAACCAACAAAAGAAAGAAGGGTAAAAGAAAAGGTTGTTCCCCCAATGTTGCTTCGGTCTGGCACAGTGGCTTTGCCAATGCATATCTTTCTCTTGCTCCAATGACATTGATCTTCATCTCATCACTTTGTGTACATCTCAAGCATATAATATATTAATATATATATATATATATTTATTTATATATATGCCATATATCCGCCATATATAAGCTTGGGAAAGCTTTAGCTCCTCTCACTTTCAATTAGTTCCAACCCGGACCAACCATTAGCTCCCAACATCTAATTACCACTGCCCCCATTGTCACCTACAATGTCAGTTTTCTATTTATTTATTTTTTCTTTCACGTCTCAAAATTTATGAACCCAATAAAGGCCGCTAGATAGATATTGATTTATTTTTTTTTTTTTTTTTTTTTTTTTTTTTTTAAAAAAAAATATAATTTAAAAAAGAAAAAGAAAAAAAAGAAGAAGAACCCTTTTTTTTCTCTCTTTGAACTTTATTCTGTGCCTCCTGAATGGTCCTAATCTACTACATATAGAGCTTGATCTGGTTTCTTTTTTGGGTCCTCCTTTTCATTCTCAGTCAAATATAGGAAGGTGTTTGAGTTACTGCCTCGCTGGCGTGGGGCACGATCCTTTTTCTAGGCTTGCTTTGTGGAGTTTTCTCTATGCTGTACCTATATGTTAGGTGGTCAGGTGACCTTTAGCTAATTTATTCTGAAAATCACGACCATCAAATCAAATCCTATTCCTTTAAAGAGAAAACACACCTAGTCCCAATGTTATTTGAACGATACTACAAATGCCACAAACTGAAGAGAAGAAAACACCTAAAATAACATTTTTATAGAATTTCCTTTCTGTTTTATTCTCATATGAGGAACTATTATTGAAAAACATAAAGTTCCACATCGAAAATTTACTAAATAAAATACAACATATAATGAATAATTCCACTTCTAACATCACTAATGTCTTTTGTGATAAAAACCCCATAAATATTAGGTTTTATAGATGGTTAAGTTGAGGACAATATTAGTGGGTTTTGTAGGTGATATGTTTACCCTTTGGATTAACTTCCTTTATGTGAGCGTGCCACAGTTAGTAAATAATACCCTAACAGATTTAAGTGACTTTATATACTAGCACCCCAAACAATAGAATTTAAACAAACGATTGTGATTTTGGGTGTAAAGACTTCACAATTTATCTAAACAAATATGGTCAGCAAAGCAAAATACACTGATTTATGGATAACATAACAAACAAATCCAAGCAAAACTGTCTGAAGCACAAGTATTAGATGAATCTCTAAATCTACTACTTCTTAGAGGTGTTGAACTTTGACTTCTGCTTGAAACAATAGTCGCAATGATGACTTATGATCAGGCTGGACTGGATTTTGTTGACTGGACTAAATGTTTCTATACTAGAATTGCACGTTAGCATCTTCAACTAATATGGATTGGCTACAAATTGATACCA